GGTTTTTGGTCATCTGAACGCGGGCGGAGCCGCGGGCAATGCTAGTATGATAATAAATAACACTAATTTTGCTCCAAATATATAAATATTTGATACGTTTTCATGCTATTAAAGTTAAATAAAATTGACTATATACTTTATATCCTACGACCAACTTGATGTTACTACAGGGATAAAGCAGCCGTTGAGATTTGACAAGAAATACGTTCCTCTTCTTCCTCTTGCTGCTAAAAAAAATCATCTAAACTACAATATTATGATATTAAAATTGTACATGCGAAAGTGTGTATGTATATGTGTTACTCCATCACGCTGTAACGCCTAGATGTACATATGTACATACACAAATGGATTTGGATGAAAAGTAGATAATGCCTGGACTCTGGAGATAACCGTTAATAATTACCATAGAAAGGCACCAAGGTTTATCTATTACGAATGAATAAAATTGAAGTGTCTGTTTGTAATATCAAAATAACAGCTTTTTACTTAATGTATATGAAATTATATACGGTACTTATAAGAAAAACACAGCTTTTAAATTTTTTTGTCTGCCTGTTTCTTCCCGCTAATATCCGAAACGGCTGGACTTTCACTGACAGATAGCTAATGTTCTAAAGAATAATTTAGGCTATTTTTATTTTAGAAAAAGAATTAGGGTTCCGCTCAAAAAAATTAAACCGTACCTAGGGACGCACCCGAGCGAAGAGAGGGTAAGTCAGTAGTTTGGTACAAAGTGAGCTAGTACTTAATGTAAAAAAATAGAGCTATGTCACTTTATACTAATAGATTTATACATATATGTATGTAGGTATATAGGTTTTTGTATTTTTGCGAATAACTAAATAATGTTTGGAATACACTGTGCAATGTATGTCTTATTTGGCAAGCTTTGTAGGTAACCCTTAATGTTAATGTTTGATGAATTTTATCCCACGAGGTTTGGTTAAATCCTTCTTATTTGAGAATGTGGCATAGAGTATATAATATTTTATTTAAGCATCTAAGAATTTAAAAGCAAAGGGGATAAAAAATAGTTCTTATTAGAATTTTAGCCGCTACTGAGTAAGAATTAATTTAAACTTAAGTTTTTAAACTTAAACGTACCTACCCGAGGTTGTAATATTTTAATTAAATAAGTCGGAAAACTTTAAAATGAATTTCTTTTAGACACCGGTTGAAAAATTAAAATAAATTTTACTTAATTGTCTCGCAGCAATCTTACTCGTAAATCTTTTCACCGTTTTAGAAACGTGCTATTATTCTTTCTTACTTTTAATTAATCTAAAATACTTATTAAGCTTTCCAATTTACTTTGAATGTTATTTATAGCTTTGAAAGGTCTAGGTTATATATTTTTTTGTTGTTTTTCATTTGACTAAAATGGTAGGTAAATATATTAGAAGACCGAAATATTACTGCTGATAAATAAATAAATTGTTAGGACGTTAATTACACACTGCACCATCTAGTTCCATGGTAAGATACGCTAAGCTTGTATTATGGATACCAGATAGATACATAACATTAAATACATACATATTACAAACGTAAACATCCATGACTGGAGTACAAACATTCGTGCTCATCACACAAACGAATGCCCCCAGCGGGACTCGAACCCGCGACCGCAGGGATAGCAAGTAGGGTCATTATAAGCTGAGCCAAGCGTGTATATCTCGTGGAACAAATCTTTCAATGATTACTTTATGGGGTACTTGAATAGGTAAAAAGTTATATACATATGTGGGTAACGAATTACATAATTTTCGAATTTTTAGGCAAAACACGGAACGGAACGTTTAAAAACCGTTACCAAGAAAGTGGAATTGAATTAATAAAACGTTTTGAAAACTGCTTTCTTAACACCTCGTTATATTGCGTTTATCGACATATACGATAAAAGTACTTATAGTTTAAATATTATATTTAAACTAGCTTGTCACCTTGGCTCCGCTCGGGTTTGCCCTTAGCTACTTAAAAATTGGTGGTGGGGGTAGGAAGGTGAAAAATACTTTACGACCTCATACCTATCAAATATACAAAAAAAAATCATTGAAAGCGGTCGAGCCGTTTCGGAGGAATGCGACCACTAACACTGTGTGACACGAAATATTTATATATTAGATAATACTTACTCATTTTAAAACATTGAAGTAGTGATAGAAGTGTTTATTTGTATGGTTTTTCTTTCTTAGTATTATTAAAAGCTACTACGAAGCAACTAACCAACCAGTCTTTTTGCAAAGTTTATTCGAGTCCCTATTAATGTTTCAGTAATATATACCTATATGTATATGTATATATATGTATATGTATATATATATGTATATGTATATATATATGTATATGTATATATATATATATATATATATATATATATATATATATATATACATAATATGCAAAAATATAATTACAGCTTGGTTGTTTGGCTTGACATATGAGGATACCGAGAACTTACTAAAATAAAGTAGGTACATTTTATGTGGCTGACGCACACACACTCACACTACTACTACACTACTCACACTACACACGCACATACTTTCAATCTACTTTATACACCATGTCATAATAACTAATATCTTATTTAACTATTAAATCTAAAATTGGAACAAATGTATATTAATATAATTTGGAGGTGGGCGTTAATGATTACGACACAGTTTTAAACTAATGTAGTCTTTATCGAACATAATTTTATAAATTGTAATCTTTAAAACGTGTAACAATAAAGATTTCTGTTATATATTTTTTATATAGGGTAAAACCCGGATAGTCGCCTCTGTGGGATACATGCCCCGGTTATCAATTCGCTATATGAGAGATATCCCTGATATTAGCGTTCTTCTGTAATTTGAAGCGCCTCTTCCACAGACCTTAGGACGATGCCAACAGTGGGACTAGGTAAACGTGTTTTGTTCGTGTGAGCAAAAATCTTCGTGTGACTTTTCTATTGAATATATTTTTTTAAGGTTGTCGATTCAGTCAACTTTTTGCTTCTACGCGTGTACTGAAGCTTAAGTTACACTACCTATTACCTTAAACTGTCGTATAACATTTATTTTTCAAAATATAAGGGCAAGTATCCGTACCGAAAAGGATAGTCGCCCCATATAATTTTGCGGATAGTTGGCCTAAGGACAATTCGTGTTGTAGGTAGGCGAAATGCCTCGCAAATATGAGCATGAGCTTAGCATGTCTAAAAGGGCTAAACAATCTGCAGAAGTTTCAAATTTCAACGAAAAAATTGTCCAAAAACAGGATAAAGAAGAAGAAACAAACATTACAAAAAGAACTAGAATGGAGATAACGAAATAAAAAGATTTTAAGACAGTAGAAAATAAATCAGCTGATAACGAGATGATAATTATGAAGAAAAGAGGTCGAAACTAAAATTAAAAGATCAAAAAATATAACGATTTCTCTCGCAGTGAAACATAATTTGAAAACATAGATTTAATTAAACTGAGTGGAGAAAGAGCTTTAAGGATGACAAATAACAAGCTTATAGTTCCAAGAGTGAAAATGAAAAAAACATTATAAATACAAAAATAGCCAAAGAAAAAACTACAAAAGGAGTACAAAAAAAAAGTAAGAAATTAAAGATGATAAGAGAGACTGAAAAAACTGTAAAAGTTTTAACATTAATACAAAAATAGAAAAAGCGAATGATAAAGTTTCAGTTGATGATTATTGTAAATGTTTTGAAAATTACAATAATACTAATTCCAAATCATACTTGATTGTATTTCCAGGAAACTCGTACATCATTCAAAGAATATTGTGTGAGATGTGGAAAATTAAAAGTTATGACTTCATTTGAAATAAAACTATCTTTTCGGATTTTTTCGCGAATTTATTTTGTTTTTTTTTCTCGACGTTTCGTAGTTGGGTCTTCGTAACTGATGATGATTTTTAAACTGTTTTTGGTGACATACCTATAAATTATAATGATAACCTACCTACTAATTTTAATATTTGTGTAAAAGTTGATTACTATATTGTTTTTATCTTTAAAGTTAGTTATTATTTCTAACTTAAATTTTGGAGATTTTATTTGTATTTTAAAAGTTGTATCAATTTCGATTAGTAAATATCTACTACTTAAATAATTGATGTTAATAATTAATAATCGTTGATTAAATTTACATAAATTTGTTTTAATCCAAAAAAAATAGCAAAAAAATTCATGATGAGTCTTCTATCCCCGCATGAGGCAAGTATCCCCCAAAGCATTTTTAACATAAGGCAACTATCCGCCACAGAGGGCAACTATCCCCTTTTGTAGAGGTCAAATAAAACAGGATTTACTGAAAAACAATATTCATTGTGTTTAAAAAAATAGGTCACAATGAAAGATTAAAGACCAATGTTTTATTATACACAGGGCATATTGTAAGTAGATACTTATTTTTTATGTAATTGGAGATTTTCAAAATATGGGGCAACTATCCGGCTTTTGCCCTATACACTGTACATAATATATTAGAAATAATAATCTTATTTATCGTGAACACCGTCATTAAAACTTTTAAGGACGAACCCTTTTCATAACTCGCCACGTTTTCCAAAGAAGTTTACGAGCAAAAGCTACTACAAAGAAATTATTGTACTTCGACTAAAAATAGTGCCTATACTAAAAATAGAAGCGAATACCTAGGAAATACAACCATAACCAGTAAGGAGTTTATAAAAAAATATACTTTACTAAATACATACATACACGTTACACATACCTATTAGAAATATCGGATTACAAATGTAAATGTCAAAGTGTATGTTTCTTAATCCATTTTAGCTTTTGTAAGGCTGGACGGATTATGATGAAATTTAGTACACGGATAAATTATGACCCGGAGCATCATTAGGGCTACTGTTAGCGACGCATCTGAGTGATAAGGGCAGTCCACCTTAGGTCCTAGGGACGAGACGAGCGGGGGTGAGTTGCTAGTATTTATTTAAAAAATAGGTTTAATAATTCCGTTCTATTTCAGATCCTCGTGAACGTCTGTCTCTTAACTGCAGCTGATAGAGGCAGTCTGTTCTTGGCGAAAGGTACGCCGCCGAATAGATATCTACAAGCTAAGCTATTTGACGTGACCAGAGATACAGGTTAGTTACGAAGTTTGGTTAAATCCATATTACTAATAGGTATTATAAATATGAAAGTGTGTTTGTTTGTTTGTTTGTCCTTCTTTCACGCCAAAACAGAGTGACGAATTAGTGTGGAAATAGTTGCAGGTCTGAAGAGTGACATAGACTTTTTACCGCGGAAGATTATCTCATTCCCACGGGAAAAGACGTTATAATACAACCCACAACAACTCATCATACCTATGTACTCGTATATTCCATACTAACCGTTTAAACGAACCTAGGGACGAACCCAAGCGAAGAGAGGTTGAGTCGCCAGTTTATTATAACTTCGCAAAACGTCATCTATTGTAAAATGGCTGAAATGACATTAAGATTTTTTGTGATATAAAAAAAAAGTGAACTTATTTTTATAATTTCAATAAACCAAATCAAAACATTCCATTATAATTTCAACCATAAGCTTTTTATATTTTTGAAATACCCTATTATATGTATTGAAAAATTGAAATAAAAGTCTAAAGTTTTTCCAAGACGCTCTCTTAATAATTATATTAATTAATTTGTCAAGTACTTACAATTGAGTATTGAGTTTTTGGGCGGCCCTTGATAGCGGTTAACTTATTTTTTACGTTGTTACCAACCTTTGAGTGTATATATGTTACCGGCCAAACTAGTCTGTTCTAGGCCAAACCGACTCATCCTAAGTGTGTCAGGATATACTAGTTTAGTCCAGGACAATCTAGTTTGGCCTAAATACTTTAAGCTTAATTAGTTTGGCCTAGGCCAGGAAATAGGGTTTTGCCGGTAATATATACACTCATATATGTGTAGTATATTAGTAGTATTAGCGAATATTTTAGCAATCTCTCGTGTACGGCTTGACTTACGCTGTAATTTCTATTTATTCCACTGTCGAATACCTAAACATGGTTTTATTTTCCCTCTGTCTTACAAACAAAGCTTTATAACTTCTTGATGACCCTTTGTTGATCTTTGTTTCAATAGCGCCATTAAATATGATTGCATATTGACTACTCATTAGGCTGTTAATACAAAAGCATTTGGTGGTCTTAAGGCAATTTGCACAAAATAAAACCTCACACAAACATTAACTGGAGGGAAAAATATGGTTGTTGCCTTATATGTAAATAAAACTATAAATTAATCTTGAAACCCCCTGATATATTAAAATTTTGTGGTTGGACGCCGTCTGCAATAACTATGAATTTGAGACATCTACTAAATGTTAAAGACTCTTGTTAGAGTTTCTCCCGTGACTATATTTTCTGTAAAACATTCGCAACGTGGGAAACCTAAAATCAAAAAAAATATCATAAATAAAATTGCAAAATAAAATAAATAAATATCTCAATAATAATTGTTTTGTCTATACTAATATTATAAAGAGGTAAAGTTTGTGATTTTTGTGAGGGTAATCTCTGGATCTACTGAACCGATTTAGATGTAAAAAAATAGTATGAGACCCTGGGAAGCTCATAGGGCGTTTTATCCTGGAAATCATCTTTTAAGGGGTTGAAAATAGGGATAAAAGTTTGTATTGGGAAGCAAGCTAGTTTAGAATAAAGTAGCCACAAAAAATTGGACAGTATTTTTTAACAGCATTGACTTTTCCACTTGATGTCAGCTGAATTTATTCAATCTGAGACAGTGACGATTTTTTATCTGCTTAGAATGTTAATGAAGAATTTACTCTTTTTAACAAAGTTACCTGGCTAGATCAATTATTTGGCAACTAATTAGGGAAAAAAATCACGTATATTTTTACCCGACTACGATGAAGGCCGAAGGAGGGTTATGTGTTTGACTTATATATATATATATATATATATATATATATATATATATATATATATATACACTATGTATGTAGGTATTACTGCATAATACTTTGACCTTCGTCAACTTGTTCTCATCTATATAGTTCGTTTCTTACGTAGTCAGGATTTGTACACACGTTTGTTGATGGGAAAAGTACACACGAATTCTGTATTAAGATTGTTATATAAGAACTGATCTTGAATATCATAGAGGCTGTATAAACAAAAGCTAGGTCTTACATCTGACGTACTTTCTCCAAAGCAAACATGAAACGTCTTCTATTCCCCATTACGCTCATAAAAGGTAAATATTATCTTACACAATCTTATTTATATCAAGATTTCATACAATGGTTATCTATTTATAAGAAGCCTTCATTTTTGATATCCCAACAACAATATGTGACATTGTCTCGTATTATTTTAATCCTGAAAACGTAATATTAGAAAGAGGCTGGCATATTTGTTTGTCGCTATATGTACAATGTACATGCTATAAATTGTAACTGAAGAACGTTCGAACTTGATGTTACGAACTTTCATAATTGTGGCTTGGCTTTACACTCACTAATTGTATAATTTATCTATACATATAATAAAAGTTTAAGTGATCGCTGTCTGTACATGAAAAATAAACTATATTGTTTTTTTTAACGAAATAGAACGTAAAACAATGACTTTTAGAATTTTTGTCTATTTGTGTGCGTTTCTGCGCGCTAGTCACAGAAACGGGTTAACCAATTTGGATGCGGTTTTCACTAATGTATTGTTTGTTGTAAGCTTCACTTTAGTAGCTCAATTTAGTATTTGTTTTATTTCAATAAAAAAGTTATGTCAATATAAAGAATCACTTAGTAAATATTTTCGCTTAACATTTAAATTTTGTTACTTATATATTGAGACATTCAGTCAAAATAAGATTAAATTATCCAGGTTCCTGTACATTTCTTTATGCAAATCTAGATAATTTCAGTATACTTATAAAAAGCACTTCGTTTGTAAAATTAAACGCATATTACTCTACAAAATAAAGGAATAACTACAAGTATCATCCATGATAAAATACCTTTGAAATATTTTATGAATGTTGAAAGTACGAACATACGTTATCCCAACGGCTTTCCTTTTGCCTTTCAGTTAACTCTAACACCCTTTTAATAATTCTAACTGAATAAGAAATGCTTCGAATAATAGAGCATACGTTACTAAGCTAATGGTGCCTTTAAATATGGGAATGTGAATAAAACCGAACAGGCTATAAATTTCTTTTTAAATTGGTTGTAGCGTCTTTAAAGGTATTCTTAGATTAATACATACATATTTAGGTAAAATTTCGATTAATTTTCTGTTCGATATGTATTTGCTTAGTTTGATATCTTTGCAAAATGAGATCCCATTTTGATGATTATTTTTTTAAATGAATGGATTGAAAATCGTCTCAAATTATTTATATTCAGAGAACATCCATTACTAAGTATTAAAAAGGCTTAGAGGGCATGTGAAGCCGTTGGCCCGGCGCCTGATCTCTCGTCGGTCATATCTAGTAGTCAATCCACGGAACTTTTAAGAGTGACAAGAATATAGAGTATATTTGTTTTTAGATTCATTGCATTAATATCAATAAGTGGCCAAGATTCGATGTGCAAGTGAAAAGTTGATTCTTTTCTGAAACTCCGCTCTTTATATTGTTTTCAAATCCTTAACGAATTTTCAAGCAATCTTTTACCAGTTATGAACTTTTTCATTCCAAATAAATATTAATAAACAAAACGAGGAATAACAAAAATAAACAAAAAATATTTCCATCTCAGAATGACGATTAAAAACTTTCCTTTTCATTTTTATTACATTTTTAATATAACAAATACAGAAAACTTTTCAAATACCTCTCAAGAGAACGTATAACAATCTACTGGAATAAAATTTGCAAAGAAACAACAATAAACTTCAGTTATTATTTGAAAGTCCTAATGAGAAATTGTTACAAAAACTCAATCTTATTAGCTTTATCTCATTTGCCTTGGGATGATTTAAATTATCATTTTAAAAGCTCTTTCAGTAAACAAAACGTAAAAAGTTTTTATATCACCGTTAAATCTTTCTAAACGAAAAGTATATAATGTCTGCCTATAACATTGCGGAGGGGGTAGTTATTTGTTGTTTAATGGTTTCAGTTAGTTCGATGTTTAATCTATTTTCCGTGATAAAAAGCCGTAGAAAACAAATTTCAATATAGGCTTTCGAAAAGACATCGTACAGATTATATAGACTCTACGATGTTACAAATTATTCCAGTAATATATTTAAAAAAATAAAGTAATTAAAAAAAATACGAGCCGGATTCGCCGAAAAGAAGATTTCGTATATTTTGTGAATTAAAAGACATGAAACTTTCATTACATCCCTATAAGCTTATCCCACATTTTTTAGTAATCCTTCTGCTGAAAAAAATGTTTCCTTCTAAACCCACCGGCTTAAGGTGTACTTTGTTAGTCAGTCAAGGCCTTATTAAGTAAATGTACCCAAACAAAGTGTTATGGAGGTCCCACACTGCCGTTTAAGCTTTTCCTTAATAAGAGCGTACGATGGTCGTTTGTCGTTACATAGATACATACCTACAATCACTATACATACATACCTACAATCTACATAGTATATCAATTTTCGTTTCCTGACCATAAACTTTGATTACTATACTTATATATACTGAAAATAATAGAAAAAAAAATTCGACTTACTCAATCTATTCACTTTCTTTCTGTTTTTAAAACAGAAAGAAAGTGAATAGCTAAGGCTTTAGGATTTTCTCCTGCAAAATACAGTTCTCGCAAGAGAGGATATAAGGAATCAAGATCAAAATTACGAGATTCAATCTCCTACTATATTTAAATGTTCGGAACATTACAGCTTTTAAAAAGATTCGTGCAAAACTAGGTTAAGTGGACTCGAGAAATGATCTGCAGCTAGAAATTATTTCTAAAAGATTCGTTTGGTATGATACTTCATCCTCTGTGACATTTTGTTTTTTTACAAAATTCGTTTAAAGCGTTTTTTTGGAAAGTGTTATTTACGTTATAAAGTGAATAATCCTCGCTTCGCTTTGGTTCGTCTTTTGGTGCCTCTTGCGAACTTATACAAAAATATAGACATCGTCTATTCTGTATTGTACAAACAAATAAAAAAATACCCAGAAAGTGACGTGGACTAAGATGGACTTACCTACTGTATAAAAAATCACTTTTAGTCAACTAATGTTGTGGGAAATAGTGTTAAATATTAATAATGTCTGAATGTATATTATACTAGCGACTCACCCTCGCTTCGCTCGGGTTCGTCCCTAGCTTGCTTTTTTTTCCTAGTCATCTGTGTATCTAGGCTACTGTTAGGGACCTTAGGACCCACCCGAGCTAGGCGAGGTTAAGTAGGGTAAGTTACAAGTCAGATATAGAGACTATTTTGTCCAAACCTAATGTCTAAAATCTAACTATGTAACATTTTACTAGTTTTCAACTAATAAGCGCACAGACGGACAGGCAGATAATTCATGGAATATTATAAGTACTTAACTAGAATTAATGCTTAATTCTTAGGTTTTACATATTAGTATACTCTTACATTGCAGTTTTTGTATTTTTTCTCAGAAATGAGATATTTTCCCGCCGTAAAAAGTATCCTATATGTTGACCTGAAAACCAGCTATCACCATACCAATTTTCATCAAAATCCGTCCAGTGGTTTATCTGTGATGCGGTAACAGCTGCCTGTACAGTTTAGTCTTTAGAATTTTTGTTTGTCTGTACAGACAAAAATTCTAAAAACTATAGATTCGGCCTCTGTATCGATAATAATGTTTATTTCAATAACATTTTCTAAAATATATTGAATGTACAGATTCGGCTTAGTTACAATTTTATTATATGTATAGAAGCTCTTTTCATAAGGTATACTCGAAGCCAAAGTTGGTAGAAATTAATCGACCACAACCAAGGGACAAAGTGCTGTTGTGGCAGTCGCTGTTTAATTAATTTTGTGGCATAAGTGAAGCTGTTTGTTATGTATTGTATATGCATTACTAAATACCGATACCACTTCCCGGAACTCCTATATTAATAAGGGAAATTGAGCTTCAATTGGTTTATCTATAGATAATTTAATGAATTTTGTAAATGACTGGTTTTTAATATCCGACAAATATTATATGTTTAATACCTACGTTTTTACCTAATTATATAATGTAGTGTTTGATGAGTTTGTTTGTTTGAATGCTCATCTCGGGAACTAGCGGTCTGATTTGATTTATTTTGCTGCTTATAAGTCTATTTATAAATGAGATTCTAGGCTAAATAAAGTTTTATATATGGTACTATATATAAAAGTGAAAAAAAGTTACTAGTTTTTCTACTGAAGAAAAAGGAATTTTAATTTTATTCTAATGATTGAAAAATGAACCCTAAGATTGTTATAAAGCGAGTGCTCTAAAGCGATTTCGATATATATAGGTATATATTACTGAAACATTAATACCGTATGGAAGTTTCCTCATTTGTTGACATTAATGATTACTGCTCCGTTTCCTTGGGTATGACGATATAATAGCATATAGCCTTCCTCAATAAACGGGTTATCTAATGCAAAAAGATTTTTTCAAATTAGATTAATAGTTCCTGAGATTAGCGCGTTCAGAAAACAAACATAAAAACTCTGCCTCTTTACATTTCATTACTAAAGAAAAATACAAAATATATCTTGAAAATATGTTATATAACATAATTTTATAGGAAAAATAAAACCGACTTTCTAAATATAAAAATTCCTGAACAATTTTGTTATGTAATTTTATAATTGCTAAAATTTTCACTTTTTAGACCTCTACGACGCGCTACGTATAGCAAGGACACAGGAGATAAAAATTAACTTCGGAGTAGGAGTCGCAGGATTGGCCGCCCAGACTAAGCATCCCATCAACATCAAAAACGCTTATGCTGATCCACGGTAAGTTCTCATTACAGAGTATTCGTTATAGTAATTATACTCTTCCTTCTCCGCTTTAAGATAAACATTTAATATATTGTCAATTAATTAATTAATAATGTAATTAATTGTTTATTTAATTAATTATTAATTTATTTATTTTCTTTTACAAAGAAACATAATACTCGTATATACAAGATACGATAACTTAAATAATTATGAATAAATCCTTAAATCAAAAATTAACTCCATTTAAATTAGAACGAATAGTTAATTTCTAACTGAGTTAAAAACATGTGTTTCAGATTATAGTTATACTAGATTTAGTATCTAGTACATACTGAATCTATATAATACTAATTAAAGAGATCTTAAAAGTGTTAAGTTAGGTTAGAAGCCAAAGAGATATTAAATGAAATCAGCAAAAGTTCTTTAAGACAAAATTATAACTAAAAATTGTACTTGAGCTATTCCAAGAAAAACATATTTTTGGGATAACTGGAATGGAAGCCAAATAAATAATTTTTAGACTTTGATTTTTCTGTCGAATTCAAAACAGTCGAAAACGGACTTATTTTAGTTTTTTCTTTATACACGTTATAGTCTGGAATGTTAGTCTAGCTAAGTTCGCTTTAAAATTGACGATTTAAAAGTTCTTTTAAAAGTGTATTTACATAAAGCTTAGATATAAAAGCGAAATACCACTCACAATCAGTGATTAATAATGAAATCTTAGGACGTACTAAAGCTACTAATTCCTCAGGGGGATAAAATCTGCTTTTGCTAAGAAAGGATTTTATGAAAATTAAACCCTGTTAGAACTTTGAATGAAAATCAGATGGTTTTAAAGTTACAGTGACGAAAGTTCGAAATAATCTTTCTTATTGGAAATGACAGGTAATGTAATTCGGTGTTTGTGTAATTTTGTCTGGGAATGACAAATGGAGGTAGATGTGAAACTCAGGATCAATTATTTATTTGTTAAAAGCACACTTACAACATACATATGAAACATTTTCAATTTAATTAATGTAATAATAATATACCTTATATTATGCACGTCAGTTATAAGTGTACATAGCATTTAAATATTCATGAATTAAAAGTACAAAAATTAAAAAAAAATAACTATTATTATAGATAAATGTCATATTACAAAAGAAATTGATAATAATACATAATAATAAGAAGTAAAATTAAAATCATCATTATAAACAAAAAAAAATTACAATAATTAAGATTAACAATCATGCATGTTATAATAAATAACTTATTTCTAAAAATTGATGGAGAGTCATAAAAAATGTCAATGCCAGGAATTGATTTAAGGATATCATTATATTTGTTACACAATTACATGTAACTACGTGAACAAAACCGCAGGGAAACGCTTGTTTTAAATTAAAATTGGACCCAGTTATTCAAAAAACAGCCATGTGCGTAAAAGTACCATCAGTTTATAAGCATTTTATTATAAAAAATAAAATAATTATAAAAAATAAACAATACTTATATAAATATTGTTTAATTTAAAATAACCAGAAAAACAAAACATAACCCAAATGCAACTATCGACAGAAAAATGCTTATAACTCTGTTGGTACTTCTACGCACATGGCTGTTTTTTGCATAACTGGGTCCAATTGTGGAAACGAAGCTAATATATCGCTGGGTTCTCTAATTTCGCAATGACACTCCCTCGGTGTAAGTTTTCATGCCAATTAGGCCACGAGTTCTATAAAATTTCAAATGTGAAAACTTGGCTTGCCTTAATTGGCAGATGGCAAAACATGGCAATACACTCTGGGAGACTTGAAAACAGTTAATAATAAATTATTTTAGGGGTTGACTAATGACTTTTTGTTGTATACGTCTCAGTGATCAAATTTTGCCTACAGATTTTCTCCTGGATGTAAATTTTATTGTGACCAGTTAGTCGTTACACTTAAAAAAACATAAATTTATATTTATGTTGTCAGTCAAAAAGTAATAATATTAATAAAATAAAAAATAAATAAAAAAGTTTTATATTTCATGCATTTATTTAGTATGTTATAAATTATACAATACAATCTTAATTTTAGAATTAGTATTTATTGAAATATGTATTGTAAAACTGACATTTTGCCATATTTTATATTCTAATCATATTTTAAATATAATGTTGAAAAAACATTTTCTTACGTACCCACACTTATAATGTTTATACTTTTTTAAATATTTTAAATTAATATAGGATATGAAATAGTCCGAAAAAGTCATTAGTATTAATTTACTAAAATATATGTTTTAGGTTCAACAGTGAAATCGACGCGCGAACAGGATATAAAACTGAGTTGATTTTGTGTATGCCGATTTGTAACTGCGAAGGAGATGTGGTTGGAGTTGCACAGATTATAAATAAAACAGACGGTTAGTTTAATAGATTAAAAATATTTTATAATATTAAAATATAATACATACACGTATAAGTATCTATTATATTTCGATGCAATTAAAAGTATATATTTTTATAAATAAATTAAGATAAAAAAATGTAAGCATATATAAAAAATAATTATACATTTAATTACTGCAATAATGGAAACGTACAAATAACTTGAATATCTTCTCCCTTTTTTGATGTCAGTCAAAAAGTAATAATATTAATAAAATAAAAATAAATAAAAAAGTTTTATATTTCATGCATTTATTTAGTATGTTACAAATTATACAATACAATCTTAATTTTAGAATTAGTATTTATTGAAATATAGATAGTTACTTGCGGCTCACCCTCGCTTCGCTCGGGTTCGCCTCTAGAAAAACACTAATAAAAATCTATTAGTTCCCACGGGAACCGTTCGTTTTTCCCGGATGAAAAGTAAGCGGTTGTTTGACCGGCAATATAAGGTATCAGTATGTTAAATTTTACTAAATTAGGTGCATAAGTTGTATAAGTTATAATAGTTTTTTAACTATCCCACGGGAACCATTATATTTTCCGGGATAAAAAATATCTAAGACGTTGTCCGGGGATATAAGGTACCACCATGCAAAATTTCATTTAAATCGGTCCAATAGATTCGGAGATTAGCCCGTACAAACAGACAAACAGACAAACAATATCACACGGGAACGCAGTCGAACGGGATAAAAAGTATCCTATGTCCGTCTCTGGGTTCTAAGCTACCTCCCCGCCAATTTTCAGCCAAATCGGTTTAACCGTTCTGGAGTTACAAATAGTGTAACTAACACGACTTTCTTTTATATATATAGATATGTTAGTATTTTTTATAGTTACGTTAAGACAGATTATAAATAAGTGCTCAAAAACCCTTTTACTGGTGAAGGCCACCTCCAAAGATAGCCAATCTTCTCTAGATTGAGCTATTTGAACTCGGCTAGGACCAGTAATATTATAGCTATCTATGTTTGGGAATAGTAATTAATTTATCTACATTGTATTGTTTTGTTTTTCATTTTAGGATCAAAAGAGTTCTCGCCGCGTGACGTTGAAGTGTTCCGACGATATCTAACATTTTGTGGTATCGGCATTCAAAATGCTCAGTTGTTTGAATCGTCAGTACTGGAATACAAAAGAAATCAAATTCTCTTAGCTTTGGCGAGAAGTATATTTGAAGAGCAGAGTAACTTAGAATGCTTAGTGACGAAGATTATGACAGAAGCTCGAGAACTGCTCAAATGTGAGAGGTGCGCTGTTTTCATTTTGGATACAGATCACTGTGAATCGGTAAGATTTTTTGATGTTAAAATTATTAATATTTTAAAACTAACTGTGTATGTCTGCCGGTTATCTTATATCGCTTAAATGGCTGAAATTTAGATTTTAAAACATGATCGTATTCGTATTTAGCCCTTTTTAACGTCCTACTGTTAGAACGTGCTTCCCTTCAATACCAGAAGATCAGGCTATAATCCAACACACTGGCCAAGTACGAGTTGGCAAACTTCGCATGACTTTCGAAGACTTGCGAGATTTTCTTAGATATGCAGGTTTCCTGACGATGTTTTCCTTCACCGTACGCCAAGTAGTAATCATGAAGGAAATGATTCGATCGTGAAAATAGCAGAGGTGCGAGACCCGGAATTTGAACCCGCTTCAATCAGTTTCCCAAACAAACGCGCTACCACTGGGCTAGTACTGCCTTGCTAGTCTTTTAAATATATTACATAATTTTATTTATTTCTGTACAAACAGTTATAACACTGTTAGCTTTAGATTTGCAAGATATAATTATAGGAACATATTGATATTACATATTTTTTTAAATGAATAATACAGAGATTAAGTTATACTTTATTGGCTATTGCCTATACTCTATACTTACGTCTACATGCCTCCAATGAATTGACTTAGATATTTCAAGCAAAACATAACAACATTGACTCTTCTACGTTCTTATATGAAATTAGTTAATATGCTACTTTAAATTTAAAAAGAAAACGAAAATAATAAAATTTTGTAGACCATTAAACTTTATGATAGTATATTAACGAAAAAGATAGCGTAATCAGATACAGAAAAGAGAAAAATACCTTTACTGTTAGGTGAAAACGTGACTCCAATACGAAATCAACGTTCTAACCTCATACAAGGATTTATATCAACGATGCTGAATACATTTTGAATAAGGGTTCTAAAAGTTTACCAATTTTCTGTTCCAAAACGCAGACATGTTTGTGTCTATGACTGAAATTATTGTTAACTAGCATTGCCCGCGGCTCCGCCCGCGTTCAGATAACCAAAAACCAAATTCTTAGGTTTTACAAATTAGTATACTCTTACATTGCAGTTTTTGTATTTTTTCTCAGAAATAAGATATTTTCCCGTGGTAAAAAGTATCCTATTTGTTGACCCGGATAGCTATCACCATACCAAATTTCATCAAAATCCCTCCAGTAGTTTTTCTGTGATGCGGTAACTGACAGACAGACAAAAATTCTAAAAACTATAGATACGGCCTCTGTATCGATAATAATTTCTATTTAACAATAAGATTTTCCAAAAAATATTTAATGTACAGATTCGGCTTAGTTACAATTTTATTATATGTATTATGTATAGATTATCCAGTGTAGGTAATTTGCGGGTGCGATTACTGTAATTTTACCCGATTGCTCTAGAAGGAGGTAATGTTTTTCGAATGAACCTGTATAAATATATATTATATACGATGTAAAATATACAGTTGATGCAGCAGAAAGCTCTGTGTGGACACTATTTTTTTTTGTAGAGTCACTATTTTTTCGCTTTAAACTGTAACGAACAAGATTGAAAATGTTAAAATTCAAATAGAAGTGGTGAATGTTAAGTGTTTGTATGTAAAATTCATTATATTCTTTTTTTTCGAATAGTATAAAATTATAAGATAGTTAAATATATTCTGAAATATTTATTTTTCTACAATTAATAAACATTATATACTTAGTCTGTTTTTTCTCTTGTGCTCTAAAAGTTTTATTGTCAAAAAATCACGCTATAGATAGTACCTTTTGACTATTTTTGTTTTATTAGTAAAGTATCAGTAGCTTGTGTTACTTTTGGTCATGGTCTATCTGTAGGTACTAAATTTCATCCAAATCTGTCCAGCCGTTTCATGCATGAAGGAGTAACAAACATACACACACAAACATAATATTAATAAGAATTAGTATGCTATACAGGTTTTTTTCCTAGTACAGACACCAGTATCTTACAAAGGCTTCTATCGCTGTTATTTGTGAAGTTTATGATGTAACAAACTTTGACATATTAGTTATTTGATATGAGAAAAACAATATAAAATATTATTAAATTATTATTGTAATCAACCCTTGTTAACCTTGCTCTTGTTAATCCCACTGCTGGGCACGGGTCACCCTTCAATACGTGGGCCATAGTCCACCACGCTGGCCAAGTGCGGGCAGACTTCAGATATCTTTCGAAAACTTGTTAGGTTCTCTCAGACGTGTAGGTTTCTTCACAGTGTTTTAATTATTATTAATGTGAAAAATTTCTTCCAGAGTCATTTAGAGCGTATAGTGCAAAGGCCGGGCGGTAGACCTAGTGGGGCCCCCGCTTTGCCTCCACCAGCACCAACCCGCTTCCACACATTGTTCGAGTTAGGAGCCCAGCACTCCCGAACTACTCTCACACCACGACATGATAATAAGTCTACTCTTGCGTGTATCGCGCTTGCTGTAAGTATTTTGTTATCTATATAAATAAAAATAAATGTTCGTATGTGTGTCCTCTATGCGTCTATAGCATAGATTCGATTGTGATGAAATTCTGGTGGGTTATACAAAAGAAAACTTTTTCTATGGATGTTTGTCTTTTATGCGTTCATAAATCCCAAACCCAACTGAAGAGAAGGTAACTTGCTAGTTGTAAATAAATCTTGTATATGTTTTGAATGATGAAAATTTTTGTTAATAACAAATGAACAGAGTAGTTGTACACTATCAACCTCCCTACTCTATCACTAAACCAGCCGGATGGTATCAAATTATGGTGACCTTATCATGTTTTCACATACATACAAACTCATACTTATAAAGTTTAAAGTCGACAATTTGAAGAAAGTTAAAATATATCAATTTGTAATATTTGAACATAAACGCGCAATAAAACTAATTAATTTTCAATAAAAAAATATGAAACGAACGAAATTACAAATATACTTAATTATATATATAAAACAAATGTACACTTAGTTATTACTGTACAATGCTTTAATTAATCGATAGTATGAAGAAATAACGAACTCAAAATTTCGCGCTCCTAATCTAACTGAGATTAAATTGACTGAATCGTGTAAAATTTTTATGGCTTTATAGTTTACTAGCGAACGTTTACTTTTTAACGTTTAGTATAGATTTATCAGAGATGAGATATTTTCCCGCAGTAAAAAGTATGTGTTGACCCGGATAACCAGCTATCTTAATACCAAATTTCATCAAAATCTATGCAGGGGTTTTCTCGTGATGCGTTGCCAGATAGACAGACAAACAAAAATTCAAAAAACTATAGATTCGGCCTTTGTATCGATAATAATGACTATTTCATTAAAAATTTCCAAAAGATATTAATGTACAGACTCAACTCAGTACTATTATGTCTATAGTTTATTACATCTGAGAAACGTTCCCTAGTCTACACCTACTGCAGTTGCAGTAACTTCATTGTAACTTATTATTCCAACTTTGTTGCTAAATAAGTTACGAGTATGTTCAAGAACATCTTAAGCAAGTTAGTGCTAATATTTTGTTCTACAACCATTTACGTTAAGAATTAAAAAAGAACTTTGTATTTGCTGTTGCGGTAAATGTTTTAGTCCAATTACAATATTGATATTCCAAACAATATATATGTAGATGACACGATTTAACATTTTAAAGTATGATTGAAAAATTAAAATTTCAATAGGTATACAGATACAATTCTGTATAAGGTAAATTTTTATGAAAATCGTGTTCCGCCATGGAATACTTTGTATATAAATGTGTAAGATTAATTCTAGTTAATACTTGTGCAGGATAAGTATAAAATTATTATTGTACGTACCTATACAATATTATTTATTTTTTTGAATTTCTCAGAAGCAGAATTTGTTTCCGGCCCAGTGATAGTTTCCTCATGGACTTACAGTCTATATTTAGTGTATGATACATAACAAGGCAAAAATAATAAATTAAGATTATTCATAATAATTGATGAAAAATGAGTTTTCATTTATTTACTCAGTTTAAGCATTGAGATAAACTTGATTGGGATTAACTTATATTCTTGATATTTTCATACATTACATATGGAAAATTGAAATACATATTTCGATAACATATTACTTCGACTACTAGCTACCTGTCCTGGCTTCGTTCTTGAGTGTTACTTTATTTTAATATAAATTTAAAATATATTTTGGTCAGATACATGTTCGATCTAAATACACACGAGTATGTATGTATGTATGTGTGTCAAGACAGCATCAATGTTCCATGTTCCAAAAACTATTTTAGATTTTAGATTCAAAATGGTTATCTATGTCGATATAGGGAATCACAGTTAAAATTATAACCCAAAAGGTCTAAAGGTTATAGAATATTATATTCCATTTCGTGTAAATCACTCAGACTTTAATAATAAGTTTATACGTACTTTATTTCGTTAGACGTAATTTGCAACGTAATTTATTTTCGGCAATACCTTAGAGGTCGTGAGTTGAAAGGCAATCATGTTTCTCTTGAACTTTTAATAAGTTGTAATATCTAATCTAAAATACGAGGTCTAGATTTTAATACGATAATAAATAACTGCTGATGCTAGCTGCTTGATATATGTTTTATTTAATCTAATCTATACAAGTTAGACGTTAAAATGAAATGCTATTTGCTTGTAAGCGCATCGCTTAAGAATGGCTGGACTGAATAGGGACATATATTTAAAAATATATCATAATAGCATAAAAACTATTGTTAGGGGGAAAGTTGCATTTTTACGGAAAATTGAAAAATTATAAGTGTTCTCTTTAGGATTTTTATATGAACTCAAAGATGTCAAATATTTAATTTTTGACAGGACAACGTCTGATAAGTTCGTAAGTAATAAACATGCAAATTGCACACCCTCTTCATAATATAATTCTCTGGGAATATCTTGATAGGGAATTTATATCTATATCTTTGAAACTATTCAATACTAAAATTTTAATAGCTGAATCCGCTAACATACTTGAATGATGAAATAAGTGTTCGTGGGTTCAGCTGTCGAGTAACATAAAAGTTCTTACGGAAACTACTGTTCGAAATGCGCAAATAGAAAATCACACAGACATAAATGATTCTAAAATGGATTGATTTACCTTGTATGCTATATCTATATATTATATAAACATATTTTTTTTTATATTTAATTTGTTATTGGTTATCTATACGAGTACATATAATAAAACTGTAGAGGTAGAATGTCTGTACATAGGAAAAAATGCTAAAAACCGAGTCGGGGAGCTGTAACAAGAGAAATAGAACAAATCCAGTTTTTTTTATTTCTTTGTTTGTCTGTTTGTACGGGCTAATCTCCGAAACTGTTGGACCGATTTAAATGAAATTTTGCATGATGGTACCTTATAACCCCGGTCAACATTTTAGATAATTTTCATCTAGGAAAATTAAAGAATTCCCGTGGGATAGATCTGTTTGTGCTTTATGAAATAATGTATGATATATGGGAGAGTGTATGTTTTTAATTTCATTATATTTAGGTACATTTTTCATTTTCTTAGGGTTTTTACTTCTTGAAATGTTTTAATGTCGTATTTTTGGTAAGAACTTTCCGTCCATTTCCTAGGATTAACGTTTTAGGATTTTACGTTGAGAAGCCAATCTATTACCGATAAAACTAACGATCGGTCTAGTTCCACATAAATTTCAATGAACTTTTATAGTACATCTTAGGTCTTCTATTAGTTCAAAAGCTAGAAAAGTTATTTTCATCTGTTCTTTTCTCGAACGTTTCAAGTGTATTTTCGGCTTTAGTGTTATTTTAATGTTCATTTTTGTTCTATATCCAAGCGAATATTACCTAAGTTTTATTGATTTGTTATCTTTTATATTTTGACAAACATCGTAAATCCATACCGGTCTGATTAACATTTACTTATTTAGTTTATGGTTTCAATAAATGCTCAAATAAATTGTATGGGTTTTCCTAATTATTTATAAATCTATACATTTACACTTTATTTATAATGCTAAAATATAAATCTTTCAGTATTTTTTAGCAGCCGTAGCTTAAGATGATGTTTTAAATAACATCATATAATGTTGTTACAACATATCCCATATAATTGTAAACTCTTAAATTGTTGAATGTATAACGCTTAGGTATGTGTATAAACTAACTGAATTACGTTAATATTTTATTAATATAAATAAACATTAAAAAAACTGAGAAGAAACTAACTAATTTTATAGTATTTTTAAAATATTAATTATTATTTTCTTCCCAGGTAGCACAATCCAACAAAGCCCTTAACATATCTGATGTGGACGATTGGCGCAAAGAGAATGGCATGGTCGTAGACGACAGCGTTACAGACGATGCGGCGAACGTCCGTACAATGTTATGTATGCCGATAGTCAATGCTAATAAGGACGTTATTGGCGTGGCACAACTAATAAATAAGGTAAGAAAACCTTAGTAAAAACTTTCCTCTCCATTCTCTTTTCTTCTCTTTGGTTCTCTTGACACTGTTTAGCATCAATATATAACTGTCTCCGTTACGATGTTATTTCACTCGAATGTACATTACATATATGTACGTCAAACGCGATTTATGCAATATAATTTATTTTAATTTTTATAAGCAATTTTAACATCTACAGATTTTTATATGTTTTACTTATACATATTTCATTCTACATAAAATTTTTACAAGAGATCTGCCTTGACGTCCTCATAAATATTTATTTTAATGTTATAGGAGAACGGATCTCAGTTCACTGATGGCGATATTTCAATATTTGAAGCTTTCGCAATATTTTGTGGTCTTGGGATCCATAATACGCAAATGTACGAAAATGCGTGCAAGTTGATGGCCAAGCAAAAGGTAAATTATTAGTTTATAAGTACAAGGTTTTGTCTGCGACTTCGCTTGTGTAGTTTATTTATATATTAGCGACTTAGCCTCGCTTCGCCCGGATGAGTCCTCAGTACCTAGATTTTTTTCACAATTTCAAGGGTTGTAATTGGCGCGGAACCATAGTTATTATATTCCTTATAAAATCAGCTATTTGGCAGAGAAAATCCCTTCAAAATCGGTCCAGCCGATTCGGAGATTAGCCGGAACAAACAAACAGACATACAAGAGTTTTAAAAATTGTTTTTATCTTATGAATACCATTTATACTTTTATATGCATTAAGTAAAAAGCTGTTATTTTGACATTACAAAAACTTATTTATTAGTATAAATTTTCAGATAGCATTTCTTAATAAGTGTGCTATAAAATACTGCAGTATAGTATTTCTGAAATTGGACTGTAACTTCCAGATAGACGCTTTCAAAGAAACAAAAACATTATCTTTAGCTTTATAATATTAGTACCAGATTGTATTTAACGATGATTGTTGAGATTTCTATACTAAAGTATGTTTTTACATTTTATCTCGAAACAAAGTATGTATTAAAAGTAACTAAAAGCTCACTAATATTATTTTTGTGTCATTAAAATACTAATTGATATATTTTAATATTAAGTTTATATCATTTAATGCTGTACTGTACTTAGTACTACTTACACTGCATTAAATTAACTTGTTTTCTTACTTCTTAAGGGTTTCTAGAAGAAATCTCTTAAAAAGATAAGTAATTATCCTTTGTTGACATTCTGTTACTTTGTTTTGTTCTAGTATTGCCCGCGGCGCCGCCCGCGTTCAGATGACCAAAAACCAAATTCTTAGGTTTTACATATTAGTATAATACAATACCTTTCATTGCAGTTTTTGTATTTTTTTCTCAAAAATGAGATATTTTCCCGCGGTAAAAAGTATCCTATATGTTGACCCGGATAAACAGCTATCACCATAACAAATTTAATCAAAATCTCTCCAGTGGTTTTTCTGTGATGCGATAACAGACAGACAAAAATTCTAAAAACTATATATTTGGCCTCTGTATCGATAATAATGACTATTTAAATAAGATTTTCCAAAAAATATTTAATGTACAGATTCGACTTAGCTAGAATTTTATTATATGTATAGATAACATATATTTTATGGTAGATAAATAAATAATATTACATATAAATGTTTATTTTAAAGGTAGCGCTAGAATGTCTGTCGTACCATGCAACGGCGTCAACTGAAGACACGAGTAAATTATGCCAAGAGGTCATACCGTCGGCCGAGGTGTATAATTTATATAGTTTTAAGTTTCACGGTAAGTTGTCTGACCTTTAACTTTATTTTGTTTTTGATAAATTTGATTTTTTTTTAGTAGGGAAGTTCCGGCACTATTTGGGAGTTAAGAGAGAATTTTTGTATTGTCTGTTTTTTGTTATCAAATTTATGGGGTCCAAAAATGACTTCATTAATTTTATAAAAAAAAATGGAATGCCTAGAAATTTCTATTGTGAGAGTCTCGCGAATGCCATGGTTTCCCTCCCCTGAATCCTACTCTGACTTACCTAAAGAGTGCGGGACTTAACTATTATGGTTTATAACAACTTGTATATCCTGTCTAGTTATTAAATTTTACATAATTTGTATGGGGTTTATGTGAAATGTATATATTATATACATAATAAGGAAAACGACAGATAGGTTATTGGATTCATTAATTATACAACTCAACTGTCATCTGTTTGATGTTTAATACAAGATATTGTAGTATAAATAATATTATTATAATTGTTAATCTCATCACTTTGTCGTAGATTTCGATTTATCTGACGAAGACACGTGTAGAGCGACGCTTCGAATGTTTTTACAGTGTAATCTAGTCGAGAAATTCCATATACCTTACGATGTAAGTATTTTATTCCTATCTCGATAAGTAAAGTTACTTAACCGAGTCATGAAAGCTCACACTAAATTTTTGTCATCTATAATCTTTAAATATATTATAATAAAATTATAACTGAGCCGAAACTGTATATTGAATATTTTTTGGAAAATATTATTGAAATAGTCATTATTATCGATACAAAGGACGAATCTATAGTTTTTAAAAAAAATTCTGTCTGTGACCGCATCATGAGAAAACCACTGGACGGATTTTTATGAAATTTGGTATGATGATAGCTGGTTATCCGGGTCAACATATAGAATACTGAAAAATATCTGTCTGCGAATTTAATAACCATCTATTTAACGGCTAAATCTTTATATTGTGGTTACTCAATTTAAACAATTGGGTATCTCCTGATTCTAATGAAACCTAGACAATTCTAAGACTAAGCTTTTTGTGATATTAAAAACCTATCTATAATAGTTCATACAAATTTAAACAAAATACTGCGTGTATATATATGTAATAATACTGCGTAATAACAAAGTAATTGAAATTCCACAACAGGTTCTTTGCCGATGGATTTTATCAGTCAAAAAGAACTACCGTCCAGTGAAATACCATAATTGGCGACACGCTCTAAACGTAGCCCAAACAATGTTTGCGATGTTGAAAACTGGCAAAATGGAACGATTTATGTCGGATTTGGAAATTCTTGGTCTTCTCGTAGCTTGTTTATGCCATGATTTAGACCATAGAGGGACTAATAACGCTTTCCAAACAAAAACAGAGAGCCCACTAGCCATTTTGTATTCGACGTCGACGATGGAACATCACCATTTCGATCAATGTGTCATGATTTTGAATAGCGAAAGCAATAATATATTTCAGGTAGGTGTTGTATGATGAATTGTACATACGATATTGTAGGTTAATTAACGACTAAAGAATTATACGAGTAAAGAGCCCGTCAAAAAAAATGTCAATGTCGAAAATAGTAGCGTGATTTTGCCATAAAGCTTATTTACTTATTTCAGATAATAATATAATGTGAATAATAATGAGTAAAATAGTAAGCCTAATATTATATTATTTTGTATTTTATTCATTAGCTATATTTGTTTTTCTTAAAGGAATATTTTTTTTAATTTTTATTACAATGAAATCCATTGTTGTAGTTTAAATACATAGTTTATGGGTCGGAGAGTGAAATATATTGAGTTTTCAATACCTCAGGGGTTCACATAAGATGGGATAAGATTAGACAACGTATTTCATTAAGAGTTACTAGAGACTAAATATGTATTTATATAACTTATAGCCTTCCTAAGAACCTCAATAAATAGGTTGTAGTATAATGCAAAGAGGTTTACTTAAACCGGACTGATAGTTCAAGAGATTAGCTCGTATAAACAAACTGGCAAACAAACAAAAAACACATACTTATCACCTAGGTATATTAAAAAAATATTAAATTAATTATTATTTCATAAATTATAAATAACTGAATATGATTACAGGCGCTCTCCCCATGCGATTATAAGGATGTAATGCGTGTTGTGGAAACGGCGATATTGTCCACAGACCTAGCAATGTACTTCAAGAAGAAATCCAAATTCCTAGAGTTGGTTGAAAATGGCGAATTCGATTGGCAAAGTCAGGAAAAGAAGGAATGTGAGTGTTAAACATGTAATATACATTGTGACGAGATGACTTGTCTGTTTGTTACATATATATTGCGAACGCACCATCCTAATGAAATTTAATATAGCTTATTTGTAGACGAAACGATCCCACGGGATAAAGTATGTATTTTTAACCGAAAATATTTTGCTTTGTGGAAATTGGCAGGATTATTACTTAAAGACAAGAAAAAAATTGTAAATAACGATTTGGTTATTAATATCATGATTTTTTTTATTTTTATTAGGATTATAGTTTAAGTGTCAATATAAACTTTTAAAATATCCATTCCTATTCATACAATAATTTCTTTTAAAAAGATTTTGAAGTTCTAATACCTTTTTAGCAAAAGTATTTATAAAATATACAAAATTTTTGACCGACGCGACTTCAAAGAAGTGACAAAAGTTATTTTTAAGTTAGGACCTTGAAATGTGTGCAAATTTGTATCATTATTTCATCAAGGAAAACACTGAATCGATTTTCAAATCATCACACCATAAAATATATGCAAATATCTATCCTTTTATAGTGTTATGCGGTATGATGATGACGGCGTGCGACGTGTCCGCCATCGCCAAGCCCTGGGAGGTTCAGCACAAAGTGGCCAAACTGGTTGCTGACGAGTTCTTCGACCAGGGTGACTTGGAGAAGTTACAGCTCAACCAACAGCCTATTGCTATGATGGACAGGTATTGTTTATGTTTGATTGTTCATTGAATTATCAGCAAAAGCTGCAATAAATATGTTGGGATATTAACACACAGCACCATCTAGTTCCATGGTAAGCTACGAGGCCTGTGTTACGGATACCAGATAGTTCACACACTACACATGTATAACTTTTGAATGCATACATATTATAAACATAAACACCCATAACTGGAGAATAAACATTCGTGCTCATCGAACAAATGAATGTTCCCAGCGGGACTCGAACCCGCGACCGCTGGCACAGCAAGTAACACTACAAACTGAGCCAAACGTGTCGTCGTACTGTTGGTTTTACTCCTATTATCCAGATAATGAAAACCGTAATCTTAGTTCTGTGTCCTAAAAATTTCAGAGAGAAAAAAGACGAGTTACCCCAAATGCAAGTGGGTTTCATAGATATGATCTGCCTGCCTTTATACAAAGTACTCTCAGACACATTCCCTTGGATACAGCCATTGTATACCGGGACTATGGAAAATAGGCAGAGGTGGCAAGATTTAGCTGAAAAAGTCGAAATGGGATTGACATGGATAGACCATGACACTATTGATAAGCCAATTGAAGAGTTCACAGGTCTGTATGTTTGTACGTTTAGTATTATGTTAGTATCTGGGCGATCTTCGCTTCGCTGGACGTATAGAATAGGGCTGAATGAAGCCTTTGAAAATGGTAAAAAGTTAAAAACAATAATAGTAGAATGAAACCCATTGGAAACGGAAGAGAATATTGTTATATTCTCTCCCTTTTCCAATGGGTTTCATCTTACTATTATTAGTTTTTTGGTTTCAAAAATTATCGACCCTGGTCTAGTGGCGCTCGTTGAGTAGGTTATCATCCGTGGGCGATAATGCGAGTACCGCTAACATTTACGAGATTGTGTTATAAAATAGTGTACTTTTTTGGTGAAAAATTGCATTTTTTTATAGGTAAACTTGAAAAAACCTTATCTAAATCAAGAATTTGATCCAAATCGTTAAAAACGTTTCTGAAATACACGAAATAAATACACGAATACTCATTTAACATTAAAAGATTTTGGTTTGATTTTTCGTAGTTACGTATGTATAAGTAGGTATTTTAGAATTAATATTAGAATGAGATGGTCATTCCTTTTACTTGTGTTATTAATACGCAGAGTTAAAATACATATAAGTAGGGCAGGCAGTCTATTTGTTGGTCTGTTTTTTCTTATATAGCGACTGACTCTGTTGCAAATATTCATAGACTAGCGACTTGTTACTCCAGGTTACATAGTACTTTATCAATGTACTTTTCATCCAAATCCAATCAGCCGTTTTATTGTAAAGAAGAAACAAACATACAATCATACACATACAAACTTTCAGTTATCTAATCTATACTAATATTATAAAGAGGCAGATCGTGCTTGTTTGTTTGAACGCGCTAATCTCTGGAACTATTAATGCGATTTAAAAAATTCTTTTTACATTAGATAGCCCGTTTATTGAGGAAGGCTATAGGCTATATATAACATCATGCTACTATCCAAGGGAGCGGAACTGTAATCATTAAATATCGACAAATCGGACAGACTTCCATACATTATTGTAATACTGAAGCTTATATGGGAAGTTTAAACGCGGGCGAAGCCGCGTATACTGCTATATTTATTATACATATATATAATGTATAAATAATTATAATTTATTCTACTTATAACATAATAGCATTAAACCTCAATCAGATACATAATTTAGTTCTGTTAATTAGTTTAATTAGATTTAGTTTTATTATTTAATTTTAAGTGACGTTATCAACCCTATTCTAGTGCATTTTAAACATTGTCCACTAATACACTAAACTTGTATTTTTCTGTATTTTAATATAGGCCAAGTTCAAATACTCGTATTACGTAAGCAGGTTGATCCAAAATTTTCTTAAATTTGCTGACATAGAGAAGTGGAGGGTCTAAAATCCTTAAAAATATACTTACGTAATACTTGAACGGCCGCTATGCACATCTGTTAGAGTTCCTTAATAAATAAATAAATTCTAAAACAGCATCGAACGAGCCAATAAAAGACGTAGAGTTAACAGTAACTACACTGAACTGCGCACGTCCCGTGTCAGACAGTATGGCGCTGGTCAAACCGATCAAGACATCCTTCCATTCATTGCGACGAGGCAAAAGTGGCAATTTCAATAGACCGGCTCGAAGTAAACTTACTAGGTACGTTGTAGTGTTTTAAAAGCATTAGTTTTTGATGTGAAACATCTATTGGCGCTTTGGCAATAAAACCGACTTAGTGTGACGGAAAACGGTGGCGCTTAAAATTTACAAACAGACATAACATATATCCTTATTTATATTTGAAAATAATTATATTGTTTCCAATTTTTATTATTAGAATAGTGTAATCAATTTTTGCTCACTTTAAAAAAGTTCACTTTCAATTACTTCTTGAAGCTTTTGAAATTTCAAATATTGTGCAAACGCGTGAGCCTAATTATCAGATATACAGTCAAATATTTTTTTTTTACTAATAAGTTGTATTAAACATGTATAAATGTATAAAGTATGCATTTTTTATTACTTTTTTTACAATTTTATTAGTGAAGAGAAAATAAATTTCATTACCATTTCGTATATCAATAATATATGTAATAATTAATAATATAAATATTACAAGAAAATCAATATGAATAAATTTTGTTTAACTTGGCTACTCTGTGAATGCAAGGTAAATTTTCCAGAGTAAAAGGCTTCAATGGTTTTTTTTATATATACATATGTAGGTAATGCACGTTTCATCTAAATCTAAATATCTATGACTAAATTATTGATAAATCCGTTTAAATAAATTATACATAAAATTCCTAATCATATTTTATAAATAAATAAAATATAATTTTAAAGGAAAATATTTACTTTAGTGTAATATGTAGTATTATAATTTATGAGCACTAATTAATAAAGAAGAATAAATAATATAATGACATTATAAGAAAAAACAAACCGACTTCAAAATAGCCTTAAAAATACCGGTACATTTCTTCTACAAAATTTGGCCAAATATAATATACTCTTAAGTATAAATATGATTACAATATAAAATCGATTTACAATGAGAGAATGAATCCTCTTTTTTGAGGTCGGTTAATAAATAAAAACAAATATAATCAAATACAAAAACCATTAAAACACAACGTAATCGATGTGAACGCGAAGTTTTCTACAGATCCCTCTACGCGCCAAGCACACGCGAAGAGACGAGGGAGACGGAACCGCCTCCCGTGCACAAGACATCTAAACATAAGGGGCGGTGAGTTGATAAACAGACGAACACACAACATACATACAAGCATACAGTATATATACAGACACAACACTATTAAGTGATGAGTAAAAATGTATGCCCTTAGCAAAATCGTGTAGTACCTAGATTGATAATAAAAAAATAAATTTGAAAAAGGAAAAACTCGACTGAGAACTAAAAATATATAAATATTCCACATATGGAACATAGTATTTGCAGCGGATATGTATATCATATATATAAGTCGCTTAAGCTGTTTCGTAATTGTAAGAGATTATAGGGTTGGACTCAGGTCAAATACATAACCATCCTTTGGGCTTCGCCACAGTCGGGTAAAAGTGGTCTGTGTGTTAATCTAAGATTCAAATTTATTGAGCTTTTGCAGCTTGAAAGTAACAAGCATACAAAGACTTATAATATTAGTGTTATAAATATTATTATATTTTTACATTTTATATTATATTTTATTACAATTTGGAATTATTTTATATTATTACATTTTGGAACTAAGTTTATTTATCGCACTTTATACTCTGCACACTTGGCGAATGCTTTCATTCGCCTAGACTGAAAGAATTGTAATTTTTACCGTCACGACACTTTTTATTGTTTACTATATATACCCCATGTGACGTCATCATAAGTACCAAGAAAGCATAAGTGTTGAGGAGTGTATGTTATAAGAAATTCGGTTGCACTCTGCTTCTTCTTCAATGAGTTATAACATGAACAATATACGTTGCTGGATGTTCATGACACTCTATAGTACAGTCGTGACAATATTTATAAGTGAAGGGCAGGCAGCGAAAGGAACTTCGTTCCTACCGGGCGTTCCACAATACTGACCGACTTTTTTTCGCTTCTTTGCGCATTTTATTAAATCTATACTAATATTATAAAGATTTTTTTATTTGTTTGTGCCGAATAAACTCCGAAACTATTGGACCGATTTAGATGAAATTTGCTAAGAACATAGTTTGAGACTATTGTTTTTATCTCGGAAATCATCTCTTGAGGGGGTCTAAATGGGGATGAAAGTGTGCATGTGCCTTGCAATGTGACTTTTGGTACTATATTTTAGCAATATCTGACTTACACATATAAAATATACTATCGGTACATAAATATTACCGTTACCGTACATGTAACGCATGTAGTCGAGCAAAGAAATATAGTCCATTAATTTTAAAATATTTTACTTTCCTTTAAACTAAATTCATATAAATATATTTCTTTTACTTTACAGGTTATGCCATATGTTGTGACGGTTAAGTTTCAACTGGTAAGCGAGTTTTCACATAAAAGTGATTTAAAACTCCGTAACAATATCTTCTAACAAGCTTATATTTTTAGGAGCAGCCAAAGCAGTTCAGACAAAAAGGACAAAGTGAAACCGTCCAAATCAATTGACTAACCCACGAAATTCATGGACGTTCTTTAATAGTGCTGTTTCTTCAGGTTATTAGATGCTGTTAGAATTAACCTACTTAGTAGTTTGTAGAACTTATCACATCTGATTGAGAAAAGCGAATATTTATACCGAAATATCAGAAATTATCATTAGTCCTTCGAGCCGGATAAAATGTTGTTTTTTTTTCAATTTGGTATTAAAGATTTTTTTAGATACAATATTGTTTTTTTCAATCAGACGACTTATAGGGGACATTTATTTAATCTATTCGTCGTTTTGACGTTAACGGTTGCCCGTAAAACTCTTAGATAAATGTTGACGTATTTAATATAGACTGTGATCTAGTGTTACTTCACGAGATTTCTATTTTAAACTCTGTATATATGGCCGGGGATGTTTTAAAATAACATTTTTTTATTAGAACAAATTACATGTACTATTATATATTACTTTTTACTCTTGATATAATCATAAATATTATTTATCTGTACATATATTTCTATGTATCTCTATCTGATGTATTCAACGTCCTTCATTTTAATTTCTTTTCTGAAACGGAACTAACACTTTGTCATTTAATAACTCATAAACTTTCATCGATCAATTAATTTAATGACATGATATATTATCATGTTACTCGTATATTATCTCTTCCGTTGCCTTCGATGCTATATTTTTTGTGTGTCACCAGCTTTATTTCATAGATAAGCCCTATAAATAAGTTTATAGTTTTTTGAAGTGAAAACTTCTATAGTCAGGTTTGGATGGGGAGTAAATTCATGTAAGTCGTCATCGACATGGTCACGAGACGTGTTAACACTAAAGATGTCAAAACCAGATGAATTTAAACAGTTTTAATTAAGGATCAAACAATTTGAATATCCAAAAATAACAACAGTTTTTTTATAGTTTTAAGTTTTCACTTCTCTCGGCAGTCCTCATGACTGCTTTTTTACATGAGAATTACGAACATAAGTTGTCAATTGATTTGTTTGTTTAAGCAGAAAGTATTATGATGCTAGTCGAGTTATTTAAACTTACTGTTATATGGTTATTACGTCCACTTCTCTTATGAAGATTTGTGCAATAATAATACTAAAGAGACAATTAATATTTATAACTTTTTTTTAATTTATTTTGACATTTTATCCAGAGATTTAATTTATCTGTAGTAATTATGTATAATTTATTTTATTATGGTTAAGTAACGTATTTTCTTTTGAAGATACTTATTGGTAACAATATGTACAACGATAATTTAGGTATTGTAATGAATTATTTATTTTAACAAGTTTTACGGAAAATTGCTATATTTTTTTGTAATTTTTATTATTATATACATATAATATGTAAAAAAATCGTACTATGTCGTACGGACAGCGGACAAACCAAAGAGGGCCGTTATTTTTAAATTATTGTGTAAATATCTATCCATAATCTATTATCTAATTTTTCCCTTCCATACAAACTTCCTTTTCCTTGGGCAATATGTATTTTATATTTAAAATTTACTGTCATTTTACCTGTTAACTACTATTGTGTAAATTATTAGCGATTTTAGAATTCAAATGTTGTGAAATAGACTAGTAAGAAGTATTGATGTTTATAAAATAAATATGGATCTTAAATCCAGTTTTAATCTGTTACCTTTTTAAATACTGATGAGATTTTGATTTAAAATATATTATACTTTATAGTACATTTGTGTTTTCCTCTACAGGTTATACTGATAAATATTTAAAGTTAGATGATTTACTTGTGAACGTGTGAAAGGAATTTCAATTTTTATTTATTTCTTCCCTTAAAAATATCTTCCTTAATCCACTGCCAAGTACAAAAAAAATATTTTTAATTTATTTAATTAAACCCAGTGTCTTGTAAATTATTTTTCCATTTTAAATTATATGTGAACATATTTTACTATTTCCTCACATATTTAATAAATCACAGACCTTAAACAGTTTATGTTTAAAAAATAATAATCTGTGAACAAAAAAAAACACTTTTTTGGGTATTTATTTAAATAGGAACTAATATATTATAACATTGTTTCTATCTTTTATATACAACTAAACTGTTCATTTCTAAAAAAATCGAAAAATTGAATGATTGTGTTTACGTAAATAAAATTATTGTGAACTTCTTTATTTGTTTTATTTTAACAGCGTTCATTTAATAATATGTTCTTCCTGTGTTTGAAAATGGATCATAATTCATTAAATTAAACATTAATGAGGTTCTTCTCAAAATTGTATAGATAGACTATAGATTTTAACATTTCTATTTACTAACAAGCTTCGATCAACAATACTACTAGATATCGGGTCGGCGGCGTAAAAAATCCGTCTCGGTAAATATAAGCTCACTTGCAAAGTGAGCGTATATTTCGATTAGTTCTATTGAAACACTGCCAACGTAAACACGTTCACAACGCCGCAATATGTATTTAAAAGTTGCAAAAATAATGCGCGTAGGAGAAATATTTCAGACGGTGTGTCTTATTTTCGGTAAATACACGTAGATTAAGTCAATATTTTAACCTACGAAATAATATAAAAATGAAATTTTGAACAATTTTAAATCCGCTAAGAACGTTTGGCCCAGGTCGGCCAATATACGCGCCAATACAAAGAAGCAAACAGAAACAAAACAATGATTTAGCTCACAAGGCAAGAACGGGGAAAAGTGCTTTATGTATTTTGTTATAAGGTTGATTTTACAATACAGATTATAAAACTTACGAAATGATCGTAATATGATAATTCAAAGATTTGTGACTTTATTACAAGATGGTGTTGATTAGCTTGAAAATTAAACTATTATAGGACTTTGTCTTCGGTTCGTTAGTATACAAATGAAGCTGTATAAGTGCATATTCGCGCGGACAGTATTTAGCTTTGATTTTGTATGTGACACGTTATCTAGTACTATTGTTGATCGAAGCTAACAAGATTATAAAATGCAAAATCATTTTTTCAAGTCCGATCCGGAGTACCAGACATTAGCACTCGCAGATAATCAAATTAGGTAACTCTTCAGCTTTATATTATAGATATAAAGCTGAAGAGTTAATTTATCATATAATAAAATTCTAACAGGGTCGAATCTGTAAATTAAATATTTTTTGGAAAATCTTATTGAATTATTCATTATTGTCGATACAGAGGCCGAATCTTTAGTTTTTAGATTTTTTGTCTGTCTGTTGGTCTGGGAACGCATCACGAGAAAACCACTGGACAGGTTTTGATGAAATTTGGTATGATGATAGCTTGTTGTTCGGGTCAATATATAGGATACATACTTTTTACCGCAGGAAAATATCTCATATCTCTGAGGAACCTATACTAACCGTTAAAACGCACCTGGGGACGCTGCCCGAGCGGAGCGAGGGTGAGTCGCTAGTATTAGTATAAAATTAGTAACTTTATGAGCGAAAAAATTATCTATACAGATAAATAAAATTATCTACACAGATAAATAAAATTGAAGTGTTGTTGAAGTAAAATAATAGCTTTTTATTAAATGCTTATGAAAGTATGTATATATGGTACCGATAAGAAAAAAACTATTTTTTTTATCTGTTTGTTTCGGCTAATCTCCGAAACGGCTGGACCAATTTTGACGAGACTTTCATTGACAGATATTTGATGGTATAAGGAGTAACTTGGGCTACTTTTATTTATAAAAATGAAACAGGGTTCCGCGCAAATTAAAACCCATTAATATATCAATATATTATAGTATTTACATACAATATATTACAGACTAGCGATTTATCCTCACTTCGCACAAGTGCGTCCCTGGGTATGTTTTAAATACATTTAATACTTATTGCTAGTGTACCTTGGGAAATAGACATATGCTATTGTGGACTTTTCTGTAAGCCTTCTTAAGACCTACAATTTTCTAATAGGTACATTGTTTTGATGTATCTCTTCTTAACTTCTGGTTCATGCGGGTTGTCCCACATGAACTATTTTTCTAATATATGAGGATAGATAAGACTCGGTATTTGGTAATCTCTGTAATAAACACTATGATTACATAGTACAAGGTACTCTTGAAAGAAGAATACAAATGACAATAGGCAAAAGTCAAAACCTAAGGCTATGGTGATTTTATTGCTATGAGCAGTCCCTGAGAGAGGCAAACTTTACAGATATTTGAATAAATTGAAAAGGGACAGAACAAATCCATATAATTAAGATATTTAAAGCATATACCCTTTAAACTTTGTTTCTGTTTAATTGTAATTTTCTTGAATATTATAACTGGAAAGATTTTAATAGGATGTGTATTACATAGGTAATAAACTTTATAAAAAAAAAAATTTACATGGCTCAATATGTTCAAAGAACTCGCACAATTCAATGTTATTCCTTGCTATAAGGAAATATCTGTCCAATTTAAATGAAATATATATATATATTAACTATAACTTGTTTATTTACTATTAGTATTAATTATTACATAACTAATTAATAATTATCTCTTGGTTTCTTTCTTGTTATGTGAAATTCTTCTCGTGTATGGTATGGTGCGTAAGGGTCATCCACATAATATTTAGGTTTTTTCCAAAAGTTTGTAACCATTTTATCTAATAACGTAGTTTGAGTGGAATTGCAGAATACATGTTGCCTTAGGCGTCGCTTATTTGGCCCTGATTTTTTCCATAGTTTCTTGTGACGACCAATTTTAGTCCTGATCCATCCACCCCAGTGTAATCGAAAGAATCTTTTGACGACTGCTTTAACTGTCTTCCTTTTGCCTCGTTTTAAACTAAATTTAGTCACCGTTCTTGTTGGTACAACTAAAGTCTTAGAAATGTCCAATATTTGTGAGTTATTTAATAAAGAATTTGCTTGAAAGCCTGTAATTTTTATTGCATTTATATTTAACGAGTTTAGAGTAGAAAAATTCTTTGATTCATTAGTGATAATTCTGGCAGCATTATAATATGGTATCGTTAGAGGTCGTATATTTCGAAATGCTGAAAAAAAATAACCTTAAATCAGTATCTAAGTTAACAAACGTTATTCAATATTTAGGACGTTTTAAATATCAAGCAATAATAAATATAAAATAAATAAAGCAACACAATAGAACTATATAATCATAGTAAGTTATATTATTTACCTGATATCGCATAACGAAACATTTTGTCTGAAAAATGAAAATTTATGAATATTTGTGCCCAAGCTTGTCAAATAATACATAGATAACTATCGATTAAATCAGTATATCGATATTTTTGTATATTTAAATTATATTATTTTAAATATCAACAATTATCATCTGTACAAATTTAAAATGAAAGAGAAACATATACATATTTAATAATAAAGACATGTTTAATTTGTATATTTAAATATTATGTCACAGTTATCATAAGCTTAAGGCAAGCCCTAGTTGCTTGACTACTGTCTATGGCCATCTATCTGGTCTTGCTTTGACAGCCCGAGTGGAAGAGATAGAGTGCCGAAAATGTATAGATTTACAAATCATTTAACAAATCCTAATTTAGTTTTGGTAAGTGTATTTTTTATAACATTTAATCAGTAAATGTGAACCAGATATTTATTTACTCTGCCTTTAGATAGAAATCGGACTTAATATTTTTGTTTTCTGAATTATCTGTACTTAGAGAATTCTTCAAATTGTTTCAGGTTTAAAAATATTATTTAATGTACCTTTTCTTGTTTAAGTTGTGTAGCACAACAAACTTTGTTATTGTTGTACCTTACATAACAATCTATGGACGTCATTTTTGTAAATAACCTATAAATATACTTAATATTTTGATGGTCAATGACAATCAGCTGAGATTTAAAAGTTTGTTATAAATAAACATTACAACACCAATTTGAAGATAATTGGATATAGACAGCTTTAGAATGAATAACATATTCATTAATGAACTAAATGACTAATTTAATAATACATAGTTACCATGGAAAAAAATCTAAAGTTATACAATTTTGATCAACAAATTTATTATATGTATATATAAATAACATTTTTGTCAAAACAGAAGGGAAGAAAACATACTGCTTATTGAAATACTTTTATTTCTTTAAGGTTATTGAAGTTCATTATAATAATTAAAACTATTTTTATTACATAACAAACCTACAGGTTAGAAAACAAATAGGGGATGGATCATGTGCTGCATTGATAGTAATGCGAGCCCCACGGCGCCGGTATGCTAAGTTTGAACAGGAGAACAGCCCACCGAATAAAGAGAAACCAAAGTCTCGAAAATTGTTCTGGGGAACTGTCGGTGCAACTGTTTTGACTGGCGCAGCTGTTGTATACGCTAAGTAAGTTAATTTCATTTTTTACTTTTCATATAAAGAAATATGTTAGGACATTAACACACACCACCATTTAGTTCCATGGTAAGCTACGAGGCTTGTGTTATGGATACCAGATAATTGATACACTACACATATATAACTTAAAATACATACATATTATAAATATTAACACCCATGACTGGAGTACAAACATTCGTGTTCATCACACAAATGAATGCCCCCAGCGGGACACGAACCCGCGACCGCTGGCACAGCGAGTAGGGTCACTACAAACTGAGCTAAACGTATCGTCAATATATATTTTGTCGTCAGTATATAATTTGTTTTTATTCGTCTTAATTAAAACTGTAGTACCTGGGTGACCGAGCTTCGCTCGGAGGATCTGGCCACAGGTACAATTTTCTTTTAAAAAAATCTAGAATAAATACAAAAAAAAAGTAAAACTAACCGACCGGGCTTCAAACCCAGACACCTATGGTTTGAGTGGAATAATGCGAAAGAAACCCGCATGAAAATCAAAAAACCCTGTTTTCCCAGACATAAGACTAATGTAGATCGATTTATCGCCCCTGAAACCCCGCATGCTAAATTTCATGAAAATCATTGGAGCTGTTTCTGAGATATTATTTTGAGGCTTAATGGGTAGTCTGTTAAAAGGCAGTCTCCTTTTGGAAAAATTTAAGATATTAATTTTTTTTATTAAAGCATTGAACTATATATTATATTATTTAGTGATATCCCAACCTCACTTGTATCAGTTATTGTGATGTGAGTGCAATTAGATCAGCCCAGTGTATATTTTATAATATTATTATTATTCATATAGTCTCATAAAAATAATAACAGTACTCATAAAATAATACAGACTTGTTTATAAACATAGACTGGCTGTTTGCTATTTTTGTGCAGGAGATATTATAGTCCACAAGTGCTTGCATAGATAGATACAAGCACCATTATTCCTGTTACTCCCAAATTACGATGGGACGATAATTCGACGTGACCGTGAGAGATCAGGCGCAGTACTGACGGCTTACTACCATGCTCTCTGAGGCACGGGGGTGAAACATTGCCAACTTCCATACTCTGTGCTGTTACTGTGACTTAAAACTCATTAACTTGGCGCATCCCGGTACTTAAATCCAGGACCTCTGAATGTGAAGCTGTACATGTTGTAAAACTATGTTAATGTACACAAATTCTATAATGTCCTTTTCAGATCTAGTCCTGAGGCACGCAATTGGTTAGAATCTAACGCACCCTGGGCTAATGACTTTGTGGCTTTAGTGTACCAAGAAAATACTTCATATTGGAAGTTTACCTTGAACCAGTTTAATAAAGCTACTACAAGTATTAGCAACTTTATGTTTGGAAAGGTAATTTTTTAAATGTTGTGTTATCTGTGTTTCTAAATAGCTATTTGTATAACACTAATATTCCATGGGAACCACTGTCACTATGCCATGTATCTATATAAAAAAATGTCTTTTACTCTGTTTTTACCCTTACATGGAAAATAGATGAAAATGATACATTTTTCCGGGATAAAAAGTAGCTAATGTGCTATTCAAGACTATCTCTGTGTCAAATTTCATCCAGATCCGTTCAGCCGTTCTGGCATGATTGAGTAACAAACATCCATCCACCCAAACTTTCGCATTTATAATATTTATGGATTGTTTTGTAGGAAGGCGTTTCTCCACTCGAATTCCCACAAAGATCAGAACAAAATTTAGAAAAAGATGCTAAGAAATTCTTCGATAAGAAGACCTATGAATGTGTGTATAATTTTCTATTAAAATTTGTATGACTAACATTAGAGCACTTTCTTTTGTGGGATACATTTCTTCTAGATTATTTTGTGGGAGTATATCAATGTTTAGTGTTGTAAAATGTAGATGTTATTTGTAGGGTACATCCCTATTGTTTTGAAGCTTAATCTTTAATGTTATCTATGAGCTAACAGTATTTATTACTTGACAATAAGATATATATAAAGACAATAGGTTTTATTAAATAAGACTAGGGTTGAATAAAGTAAAAATGTAATAAATATGACTTTAATTCTTTTACAAGCAGCTACAGATAAAAAAACTGTTCAGGACAAATCTAAGGGCAAAGGTATTTGTTTTAAAAAGCTAGCATATTTGTTTGAAAGCTTGTGAATTGTTTTAATTTTGTTCTATTTAATCCAAACAAAATAATTATTGTACCTTTGTGATGCCTTTCAAATTATTCTATATAATATAAATATTTTTTTAAAAAGGTTTATGGACAATGGGTTATGTAAAATATTATTTTTAAAGTATTTTCTTGTAATAAAGTATCTGACCATGTCTTTTTCAAATTCGAACTTCCCATTAAAATAACTTATATGCATAATTAGATTTAAATAATAATTTATTTGTCCATTGTCACAGAAACTAATTTAAAAAAAGCATGATTTCAGATTAATTTACATCATACACGTTTGTTTTCAATACTTTAGACTTAGGGGTAATAAATAATAAAACTTAACTTAAACTAACATAGATACCACATCATTCTAACAGTACCCCCGCCCACATTCGAACCGTTGTACGTTGAAGAGAAGAAGCTGGAGACACCCGAAGTTGAAACACCAGGTATGTGAAATTGTTAATATTAAAGTAATATACTAAAGACATTACCCTGACTAAAGAAATAAATTCATATATTTTTTATAGAAAAGACAAAGGATTGGCTTATTGTTTATAAACAGATTGCCATGTAACAGAATTCAAAATAGAAAAAATATATAGAAAAACCGATACTTTAGTTTTTTTTCTCGAATTTCCCAATTTTTTAATAACTATTCAGAGCATTGCGAGCATATATAAATAAAAATTGGCTAGACCGATTCAGCCATTGTAGCAAGTGATGCGTTTATCAATTAACAGCATTTCCATTTTATTTATGAAGACCCTATGACATTATTGCGCTTATTATTATACTACTATAAATACCGCATTCCTTACTATGAAAATGGATGGTCCTAATACAGGCTATTACTCGAGTTATTTTATTTTCCTGAATAGACGATAGATGGCGCTTACAAAAACTGCCCAAACTATTTAATGGAAATCGGAAATATTGCTTTATTGCAAAAAAACCACATATTTTGCGTTGCGATAAATTGTATAATAAAAATAATGATTTTTTAATCGTTAGTAAAATTGTAAAATTATGGAAATTGAAAAACCCTTAAGATTAAATTAACTCTCTTTTTTTTCGTGTCAGTTGAACACAGATTACTTTGCCAATGTCACGTGGAATCATCGATCAAAAAAGTACTAGATACACAATCCCATACAAAAGTTCTCTTAAAACTGTCACCAATTGTGTTTAGATAATCATTCTAATTGAAATAAATATGCAACAATGTAAATTGAACCTTAAGTTCCTTGCTTTAAGTTGTTTTCACAAAAAAATAATAATAGCGCGCCCAAATGTTCAAATGAGTGCTCATTCGGTGGGAATATTTTTTGTCGCTGCGCTTTTTTGATCGATGCGTGGAACGGAGAAGGCCCTTAAGATATCATTTTTCTTTATTCTAAGTCCTAAGAGATTGAAATTTTATAATTTTCAGCTATTCTCGTCCAAACTGAGAAATGTGATCCTGAAAGTCCGGCTCCCATAAGAATAACCAAGGACATGGTGGAGCTAGAACACGATATGCATGTAAACACCAAAATAGCAATCGATAACTATAAGAAAGCAACACAACATTGTGCTGATTATAATAAAGCGTTGTATAAGGTGAGCGTTGAGTTCTTATATTCTGTATATTTTTTAAAGCTTTTGTATAGTCAGTGAAAAAAATGAAATTGTAAGATTATGAATATTTCGTAAATTATTATCTTAATGATAATACAACTGTATATTATTGTTTATTAATTGTTTTACGGTACTGTACCTGAAGGGTGTTAACAGGACCCTATAACTAAGCCCCTGTTGTCCTGCCGTCTGTCTGTCAGCGGGGTGTATCTCATGAACTTATAGGCAAAGAGTTAATACTTGCTTAGAATTTACTTAAACGGCAAAGAGTTGAAATTTTCACAGAGAGTATTTGTATTGCCGCTATAGCAACAAATCGTAAAAAACCAAGATGGCTCATTTCGAAGTAGCCGCCATGCAAATTAAAAAAAAATGTTTCTTTTACAGAAGTCTATAAAAAAAGTACATACTATTATATCTTGTAAGATGGTACGGAATTCTTCGTGAGCTAGTCCGACTCGTACTTGACCGGTTTTTATTTAAATTATAGTTTGTTTTTAAATTTCACATACATATCAATATCACAATTCTTTATTTGAAACCTCATGGTCAATAGATTTATACATATTACTAACTTTTTTTTCCTTAATGGCTTATAGTTGCTTTAACAGACGCAATCCATTATTACTAACTTTACTAAGTGGCTTTTGTATTCAAAACGTTATATTTGTACACAGGCAAAGCCATCTTTTCACAAAATTCATTACTGACGATAGCCTAAATCGGTCTAGCTGTATCAGTGTGAAGGACTAAAATACAAATATAAAAACTTTATGTATAACATATATAAGTATAACAGTTTATTTATTTATTTTAATTTATTATTTTTATTTATTTATTGAATAGTAAAGTAACAGCTAGTTGTATATAATATTAATCCTTATACTAGAGCACACTCTTAAGTATCTATGATAGAAATTGTATACTTACACACAATTGTACACTTACAGGCTAACTCAACATGCATAATGAATATATAAAGAAGAACGGAAAAACAATACAATACATTCTTTGAATTAGTAATTTTAAAAACTTACATAGTATTACTAAAATATACTAAAAAAAAATTATAAAAATTAAAACAACCAAAAAATAATAGACAATTAAAATGTACATAAACAATATGAACTATAAAATATTTCAATGTATGAAGAAAAAATAAAAAAACATATCACACATACAACATTAAAATCTATATGAGGCAATTCTAAGTGGTGAACATTTTTTTAATCGTCTTCTAAAAGTTGAAGGGGATTGTTAGAAAATATCTAAACATGCGTTTAATAAATACGTTGTTGTATGTAACAACTACTCTAATTACAGATAATAGAATCTCCCATCGACGACTTGGATAAAAAGCACTTTTCATCTCTTCAAGGCGCAAACCTTGAGAGAGATTCAACCATAAAGAAGGCTCAAGAAGCTGCATCTAAGGCAAAATTGGCTATTGGTACGTATATTTTTTGTATGTAAAAAAGTCAACAGCTCACACCTCTGATATGGTTCATGTGCGAATTATTTCCAACTTGATTACCGTTTTTCTTACGGTGAAGGAAAACATTGTGAGAAAACCTGCACGTCTGAGAGAACCTAGCAAGATTTCGAAAGCCATGTGAAGTCCGCCTCGCACTTGGCCAGCGTGGCGAACTATCTTTTATTACACAAGGTTTTAATTAGTTTCATATGTTCTAGTGTCTGTCTGTAATCAAATCTTGCAAGTTAATTTTGACCCACTTTCCAGTGTTTGATTGAGCTGAAATTTGGCACACACGTATTGTTCTCCTGACAATGCACGATTTCTTAAATGCCGCCATTTGTAATTCAATATGGCGGATTTATCTTTTCCATAGTGACTTACGATATGTGCATCAAATGAAAGAGCGTTTCGTTCAAAGCCAAATGACGTCATTTAATTAATGAATTAAAAAAAGCAATCTTTTACTTAAATGCTCTAAAAATAAACAAATATAACTTTTTACGTGCTTGCTTAAGTTTGCACGACCCTTTTTTTATTTACAAGTAAAGATCTAAGTTTAATTTCAAGTAAGGGTTATACTATCGTCATATACTTCCTGTATGATCCGCCTTACGCTGAGTAAAATATATAAAACTAACGCTAATAAATTATAATATATATTGTGTACCTTGTACGTGGACTTAGCCGTGGAAGTGTTGCCGGGCCCGGAATCCTTAATCCTGCGTAGGCACTGATCACTAGGGGTGTTTTGTGTGTATGTAGAATATAATATATAAGTCCATTAATCCATCCGACCGAAATACTTTGATTTTCTTTGTAACCGACACAATTCAAAAGGGGAGCTCTCGTCCCACCGACCGACGAATACCGAATGCCATTGACAACTGTCATTTCAAACCCGACCTAAGATGATACCATATAAAAAATACTAAACACTTCCTATACTGTATATTATTCTTTTCAGAAACCCTGGACCGTATGATAAAAGCTGGAGTTCAAGCGCCACCAGAAAGCGTAGCAGCGACTAACAGATATATAAAGCAGTTTAGAGCAGATCTAAGTGAAGCAGAAACAGCATATAAAGAATGCTTGGAGAAAGCCGTACTGAGTGACAAGTATTGGAATAAGGTATCATGTTATTGTATTTGTTTGTAATTTAATATTAATTGTAGGAAAAATCTTGTTATATATAAAAATTTGTGAGGACGGATGGATGTCTGTTACTCAATCACGCCAGAACGGCTGAACGGATCTGGATGAAATTTGGCACAGAGATAGATTATAGTTTGGAATAGCGCATAGGTTTCTTTTTATCCAGAAAAAATGTGTGGTCCCTGTGGGATAGATTTGTTTTTGTTTTACACTAGGGACGAATCCGAATCATATATATATATATATATATATATATATATATATCACATATATATACATATATATATATATATATATATATATATATATATATATGTTGGGACATTAACGCACAGGCCCATCTAGTTCCACGGTAAGCTACGAGGCTACCCAATAGTTATTCATTACACATATTATACAACTTTAAATACATACTTATTATGAATAATGATATAATACCACATAAATACTTGAAAATCTCTATTCCAGGTTGAGGCAGCTCGTATGGCGTATAAAGAGGAACTGCAAATGCTATTCCCAGGCATCGACCTGAATGCTAGACAGCTAGATGTACGAGGCGATACTGATATACTGCTTATGTATACATTGAAACAGGTATACGAGGATTTTATTTATTATATGTAAGCGGTTATTGTAAAGGCTATGGTAGCCCAGTGGTAATCCGCTCGCTTGGAAAACCGATTGGAGCGGGTTCAAATCCCGGGTCTGACGCCTCTGATATTTTCATGTGTGAATCATTTTTAACATGATTACTACTTGTACGACAAGTAAAGGAAAACATCGAAACCTGCAAGTCTGAGAGAACTTAGCAAGTTTTCGAAAGACATGCTCAGTCCGCCCGCACTCAATCTCTTAATTTGTTTTAATTTAATTGCGATATTTGCCAAAGAAGTTTCACTTCTACTGTGAGTCAATTGTATACACATTAGACACACTTTTAATATTTTTTTCGTATACTACTACAGTTGAATATACAACTAGAATTGTCTAGCCGTTCATTAGACACTAGACTTTCTAAATTTTATCAGTAAAGCTCCAATAATTACTGAGTAAGATGGCTGTGACATGCATACATTTCTTTTGAAGGGTTCTTTAAATTTTGGCTATGGAATCCTAAAAATTATCTTTTTTATATGGTCACATATAAAGATTTTTAGTGGTCAATTTTTAAATGGTCACAAAAAATTGAAGTTGTCACATTAAATTTTAAGTGGACACAAAATACTTATACTTGACAATATTATATCATTATGTCCATTTTTGTTTTCAGATCCAATATCTACAGAATGAAATAGCCGAATTACAAACGCTAAGGGAATTGAAAATTAATAGAGCTATTGAATGTAAGTATATATAAATAAATAAATATATTGGGACATTAACACACAGCACCATCGAGTTCCATGGTATTCTATGAGGCTTGTGTTATGCATAATGACTCGAACCAGCGACGTGTAATAGTTTGTCTATAACTTAATAAAAAAGCTATAAAATGTCAAAAGGATTTTTCTAATCAGAGTCGGTAGTTTCAGAGCGTTCAAATAAAAAATTTGAAAAAAAAATCCTGTAAAAACTTTATAATATGTAAAACGTATTAGTTAGAATAGATGTATGAATTTATGTATATTGTCACGAACAAGAACAAATCCATCGCACGGGAACCTTACATTGTTCCAGGATAAACAGTATTTATGTGCTTTTCCAGACTATAATCTATCTCTGTGCCAAATTTCATCCAGATCCGTTCAGCCGTTCCGGTATGATTGAGTAACAAACGTCCATGCAAACTTTTGCATTTATAATGTTAATGAGATTTTTATATGTATAGGTCATGATGAAAAGGCCATCATTGAAGCTAAAGTGGAAGACACGTTGAAAAGGGAGAGGCAAGAAAAAGAAAGAGAATTTCAGTTAAAGGTAATACTAATGTTTATTTTAATTGTTATTTGTGCCATTAAATAATAAATAATTGTAATGTCATTAGAAGAAATAGTATAGTATCCAAAAAAAAAAATGGAACCAAATTTAAAATATAATTGATTTTATTTATTAGGTCATAGAAATTGTCACGAATACCACGAGTGCTGGGATACCACACATCAAAATGTCCGTTATATATGTATGTAGGGCCGGAGCCCTACTCTTATGACGGATCATAAGAGTGCATACAAACACTCCATAATATGTACATGGTCGCCTGGTACTTTTTTCACGGCACCGTGAACTTCAAGGAGTACCCATTATATACGAATTCTTTAACACTTATGTACTCCTGGTAATTATAATTATGTCACTCGGGGCGCTCTTAGTCTATCTCTATCTCTATCGATTTAGATGCAATTTGGTAAAAAGATAGTTTGAGACCCTGAGAAGGACATAGGATACTTTTTATCCCGGAAATCATCCCTTAAGGGGTTGAAAATTTGTATTGGGAAGCAAGCTGGGGACGAACCCGAGCAAAGCGAGGGTGAGTCGCTAGTAAATAATAAAATGTATCGTGACGGTGGAAGTATTACACATCTAACTATCCGCCAATGTGCCGAGTATAACGCGATAAGTTCGTTCCAAAACTAAACTTTTTTTGGGACTCACAAGAGAGTTTCAGAGATTAGCGTGCAAACATACAAAAAAGAAATAATCTTTACAACTTTCTATTACTAGTAGGATTTACGACTCACCCTCGCTCGGGTTTGTCCCTAGGTACGTTTCAACGATTAGTATGGAATAGATAGACTATATATTATTTGATATAGCCAATAGCCTTCCTCAATCAACGGGCTATCTAATGCAAAAATATTTTTTTTAAATCTGATTAGTAGTTCCTGAGATTAGCGCGTTTAAACAACAAACTCTGCCTCTATAATATTAGATAGTCTTGGTAGGAATAAATATTATTAATGTGATATATTTTCATCAGAGTCTACGAATTCAAGCGGAAGCCAATAGAAAACTGAAAGACCAACTGAAGAAACAGTTTGAGATCCAACAAGAAGTGATGCAGGAGAAACTCGCTAGGAAGGAAATGGAGGTTTGTACTATTTGTTCAAATTTTTGAAGTGAAACTTCTTTAGAATCGTTGTGATTTGAAACTCGATGAAAGTAAAAAGAGATAAACATATAAATATTATAATAAATTTAAGCCGGCGAGAGTATGAGATAGAATACATTGCCATGTTGCCATTGTACCCGTTGTTGTCTGACAAATATATTATAATATTATATTCTTTCCGTATATGATGATATTCTGTAAATATATGTTTGTAATATGCTTTATTTAATTATTTATTTGTTTTAATTTAATTGCGATATTTGCCAAAGAAGTTTTACTTCCACCGCGCGTAAACGTTACACGCACCCATTTATTTTTTACTCGGATTTTTGTCCTTTCTTGTGATTTTTTGTTATCGACGGGTCGTATTTACAGCAATTATGGTCACCGAAAATAAGAATAAAACTGCTAAAATATCCTGAAAGATAGTTAGTTTTATTGAAAAATTCTATGTGTACCATCCCAGTTAGAACAGTACAATATAGTTGTTATTAGAGTTTGGAGTGCACAAATTTACATATTTATTAGTTTTAAGTACTTTAATTACCGAAGTTACAGTATAATTTTGCCGTAACTGGCCACGTCTGTTCGGCTCGGTGTCTTGAAATTCACTCGTAAAAAAATGTAGCGATATATATCGCCTCAAAAATTTATCGCGCAAAGTAAGCAAAACTAAAAATGTACGTGAAATCGAACACTATGTTTTGTTTTAATAATGAACGTTTCGACAGGTGTTGGGTAAATTCAGTCGGTCTGTTTCTGAGCAAGTGGAACAAGAGCGAGTGGCATTCAAGAAGGAGTTGGCAGCGATGGCAGGGAAACTGAAGGCCATTGAACAGACACTCAAATGTAATGTATATTGTTTTTTATTAATTGAGCGGAACCCTAATCCTTTTTCTAAAATTAAAGGTGGCCTAAATTACTCGGGTGAGTCTGAATCTGCCATGGAAAGTCCTGCCGAAATCAGTGCAGCCGTTTCGGAGATTACCTGGAACAAACAGACAGTCAGAAAAAAATTAAAAGCCGTGTTCTTCTTATATATTCCAGTCAAATAAGGTCTGAAATCAAAATGTTGGCACTCAACTTTGCATTTTTGATATAGTCTATCTAATATATTTAAACGAGCAATTCTGCTATATTTATGTATTTATTTATACCGGCGATCTCGGAAACAGCTCTATCGATTTCGCTGAAATTTGATTAGTCTTGTCTGTGAAAACGCGGGTTTCGAGTTTTCATGCGGTTTCCTTTGCGATTCTACGCAAAATATAGTCGCTAATTCGCATGCTCGGGCATAAGCATTGTGATCAAGCGGCCAAGGCGCAATATTGACAGTCACAGGTGTACGGGCTTAAATCCGAATCGGATACAAAGTTTTAATTTTGTTTTTTTTTCTTGTACTTATTCAAGTTCTTAGTTTAAAAATAATAATATTATATTATTAACCAAAAACTCTGATCGAAGCTCGGTCGCCCAGGTACTGTAGTTGTAATGATGCAAAAATAATACGTAAAGGTTTTCGTGTCTGCAACCCCCGGCAAGGGTAGAAAAAAAATTGGTCAAGTGTTTTTTTCCCCAATTACTCGAAAATGATTAAAATTAGACAAAAAAGTTTTAATAAAAATATGTAAAGCGTAAAATTTTCCATGGTTCAAAAAAAAGGTTCCATGACTTTTTTCCTCCGGTCAAAATTAACCGAGTTAGAAAGGTTTTAAATTTAAGGGATGAACATTAATTTTGAAAAATCATAGGTATTAGAAAAATCTGCGATTTTTTTTGATTGCTTAAAAATGCACATTCCAGCGAGAACCAAAGCAGAGGCAGAAGCACGTAGGTCCCAGTCTCTTTGGGCGGCGGCGGAGGCGCTTCACGCGGCCACCAGGTGTGAGAGCTCGGAAGCTAAGCTGGAGAAAGAGATCAAGGCTCTGGAAATTGCTGGTAAGAATAGATAATATATAATTTCTTCTCACTTATAGCCAGGACTGTCAGATCATATAATTGAATACGAAAATTGTAAAATATGGTTATTTTATGTATATTTTATTTTAAGTTATTTACGTATTTTTATTGATTTTTTTTTCATCACAGACTATTTCTCTACAGTTTTGTTAATTTGTATAATAAAATTTGATTTGGTATAATTTGAGTCAGCCGTATAAAATAAGTTGGCTCTACTGGCAGCAGTTGTCCCTGCAGATAGCAAACCTAAAAAAGAGACTTTAAAATTTATATGGTTAACGCTGGCTTATAACTATTTATATCTATTTAAAACGTACCCGGAGATGCTAGTATTATAATAAAAGAGAAAATAATATTAGGTAAGATAATATTACAGTATCTCTATTTCAAGCGCAAGATAACATATTTTTAAAAACATAAAAGGATATAGTATTTTTTATGACTTCATATTTTTCTCTCAGTAATTGTCAATTAACAATTAATACATACATACAAATTGCCTTATTTTTTCAAGAAAATAAAAGACATGTATGGCAAAAACTAAAATAGTAGTATAAACATTAAATTACGGTACTATTTTTGACTTTGACGTTCATTTTGGCGGACTCCGTCTATATATGTATATAATTCTTTATTTTGAGATTTATTTATTTATTTATTTAGAATTACCAACAAAAGTTACAATAATGAGATGGGTGGTTTGTATTTTTTTGCAGGCAAAGATGACAAGTTAGTGCAAACTGTACTAAACGGTATTCCACAAGAGGTGCGTGAGAAGGGAATACTCACCGAGAAGACTCTACGGGAAAGATTTGATAGGGTAATATTTTTTTTTCGGATATGTATTGTATTAAGCGCTTTTTAACGTCCCACTGCTGAGGGTGGGCCTTCCTTCTCTACGAGGGGAATCAAGCTGTAATCCATCATGCATGGCCAAGTGTGGGCGGACTGAGAATGTCTTTAGAAATCTTGCTAAGTTCCCTCAGACATGCAGGTTTCCTCACGATGTCTTCCTTCACCGTAAGGCATGTGGTAATCATGTTGGAAATGATTCGCACACAAAAACATCAGAGGTGCGAGATCCGGGATTTGAACTCGCTTTACCTTTACCACTGGAATACCAGTTACTGCTCCCTTTTAATAAATATAATCATCTATCTTAAAAAGTATTATTTTCTTACAGTTGGAAAAGACCGCAGTGAAAGTGGCTCTGATAGGGCGCGACGGAGCTTCGTTGCCAGTATACTTTCTTTCGTGGTTGCAATCTAAATTACTGTTCCAAAAGGTACGTAACTCTATGTTTATTTATTACTAATAGTAATAATTATTAAAAGGATCTAAGCCTCTTTCTATTTGCTCTCATGTCGACAATACCATATAGCGCCATCTCGTTAATGTTAGCGGTACTCGCATTATCGCTAATGGACGATAACCTACTCAACGAGCGCCTACGCCGAGCGAATAAGTAAATGAAATAATTATTTTGGCACATTAACACACAGCACCATCTAGTTCCATGGTAAGCTACGAGGCTTGTATTATGGATACCAGATAGTTGATACACTACACATATATAACTTTAAATACGTACGTATTATAAATAGTACCTGGGCGACCGAGCTTCGCTCGGAGTTTATGGTCGTGAGCACAATTTTCTTTTTAATTTGGCTTAAAAACAAAAAGAAACAAATAACCTCAATAAATAAAAAACACAAAAGTAAAAACTTTGTATAAGACCGGGATGATGTTCTCCTGACCGATTCCGGCCACGGCGGCCAATCTCATTGAGACTAGCCAACTGCGCAGGAGATATTATAGTGCTCAAGTGTACGCGCAAACACAAGTGCACTCTCTATTCCTGTCACTCTCATACTCCGGTGGGACGACTGCTCGACACGACCAGTGAGAGTTAAGGCGCAGGACCGACGGCTTTACGTGCTCTCCGAGGCACGGGGGTGAAACACCGCCAACTTCCCAACTCCGGGCTATTACTGAGGCTTACTATACAGCAAGACTCAGTAACTAAACTTGGCCCGACCCGGGACTCGAACCCAGGACCTCCGGGTGTGCAGCCGTACATGCTAGCCACTACACCACCGAGGCAGTAAGACCGGGATACGAACCCGGACTCCTGTGATTGTCAATCTTGTGCCTTGGCCGCTTAACCACGATGCTTATCCCCAAGCGTGCGAAATTAGCGACCATATTTTGCGTGGAAAGATGCGAAGAAAACCGCATGAAAACTCGGAAACGCGAAATAGGGTCACTACAAACTGAGCCAAACGTGTCGTCAATATCGGTCGTCCAGGTACTGTATGTTATAAAATAATGTTTTAATAGTACAATTATGTATTTTTTCAGTTCGCTGAAATTCCCAAAGACGAGTTAGACAATCAGCCCACGGACTTCACTGCGTTAGACACCTTTGATATAATTCAGAGGGCGAGGTAATTTGTGTTATATACTTTTTATTCTATTTTTTATCTATGTACTATAGTCTATATGTCGTCCAAATATGACTGTCTATCGGTTTCCGAGTAAAGGGGTTACAAATATATACACATATACAAACTATAAATATTAGCTACAATATTATAAAGTAATAGCGACTCACCCTCACTTCGCTCGGGTTCGTCCCGAGGTTGCATCCCCATACAAACTTTCATCTCCATTTTCATTCCCTTATTGATTTCCGGTATAAAAATTATATGCCCTTCCCAGGGTCTCAAACTATCTTCTTACCAAATTTCATCTACATCGGTTCAGTAGTTTCGGAGCTTATTCGGTACAAACAAACAAATCTTTTCTCTTTATAATATTAGTATAGATTAGTGAGTTAAAATTGTTTGACGTGCGTGTGTTTGTAGGTGTTCACGGCAACAACACAATAGCCGATAATGTTATTTTAATGTACATGGACATTTTAAATAACTATTTTTTCGATTTTTTTTCGCGGATTTATTTTGATTTTTGCTTCCCAACGTTTCCAATGCTTTACAGCAATAAAAGAGAGACTAAGGTTGTAGACGTCTCTAAGGTCATTCGAAACGTCGAGAACCAACAATTATAATAAATCCGCGAAAAAAATCTGAAAAGATACTTTTATTTAAAATGTCAAATATTCGCGTAAATCTAAGAAAATATATTTTTTTTGACTTACATTCAAGTACAAGTACAAGTCAAGTACAAGTAATTACGATTTTACTAAAGTTATTTCTGACAGTAAAAACATTTTTATATGTAAAGAACTAAGTGGTAATAAAGCTTTCTATTGGTAAAATAATTTCCAGAATGTGATTAATAGTTTCAGAGATTAACCCTTACATACAAACAAACATACAAACTATACCTTGTTATGAACCATACATTTTTCCAGATACCATATGGATCATGGGAATTTAGCATCTGCCCTCCGATATATAAACTTATTGCAAGGAGCTCCTCGAGCCGCAGCAAAGGCTTGGTCGGACGCGGCGAGACGCCATCTTGAAATCAAACAAGCAGCGGAAGCAGTAATGGCGCACGCTTCCGTTTCCGGCTTACTCTATCTGTAAAATGTCTTTATAGTCTGTGTCTAATTTATTGCAAAAAAATTGTAAAGCCAATATTGATTAAATTATTAATTAATTTTTTTGGTTTTTTTTCGGTAATTATTATACTGAGATTTTACTGCCGATTTTTTGTGTTTTTTGGGCATAATATTTGAGCGAGTCTAGAGTAAATTTCGACTTCATACATTATTTTATTTAATATTGTAGCTTATTGTATTATAAAAAGACGGCAATACTTAATTGTTAGTTTTTATATTTCTTTCAGTGTTGCTCTTATTTCTCATTCAAAAATGACATCAACTTTTATGAAAGTTATTCAAAAATGTACGTTATTTTCTTATATTGTAGTTTCAATTTTATTTGACAAATGTCGGCATTTATCAAGTCAACACAACCTCTTTGTGTTGAAATCGGTCAAAAAGTAACACTGGTCTGTAGTGAGTTGTAAATATGAAATATGTATGTAATTAAAAGTTAGATTATTATTTTTTTTTTTTTGTTTTATTTGTCTATTTCCATTCTCATTTCATTTAGGTTTTAAATGTTAATGCATTATAAATGTACCGAATAATGAATAAAAGTGAGCGAGAAAATTTAGTATTGGCACTGGTTTAAAAAGTTTGAAAAGTGATTATAATAAATAATTTTTAGACATTGTTACAAAATTACAAAAAAAAACAGAAAATATAGTATATCTAATACGTTCTTAGATTTACGCGATTATTTGACATTTCAAATAAAACTATCTTTTCTGATTTCGCGGAATTCCGCCAAAAAATCCGAAAAGATAGTTTTATTTAACATAGTATATCTAAATTTACTTCGAAGTCTTTTAGAATAACTGTAGCCAAAAGGCAAAAAACACCCTTATAATTTCTTTATGTCCGTTGTTTAAATGCTAGTTGATTCGGAGATAATATGTATAATTTAAAATGACCTGATAGAAAATATGTATAGCTAAAATATCAAATATTCACGTAAATCTAAGAAAGTATTAAGGTAGTAATAGAAAATTCTTACTAATGACACTGGCAAGACGTAAACAGAAATAAGTAGGAACAAAATAGACGTCAAAAGAAATTTTATAAAACAAAAGTATCGCACATAAAAATAAATTTTCCTCAATGCAGAATATGTTTCGAATGAGAAGTAACTTATTTAATATAAGGTGTCTATTGGTGAGTACATAATTCATGCATATCTAAATGCAATAGCCCATGAATTTAGTTCAGATTGTGCAAGCAAAATGTATGTAGGTACCGTAGTTATTATATGATCTGTGTAGGTACTAAATAAATGTGCAACTTAAAACGAATGAAGAATCTGCGGAACTCTGGTAATAATTTGTTTAAACAGCGCATCCTATGATTAATTACCTAATTTATTATTATATTATAGATATTTACTTACCTTTATGACGAGAAAAAGAAATTAAATTATGATTTACTATTATATTTATTTGACTGGCATTGCCCGCGGCTCCGCCCGCGTTCAGATGATCAAAAACCAAATTCTTAGGTTTTACATATTAGTATACTCTTACATTACAGATTTTGTATTTTTTCTCAGAATTTAGATATTTTCCCAGGGTAAAAAGTGTCCTATATGTTGACCTAGATAACCAGCTATCACCATACCAAATTTCATCAAAATCCCTCTAGTGGTTTTTCTGTGACGCGGTAACAGACAGACAGACAAAAATTCTAAAAACTATAGATTCGGCCTCTGTATCGATAATAATGTTTATTTCAATAAGATTTTCCAAAAAATATTTAATGTACAGATTCGGCTTAGTTAAAATTTTATTATATGTATAGATACATAATAGGTTTCCTTAACTCAAAATCGATTGATTTGCTTAGTTTTTAAGATCGATTAATAGGTACTTCCAAGTTTTTAATTCGGCCTATATACTATAAAAACGAAAATAATTGGTTTAAAAACATGAACTTCTTTGCAATATATTTTATGAGTAGCTTTAACAGCTCAGTCAGTCAGTTAATCTATGTGGTGATGTGCGAAGAGTTGCTCTGTGTTACCTACTTATCCCAAAAAAGAAAGATTTCATCGTAAAAATTAAAGTTTTCATCCTTGATGCAGTCCCAAATAGATTCGATTACTGCTTGAAGATATTTTTATGTTTACTTCAATTGAAAATTTAAATTCACTAGCGATTAGGTGCTTTATAGTGCCTATGTGTTACTCCAGATCATTCGCGTACTAAATTTTAATCCAAATATGTTCAGCCGTTTCATCACATACAAACTTTCACGTTTATACTTTATTATACAGTAGTTCGATTATTACAATCGCAGTTTCTTAAAGTAAAGCAACAGGAATTTACAGCAACGCCACCAGCCTATAGATAGATACGTCGCATCTCTGCATCAGTACAGCCCATCACAATACAAGGTTCAAGTCCGAGAGAAATGTCCTCAAAAACCGACACCCCCACCGCCGAAACCAAAAGACGATAGCGCTTTCTGGGGAGCTATGGCAGTTTTGTTTTTGGCAGGCGGATTCGTTGTTATTGCTAAGTTGGTATTGGTTTTGTAAAGGTAAAAGTCAAAATATCCCACGAGGAGATATTGATAATCTATACTAATATTATAAAGAGATAAAGTTTGTGAGTTTGTAAGTATCAATATTTTCGTTTTACCAATTATCTGATTACAACAAAACAATATTACCTACCTACATAAGTATTCGGCATTAGACTGAGTAGTATCTAGATATTCGGTATTCGGCCGAAAAGAAAGAAAGGCCGAGTACTGAATAGTAGACGAATATTCGTTGCAAGTCTAATAATGACATTTTAAGAACGCAATCATTTAAAAAATGGCATGTGAAATTGTTTTTTTTTTCAGACGTTCACCTGAAATTCGGGACTGGCTGACCATCCATGCGCCATGGTTCGACGACATTATAGCCATTGCGTATGAAGAAAACCTGACTTACGGAGAGTTTGCGAAGAAACGTGTAAATGATATTAAGAATTACTTCAACACTTTAAAAAAGGCAGGTGAACCGACATCATGTTCTCTGGACATTGAGCCGAAACCTATCTTATGTAAGTTTATATAAAATTCATAATATGGTTGAAATGTTTTGTTTAATAAAATGAGAGCATTGTTTTAGGGAGTGCTAAGAAACAGGAGAAATAAAAAAAATATTACACATACCTATCTGAAAAAAAATAACCTTTTAAATTTATCACTCAGTAATTTTTCAATCCCGAAGTAAATTCTTATTGCTCTGTTAGTTAAGGCACCATCGATTTCGAGAAATTTTTTATGAAGTATAAAATGTTTTATTAATCCATCAACGACCGCTGACACGCCGGCGTTTCAGTTAACAATACGAGTAGATTTCTTAGAAATTTAATTAATTTCTTAGAAATTTATCTGGAGGTGTTTAACTTTCAGGTTCAAATTTGCTTCCTTTTTTTTTCTCAAGATATTCTTCTTTGTAATTACAATTTTTAGCAATTCTGTATCCTAAGGCCACAAGCAAGCAGAAATCGTAAAATCCGGTACACCTCTGACATTGATGAGGTCCTCGCTGCGAACCTTCGCCCGGTGTATGCTCAAATACTAAATTGTTTGGTTGAAAATGTAATAATATAAAATTAGAATTTGTCATTTCATGAGTTGTCTAGCTCTTTTGTTGAGTTCATCAATAAATAAAAAATTAGTTAAAGTAAGTCTAATATTCTATAAAAGTAAAAACCATTCGAAACTTTTATCTTAGAACGTATACAGTTATTCTGTAGGCCTTACGAAAATATCTTTTTTCTGTAATTATATGTTAGATTTACGCGTTTTTTTAACTATTTGGAAAGTATAACAACTCTAATAAAATCTTTGAAAATAAAAGTCTCCAAAAGCAATTGATTATACGAACCGATGGCGCCTTAAAGTTCCTGCATTCGATAATAAAAAATTAAAAGCACATACTTGTAAAGATTTACTGAAACAACTAAATTTACCTACTTTTCACCTCCAAGCCACGTCAACGGAATGTGAAGTGTGTCAAAAAGGTGGTACGTATCTGCTATCTAACGTATGTACAACTTTTTTTTTTTATATAAAGAGTTTTTTGTACAGAATTCTTTTGATTTTAGAAGCTATCGAGCCGGAGCCACCATGCGAAGAGACACCGTCTAATGTAGTTTCGAAAACTGTGTGCGAAATTGTTGAACGTCTCAAGGACCGTGGTGAAGAAGCTCTAAGCAATTACTGTACCGTGATCACAGCGTGTACTCTTTATAATCAGGTAGCTATAGCAAAAATTAAACTTATATTTTATAATATTAAATGAGCAATTCTTCCATAAATCTATAATATGTATTCTAAACATATAATAAAATTGTAACTAAGCCGAATCTGTACATTAAATACTCGTAATTTTTCCAAAATCTTATTGAAATAAACATTATTATCGATACAGAGGCCGAATCTATAGTTTTTAGAATTTTTGTCTCTCTTTTTCCGCGGGAAAATATCTCATTTCTGAAAAAAAAATACAAAAACGGCAATGTAAGAGTATACTAATATGTAACACCTTTGAATTTGTCTTTTGGTCATCTGAACGCGGGCGGAGAAGCGGGCAATGCTAGTTTGACATAATTTTTATGGGCCCAATGTAAAATTTTTATACCTAGTAAGCTAAAGTTAAGATTTCCTTCGTATCTTCTCCATTATACGTGACATTGGCGAAGTAATCTGTGCTCAATTGGAACGGTTTGAAGGGTTATTTATTTAAATATATATAAAAACATTAACAAGAAAATTGAATTGAAATTCAAACAAATAAGTTAATAAAGTGCCGTCAGAAAATTATTCTATTGCACGTTACAAATACAACGGGATACTTTTGATGCTACGAATATCTTAGGTTACTTAACGACTGACTATATACAAGTACCTAAATGTTTTGTGATAAAAAACTGGTTCAGTTTCGAAGCCCGATTATTGGCTTAATACTTCTGAAATACTTCTACTTCATATTCAAAATACGCATTTCTTACAGATTGTAACGGATACTATGCACCATTTTTCGATTTCAACACTAAAAGAGTTGCATGGTCACATGGCCGAGCGATTGAAATTAATTAGTGAACACATTCCACAAGCTGAAGAGGCTACTGCGGCTATTGGTAAGTAATATGAGAAGACTTAGCCTCGCTTCGCTTGGGTGCGTTGCTAGCGCCATCTTTTAGCAAATTTTATTACTAAAAATAGCCTACATATATTATGTTATTCCAGGACATAACTTGTCTGTAAACTAAATTTTATCCAAATCCGTCTAGCCGTTGGAGTTGCAGGGGGATCATAAGCGTCCGGAAATTTAACCGTGAAGGTAAGAAACGAATTTGGAGACACGATGTATACCGTGCGGGCTGCTCCTGGTACTTCTATGATAGTAGAGTGAACCGTGGGAGCAATTCCATGGTTAAGGTGGTCTACCTCGGAAGACCAGCTGTCGGGGGCATCATGGTTGAGTAGTAGCGATCCTGGTACACCCCATTAAGACAGAGAAAGTAACTCTGAGTGTAAAGCATTTAATGGGTACTGGTATTTTAGCCGGTGAGTCTCCACATAACCACCTGTATACATATATACTCGTACAGGTAAGTATCATGTGCAAATGCATTTTTTAACATTATTTTAGGTGAATTTATAAAAAAAAATATCTTAAAAAAAACAGAAAAAGTAAAAATTTATGTTGTTTTTAGAGAGTTTGACCCGTTATTTGGAATGTGGAGTAACAGGACCTAAAGAGGATATCGAAAGTGCCAAACAGCTTATGAGCGATTATCTTCAGAAAATAAAGGCATTCGTTATTCAGTATCAGGTGGAGAACGCTAAATCTGTTGCCTTGGATAGCCAGTGGCAGAAAGTTAGTAACTTTTTACATGAGTATAACCTCTATATGATGATTTTCTTTATTTAAATGACGTGAATATGGACTAAGAATAAAATATATTCTTTTTAACCTTTTTTTTTTCTTTTTTTTTTTTTTTAAACGTTGGGAAATGTATTTACGCACGAGGTGTGGGACTCACCGGCAAAGCCAGTACTACCCACTAAAACCCAACAAAACCTTCCCCCGTCTTAATGGGGCGTCGCAGGATCGCTTACGCATTTAACTACGACGCCCCGACGGCAGGTCTGCCGGGGCAGACCACAACGACCATGGGGTTGCTCCAAAGTCCACTCTGCTATCAGAGAAGTACCAGGAGCAACCCGCATGGTACACCGCCCTCCGAAGAGGGCCACCTCCCACCACCCACCGAAGTGGGCCACCTCCCTGTGCGTTTCTTGGCTTCGCGCCCGGCTGTATTTCCGGGCACTACTGAGCCCCCCCACCACGACAAGGTTGGGGGGCTCTTTCTAACTGGCTTTGCAAGTTGGGGGGGGGGGGGGGTAATATTCTTTTTAACCTAACCTAACCTAACATAACTTTTATGATTTAGGTTTATTGTAGTCGTTATTGCTTTTATAAGAATTTTAATGTTTCAGGTAGAATCACTAGTAAATAAATATTATAAAGAGAATGAGACGATGTTTCCTGAATTAAAGTACGAAGAGAATAAGTTACAAGTCAGTGGTGATATGGACTTGGTTCTCTACCACACTAGTAGATATGTAGGTTAAGTTTGTATATTTATTTTATATAAATAAAAAAATATGTTGGGACATTAACACACAGCACCATCTGCATAGTTACATGGTAAGCTACGAGGCTTGTGTTATGGATACCAGATAGTTGATACACTATAAATATATAACTTTAAATACATATATAAATATAAGCATCCATGACTGGAGTACAAAAATGTGTGCTCATCACACAACTGCATGACCCTAGCGGGACTCGAACCCGTATAAGTCTCCGAGTAAATATTTTATAAATTACTTAATAACTATTGCTGCGATTGTCCTACTCTCATGTAACAGGTCTTATAAGTTTCGATAGAAGAGTAAATGAATTATATCTTTTTATTTATATGAACACAAAGTGTACATAAATGGTTTTTTAGGCTACATACGGAAGGAAAACTAAAAAAATAATAAAAAAATAAAGGTGTTGTTATTAGACCCAAATATATAGTTGACTCGTATTTTTATCGTTATACATAATTAAGACTAGCGATTTGTGCAAGAGATATTATAGAACACAAGTACACGCGTAAGCACAAGTGCACTCTCACCTGTCACTTTCATACTCTGGTGGGACGACAACTTAAGAGGATTGTGAAGTGCCGATACGCGGCGAGAGTAGGTATTTTTAAAAATGCTATCTGTTTCATACCGCTTTGCATCCCCCCGGCAGTGAACAACACAAATACAACATACGCAAATTCTCACACACACTATGATAGCAGCAGCCGGTGACGCGCGGGCGCTCGCGGGGGGCGGGGGCGGGGGCGGCGCGACTCGGCGCAAGAGCAATTTCAAAGTTTATCTAATATTTATTATTTTAACGGTTTGCGTACAATATACATTCCCTACAAGTTACATCGCACCTTTATTCATAAACTGAAATAACTCTAAATTACAATTCTGTGGCGAATATCATTTAAAATTTGACTTGTTTAGATTGATGACTTCAAAAAATCATAAAAAAATAAATAGGTGGTTTAGATCAATTACAAAAATCTCGTTCCAAAAGTTGAAAGTTATAGAATTTTTTGTTGTTTATGTAGGTACTAATAGACCCATCGGAATCCTTTTATTGTTAAAATAATTATTTTATTAAAAAACCTGAAGTTTTATGATTTTATAATGTTAGCAGGTATATAAGGAATAGAAATTCATAAAATGACCTGATCATGAATGATGATGATTTACGATTTTTTAACATATCTATGACTAAATTTTATAAAATATATCAACTTAATTTTTTAAAATATATTTTTAACTAATGAATAAACAAGATTAGATTACGAATGATTTTCATTTCTTTCTGTAATTGCCCTAAAATCATTTTTTTCAGAAAAATCAATAAAATTAACTCCAAAAACTAATAAAATATCGATAATTTCGAAAAAATTATAACGAATAGTATGTGTATATATGATGATGATGATGTTCTCCTAGCCGATTCCGGCCACGGCGGCCAATCTCAATGAGATTAGCCAACTGCGCAGGAGATATTATAGTGCTCAAGTGTACGCGCAGACACAAGTGCACTCTCTATTCCTATCACTCTCATACTCCGGTGGGACGACCACTCGACACGACCGGTGAGAGTTAAGGCGCAGGACCGACGGCTTTACGTGCTCTCCGAGGCACGGGGGTGAAACACCGCCAACTTCCCAACTCCGGGCTGTTACTGAGACTTACTATACAGGAAGACTCAATAAATAAACTTGGCCCGACCCGGGACTCGAACCCAGGACCTCCGGGTGTGCAGCCGTACATGCTAGCCACTACACCACCGAGGCAGTTATATATATATAATTATGGATTGAATTATGGCATGTGTATATATATATAATTATACACATACTATTCGTAATAATTTTCATAAAATTATAACGAATATTATAAATTATAACGAATATAGAATTAAAAATATAAATTTTACAAAAATAAAAGTATTTTTATTGCTCCTTCTAAACGGTAATAGTCCAGCAATTAGCAAAAGAAAGCGCGTGACCGGTGGTGGGCGAGGGGTGGAGGGCGAGGGGTGGAGGGGTGTAGGAAGTGGTCCTTACTCATTCAAACTTGGCCAGATATAATGATGATGATGATATAGAAAATATTTTTATTTTTGTATGAAAATGAAAATTTAAGAAATATTTTTTTTTCTTGTTACAGAGGTTGTTGTTATGATGTAAATAGTATATTCCCAAAAGGTCTTCAGTAAATTAAAAATGACCCTGTATATATATATATATTTATATATATATATATATATATATATATATATATATATTTTCAGTTTTGTATTTTTTCTCAGAAATGAGATATTTTCCCGCGGTAATGCTATAATATGTTGATCCGGATAACCAGCTACCACCATACCAAATTTCATCAAAATCCCTCCAGTGGTTTTTCTGTGACGTGGTAACAGACAGACAGACATACAGACAGACAGACAAAAATTCAAAAAACTATAGATTCGGCCTCTGTATCGATAATAATGTTTATTTCAATAATATTTTCCAAAAAATATTTAATGTACAGATACGGCTTAGTTACAATCTATACATACGAGTATAATAAAATTCTAAACTTTGGATTGAATCCTTTCAGTATCGATCGATATATCGATATTACCTTCTGCTCCCTAGGAGATAATAATATCGATAGCACCTTCAACATCACTACAGTCTAAAATATGCCCCTGCCCCCGACCCGTATGGTGCGATAGAGAGAGTTGCAAGTCTTAGGCTCAATTACCTACATTTCCTTTTTGAAATATTGTTTCGGGCGATAACGTTTTCACCCCCCTAAACATTAACGAAATGAGACGATTTTGGTCTCATTAGATTCAGTACACCTTAATCTAGGTCTGTACGTTTTCCTTTTTTTGTAATTCAGTTTAGTTTAATTTAAAAAAATAAAAACGCTGGAGGAAGTTTTTAGGTCAAAAATATAGATATTTAGATGCTAATAACTTCTGTCGTACGCAATATTTCAAAAAAATAAAAACGTACGGACCTAGATTTTGATTATATCTACAACATTTCCAAAAATTATGAAAATTAGACTATGTTTAAGGGGGGAAAAACGTTATAGCTTTTTGTATGAAAATTTACAGGTTCACAATCCTCTTAACACGACCGGTGAGACTCGAGAGATCATGTGCAAGACTGATGGCTCTACGTACTCTCCGAAGGGGCTGAAACACCGTCAACTTTCTAGCTTCGGACTGTTACTGAAAATTTCTAGACTCTTTCTAAGCCCTATTTTCTTAGAAGACTCAATGACTGAGCTTGGCACAACCCGGGACTTGAACCCAGGACTTGAAACTCAGGACCTCTGCAGCCGTACATGCTAGCCACTGCACCGAGGCAGTGAGAATCCATACTAACCACTGGACTAGACATATAAGCGGGCGTACCTTTATCGCTCTTCTCAGTAACCAGGAGATTTTAGGCTTGGTCGTTTGTTTTTTGCGTCAGTCTCAAGCACTTATTTGTCAACAAAACATCTCCCAAAAATGACTAAATGTTCTGTTAAATGATGTAAAAACTATAACGGCGAAAGCAGCAGTATTTCTTTTCACTTGTAAATACATTATTTTATTACATTTATTGTTATTTATCACACAATTTAATTAAATGTAAAATAAAATGTCATATTATCCAACTATGTTAAATATAGTCGATATTTCTATGTATTGTTGACATCTGACAACCATCATAAAATCCCTGGATTATACCATTCAGAACAAATGACTAAACTGTCGAGTGAGTCCATTTGACATCCACTAGTGCTTGACAATGTCGAAAAATATATCGATATTTGACGAAATTACTAAACGAATTGTGTTATTTGTACAGTACAATAACATAAAATACTTTTACCACAGTATCACAATAAATTGTCATCACAATAAATTTATAAAAATATTTTCTAAATCAAATAAAAATATAAATGCAAAAATTATAATTAGTATGTGTACTTAATTTTTTATTTTATTTTATTCCACATTTATATACTTTGGAATATTATTCCATTGTAATAATAATAAAGATCATTTTATTTCAACACATAAATTACACAAAATCAAACAATAATGTTTTAGCACTAAACTTCTGGTTTGGCGATTTGTAATAAAACACTTTACCACTTGCACTAATTATTTTACTTTCACGATCCAACACTCACTTTAATTTGCAATCTCTTTTTCTTTTTCCTAATTTCACAAATGTTTATTAAGAACTTAGCAATATTAGGACAGTGTCACATTTTTATAACTCCCCGAGACAATCAATTGCCAATTAAAATAGTTCAATAACAGAATCAACAAAAACACTTTATTTAATTAAATTAGCTTAATATTTTTTTAATCTTTACAAAATAATATTTATTATTTATTAATGGAATATATACCCGATATTCATTTGTTCATTAACATTATTATAGGCCAACAGAATGTTGCCATCAATGCCATCGTATTTATATAAATCAAATTAAAAAATAATTATTATTTGACACATTATATATTATTGCCTCTTTAATTCATTTATTTTAATTTATTAAAATTAAAAGAAGAAGAATAAATTATAAGATGTAAAATATGATGACTATGCTAACCAATGTCTAAAATGTCATTAATTGGTTCATCGATATATGTATTTTATCGATTACGTTCAAGCACTAGAAATATTGTATTGTGTATCAGTGTTTATAATAATGTAATAAAATCTTTGTGTGCGTTATGCGTCACTTGGTTGAACTAGTTTTCATACATTTGTATTTTATGTCAGGTCCAGTCTCTAATTCGTCCATGTTCCATACTATCCATACTACTATAATATTATCAATATGAAAGTGTATTTGTTTGTTTATTTGTCCTCCTTTCACAATGAAACAGAGTGTTATTTTGTGTGGAGATAGTTGGAGGGCTGGGGAGTGACATAGGCTACTTTTTACCGCAGGAGATTATGTCATTGCCACGGGAAAACACGTTAAGCTACAACCCAAAAAAAAAACAGAATTACTTGAAACTTGGTATTAATGCTCTAAAATACAATAAAATAAATATATTTTTAGCATTTTTCATCATTTTTTTTTCGAAATTCACCCTATAAAGGAGTAAAATAGGGGATGAAAGTTTATTTTTTTAGAGTTTTTTTGTAGTTTTAGTGCTGTATGTATATATTTATACAAATGATGATGATTAATATTTATATTTTATCAACTTACAACTTTCTCATTACACTTATAGTATCGTTGCGCTTACGAGTATGTAGTTGTATTTTATTTCCAGTCGCAGCAATTGAAGGCCCAATTGAATGATATTGCAGCTTCAATGACAGATAGAGTCGACCGAGCGTATGCAAGTTGGTATCTTAACACCCTTTATTAATGTTCGCCTTGTAGAAAAAATATTTTATAAGCAATACTTTTACTTAAATACCAGGGGGCCCATCAGGCCATAGTCCACCACTCTGGTCAAGTGCTGGTTGGCGGATTTACATATGAGGCTTGTGCCCAGCAGTGGGATGCTAAAAAGGGCTAAATACTTTTCTATTCTAATATTATAAAGAGGTAAAGTTTGTGAGTTTGTGAGTTTGTAAACTTGTAGGGGGTAATCTCTGGATCTACTGAACCGATTTAGATGCAATTTGGTAGGAAGATAGTTTGAGACCCAGGGAAGGACCCTGGTAAAAAGTACCTGGTAAGTAGAGACGAACCCAAGCGAAGCGAGGGTGAGTTGCTAGTTACTATATAAGATTGAAAACTGATCTGAATAGTAGCCAAAAGTTATGGAATATTTATAATATTCCAGTATTATTATTATTAGACAACTGTCTGCTTATATATAAGCTTATTACATATTTAATTCATATATTTCATATAACATTTGTAGCTATGCTAAAACCAGCGGGAGAAAAAGAAAAGAAACAATGGGAAGCAACGATACAGTGTGCTATAAAGGAGAAGAGGGCCCAAATGGATAAAGAGTTTCAAAAGCGGGTACTTACATTAATAATTAAGTACAATTATTTTATACTACATTTTTTACTAGAGGCCCAATTGCATCGCGAAAGAACATTCCTAAATGTCATTTGCATTTATAAAATATTATATACAGTGAGCGCCATTTTATTGTAACGGTAGATTATGTGTTATTCCCGTAATTTTTTCACTTTTCATCCAAAACCGTTAATTCGTCTTAGTGTGCAGGAGTGACAAATACGCGCGCACACACGCACACATAAAACTTTCGTTAAAATCTGACCTTTTCTCTTCTTTTTCCGTTTTTTGTTCGACGATACGTTTGGCTCAGTTTGTAGTGACTGTACTTGGTGTGCCAGCGGTCGCGGGTTCGAGTCCCGCTGGGGGCATTCATTTGCGTGATGAGCACGAATGTTTGTACCCCAGTCAAGGGTGTTTATATTTATAATATGTACATATGTATTTAAAGTTATATGTAGGTACATTAGACATATGTAGTGTATCAACTATCAGGTATTCATAGAACAAACCTCGTAGCTTACTACGTAACTAGATGGTGCTGTGTGTTAATGTCGCAACATATTATATTATATTTACAGAACAATGATCAAAAACTTGCTAACGATAAACGATTAAAAGATTCATTAAATAACCAACTAGAGAGACATCAGGAAACATTGGAAAAAAGATTAGCACAAAAGGAAAAAGAGGTAAATGGGGCATGTCAATAATTGGGCCTTCTATAGAAGTCGAAGACTCGTATAGAAGAAGAAGAATAAAGTATTGCATCTATATTTAGATATATCTAAATATAGATGAAATACTTTATTGTACACCACAAAAGAAATACACAAAAAGATTAATAAACAATACAACAACGATGATGCACATATCGCTATAAGCGATCTCGTCCAAGCAACCTTGGGAGCCATTCATTAATTACGTAAGGACAATTTTGGCCATTTTGAACCTCCCCTATCCCCATGTAAGAGAACATAAGATTTTTTGGACTCCCCCTCTTCCTTCTTACATAAGATTTTATTTGGTTTTGGACAAGAATGAACTGCACTAAAACTCATAAATTGACGTAATTCAAAGATTTTTATATTTGAAATTGTACACTAAAAAAGAAAAAATAGATCCCAGATTTGTTTTCCCCAACGCTTAGCTCTCAAATATACATTAGTTTTTGTTAAACATCGCGATTTATAAAATACTAGCGACTCACCCTCGCTTTGCTCGGCTTCGTCCCTAGGTTGCTTCCCCATTCATGTACGTACACATGTTTATTTTACTAATTAATTTTTTTGTGAATTAATCTCTATATGCTACGTGCCTCCTTTGTTTTGTGTGATTGACTAAGAGGTATCAACTTACGTTTCTTATATTAATTTGAATATATTTGAATTGAATTGACGAATAATAACCGTTTTAATATTTCTTGCCAATATAAAGACAACAAAAAAGTTAGAAGTGCTAGTTGCGGAAAAGGTTGCTTATGAAAAGGGAATATTTAAGCAACAGTTGGGAGAAATGGCCGCTAAAGTGAAAGTTATTGAAGATAAACTTAATGGTAAGGAAAGCACATGAATTACTTTATATTTTGTACCTTTGGCAACGGTTTACTAAGATGAAAATCAATTAAAAATTAGGTAATTTAATTTAGGTTTGGACTTATATATTTACTTTATTAGATGAATATAAGTTACCCATTATAGTAGGGGAGCCCAAGAGGGGATTTTCTGTAGTTACTCGAGCGTGGCAGATTAACATAAAAGAGGTTACCTTGCACTCTATTGAGTACTTTCACCACAATGTAAGTCTTCTTAATATAAAGGGGCGCGTCTAGGGAAGCCGATTAAAATATTTAAAAAATGTTTTGATAAGGTAAAAATACTTGAAACCGTCAGATTAAGGTGTGGTAGGCTAGTCACATCAGTCACAGTAGTCACATCAAAACATTTTTTAAATATTTTAATCGGCTTCCCTAGACGCGCCCCTTTATATAGAAGACTTATATTATGGTGAAAGTACTCAATAGAGTGCAAGGTAACCTCTTTTATGTTAATCTGCCGCGCTCGAGTAACTACAGAAAATCCCCTCTTGGGCTCCCCTACTATTATAAGCTTTTGTGTCATTCTGAATCTAACGTTCTGTGTTCTTAGAGGTTAATTCTTTCTTAGATATACGCAAATGTTTGAAATTCTAAACAAAATTATATTTTCTGATTTTTCCTTGGATTTATTTTTATTTTTGATTCCTGACATTTCGAATGCTTTACAGCAATCATGGTCACGGGAGAGACTAGGCTTTAAGACGTCTCAAAAGTTATTATAGTTGTTACAGACAGTATCTAACTACCTACAAAATTATACAATCATTTGTGAGGAATAGATTTTTTCTATTTTTCTATTCTTTTTTCTTCTACGAAACATAATCTTTTTCAGCTCGATTGAAAGCAGAAAGAGACCAGAAGCTTTCGCAAGAACTTTGGAGTGCTGGAGCCGCATTGTTAGCAGCAACTAAAAAGGGAGAGCCGTATGTTAAAGTTGATAAGGAATTGAAGGCAATTAAAAAAGCATCTGGTAATAACATTAGTTTAACTACATTAAATATATGAATTAGGTAAACTGCCTTTGTAGTTTAGTGGCTAGTATGTACGGTTGCAGATCCGGAGGTGCTGGGTTCGGGCAACAGGTCGGGTCAAATTTAGTTATTGAGTACGTTTCTGTTAAGAAATCTTAGTATTAGCCTGGAGTTGGGATGTTGGCGCTGTGTCTCGGAGGCTTACTGGTCGTGTCGAATTGTCGTTCCACCGGAGTATGAGAGTGCCAAGAAGAGAAAGTGCCAGTAATAGAGCACATTTGTGTCTGTGCGTGCACTTGTGCACCCTTAACTATATATATATATCATGAACGAATTGTCTCTAATTCGTCCATGATATATATATATATATATATATATATATATATATATATATATATAGTATTTCTTTACTTATATGATTTATCTTATGTTATTACAAAAAATGAACTGTACACGCAATACAATACAACTTACAACCACAAATGAGTAAGGCAAAAATCTTCAAAACTAAATGAAAAATCATTTAAAGAAAACAAGACAATATACCTATAAATAATTACAAGACATTACAAATAACTATTTAAATAATTTTATTCATGTGTACTAAACTATATTAAATATAAAATATAACATAAATATCATAATTGTTGGCAACATTCAATTATTTGGGTCACAAATTTTAGGGGGTGGCGATAAATTAGTAGATACAGTATTAAAAGCAATACCCGAATCAGTAAAAGAAAAAGGGTTGGTGCCAGAGAGCGTGTTGCGAGAAAGATATCAGAAGGTAAGTTAGGACTGTTTTATTTTCATACTATGCCGTTTCATGGGTGGCTTTTATTTTGGCTCTCATTTAATATCTGTGCCAAAAAATTATCATAAATAACATCAATGGTGATTAAACGGGATATACACTTTTTATCATTGCCAACTTCCCGTCATTTATTTTTTCCCTAAATTTGTGTCACAGTCAAAAAAAGGCGCACTATAAAAAAAATCCAATGTTTTTTTTTGTTCTTTTTTTTGTGGATTTATTTTGTTTTTTGGTTCTCGACGTTTTGAATGCTTCACAGCAATCACGGTCGCGGGAGAGAGTTTTATTTAAAATGTTAAAAATTCGCGTAAATCTAAGAAAGTAGTATAGAAAATAAATAAAAAATATCAGCATTATGGTGTTTTAAAATGTTAAGTGGCCGAGATATTTAAAGGTATAAATCACCATATAAAACGGTGACAATCATTAAAATGTACTAGAGTTATATGTATACCTGCATTAATGATATTTAAACAATAGTCTCCATCTCCATAAGCGATATTTATTGGAAAATATCTCAGAAACGTGACATCTTAGGGCATCATAGTGGTGTATTTTTTATTTTTTTCAAATGTCCTCTGTCCAATAGTTTTATTGAACACTGATACTTCGAAGCTGTTTTTTCCAAAAAGCCCAACTAGGGATAGTGTCTCGACACTTTTCCTAGTTAGGTTTTTTTTGGAAGAGCAGTTCATCTGCTCACTGTACTACTATTTACAGTATAACCAGTGGTAGCTCACATTAGAACGGACGATTTATATTGAATTTTTAACGTTAATTTAAATTGAAAGATGTATTTAAAGTTTTGTTGACACTATATTTAAAGTAAAATATTTATATTTTATTTTAGATTTAATAAAAAGCTATCTTTAATATTTCTGCACTTTAGATGGAGGCAACTGCATTAAAAGTAGCTTTGGTAGAGCAAGAAGGTGCACCGCTGCCAATTTATTTTATTTCTTGGCTACAATCAACGTTGTTGTTTATGAAGGTAGTGTTAAAAGAAAGTGATTCTTTTTCCAAGCATTTACGATACAAAATTTTTTTAACCAATTTCTGTCATTTAATTCAATTTAAATAAGCATACAAATATTAGGGTTCCACGGGGCAGATCTCATGATGAAACTGGAATTTAACCATAAAAATCATATAAATAGTGAAATAAATAGTCTTTCTGCAAAATTACTTTGTTTAAAAAAAATAACATAAATACATATATTATTTTTAGCTGTCAGGTATTCCACAGCAAGAAATAGACAAACCGCCACAAGAGCCATTTGAAGATTTGGATACTTTTGATTTATTACAACGGGCAAGGTACGAGTATCTACGAGTATACATCTAGACAGATAAATAAAATTGAAGTGCCTGTTTGTAATATTAAAATAACAGCATTTTACTAAATGCATATGAAATTATATACGGTACTTATAAGAAAAACTCAATTTTTAAATTTTTTGTCTGTCTGTCTGTTTATTCCGGATAATCTCTAAATCGGCTGGATTGATTTTGACGGGACTTTTATTGGAAGATAGTTGATGTTATAGGGAGTACCATAGGCTACTTTTATTTTAGAAAAATAATTAGGGTTCCGCTTAAAAAAATTAAAACGTACCTAGGGTCGAACCCGAGCGAAGCGAGGGTGGGTCGCTAGTGTGTTATACTTGTCGGTAATTGTACTATAATTCAATTTAGTAATTACCGGCTTCTCTGATTACTATCTAGCGTCTAGGTATATCAAAGATGTAACGATATACATATAAGCGATAACGATAAGAGTTCTCTCCTAGAACGCATGAGAGTTGTGATATCGCTACAATATCTTTTCGACTAAAAAGCCAGAAACAAAAATTAACTTGCAAATATGTATAATATGTGCTACCTCTGTCTATCTGTTTGTCGCAGTTTTGATTTTCACAAAGTCCAGGACCACCCTTCACGCAAGTCTTAACCGTACAATAATTATAATTTTAGTAAATAAATATGAGAACTTATAAAAAAACTTTTAATTATAAGTAAAGAACATAAGCACCTATTTATTAAGAAATAAAATAAAATAAATTTTCATAGATTTTGGATAGAAAGGGGTAACTTAGCAGTAGCAATACGCTACGTGAGTTATTTAGAAGGGGCCTCTCGAGCCGCCGCGGCGACGTGGTATGACGCGGCTCGATCGCACATGGAAACGAGACAGGCGGCTGAAGCAATACTAGCTCATGCCGCGGCTTTAGGCCTACAATATATATAGCTTTACTACTAGACTGTTTAGATATTGGAAGGAAAATTTTAAAGTATTAATAAAGTAATAAAAATTGTAAAATTTTGTGTTTTTTTTAAATACACTCTACATTTTCCTTTGAAATGACGGCATTATTTCATATATATAAAGAATATATTATTATTTCAAAATAATTGTTTTGATACCATTCTTTGTAGAAAAATTTGTAGGTATGTTTGTTCTTACGTCATATAGTTTACATATACATACATAATATATTCACTATTGATCGTACCGGCACGAATAAATGATCTCTACATACTATTAGGTAGGTACATATTATATTGGTATGTTAACTAGTGTTCGCCCAGTAGTCGAAATTCGACCATAATATTATTGAAAATTTAACTTATATTAATTTTTAAAATTAACTAACCGGTTTTTCTATTCCGTCCGATAACTCTTAAAATATTGGTTTAATCAATAAAATGCACTTTATTAAATGGGCCATAAATTAAAAAACGGTAAGTTTTACAAAAACAAAATTACAGGAAACAAATGATGTAAAATTTTATTCTCTACAACAAAGGTCTCAATTACTTTTGCTCTAAAGTGCATAGTTTCCGATATATCGGCCAAAAACGTTTTTTCAAGATGGCGCCTGAATTTCCACAGGAATCTGTCAGCATTTTTTGTGATTTTATACTCAGTGATCCTAAATCTTATAAAAGAAAAAAATTGGATCGGAAATTTAGTGCAAAGTTGACCAAATAAAATGTCTATTTTTACTGGCCAATTTTACGTAACCGAACAAAAATAGCTAAAGATTTTATCGAGTATGTCACAAGTCTTTATATGTAAAAAGAATGCAGATAACTTCGCCATGTTGCTTTTTGGCTGTCGGTACGCGCGCGCATCGTAAAATTTTTACTCTCATAATTTTTTCAAACGTTCGAAGGTACTAAACTGTTTTCATTGCCTATTTATCATCATAGTTTAGAATTTAAATAGCACTCTATGTAAAGACTAACTACCTATCTGCAATCTACGTGTATATTTATAAGAATAATACATTTCGTTGAATAGATTACATAGTGTACTAGTACATGTTTCAGGGGTGCTCGCTCTTCCGTAAAAGATAGTGTTTTTACTTAAGCCTGTGAACGTACGCTATATAACGAGTTATTTATTTTAAATATACTTATGAATATATGATACTTGTAAAGAAAACTTTTTGGTTTTTTCGTTCTTAAAAAGAAGGTCATAAGACCTTAGACGATAACGTCAACCACCTGAAATACACATCATGCTTCAAACTATTTAAGGCTGTTTCGTTTTTAGAAAAGATTCATGTGGCATCTATCATACTCACCCAAAATTCACAAAATCGTAGCTTCATATTATAAAAATAGAATGAAGTTCTTCAAAATGACGTGTCTATATAAGAAGAGATTTAAATTATCTCTTCTATCTATCTATTAAAATTCGATCTAATTTTTTATATAAAATGTTAAGGGATAATTTTGACTTCCCTAATTAGCTAGAAATTCTATTTCAGAGCACCTAATAGATATTCACGCCATCTTAATCCTTTGGTCTTGTTTTGTAGATAAACTCAGTCCTAAAATAGATTCATATCCTTATTAAAATTATATAATTCATACTAATATAATATTATAAACTAACGACTCACCCTCGCTCCGTTTGGATTTGTCCCTAGAAACTTTTTAAACGGTTAATATAGATTTCTCAGAGATGAGATATTTTCCCGCGCTAAAAAGTATATGGTAATAATATGGTGAGCCGTATAATCAGCTACATTAAAATCTGTCTAGTGGTCTCATGATGCGTTCCCAGACAGACAGACAAAAATTCTAAAAACTATAGATTCAGCCTTTGTATCGATAATAATGACTATTTCAATAATATTTTCCAAAAAAAATATTTAATGTACAGATTCGACTGAGTTAGAATTTTATTATATGTATAGATATATAAATAGATGTGAAAGTTTGTGAGTTAACAATAGCATATAGGTTACTCTTTATCCCGGAAAAATGTACAGTTCCCATGGGACAGATTTGTTTTGTTTTTCACTAGGGACGAACCTAAAGTGAAGCGAGGGTGATTGGCTAGTTTCAATAAAAAATTGCCTAGCACTTTTCGTAAGCAGCAACTTTGTGCACAAATTCTAATGAGACTAGGCCGATTATTATGAAAAAGTTAATTTTAAAACTGGAATGATATAAAATGAAATTAATTATAATATCAATTGTTTAAACAACAGTTTTTTTTATTTATTAGGTTTATTTACAATCACTTACGATAATATACATAAATATAAAAAATAGAACTAAAAACTAGGAACTTAATGTAGTGATTATTTACAAATAAACACAGCATGCACAGAAATAAAGTTTCTTAAAATATTATACAAAATATATTCTAGAAGTAAACAATGTGATTTTTTAAATTAATCAATAAGTAGGTACAGAGTTGCATTAATTTAACAATTATAACATTATATATCAAAGCATTTATTTAGAAATTTGGCGCAAATTAACATTTAAGCATTATTGTACCATTGATATACAAGAAAAACTTTTTTAATCCTTTTATTGCAATTTATTAATTAATAATTAAAATTTACATAGATATGTAAGGTAGTAGCAAGTATTAAAATATCTATAAGTTAAGGCATAAGTTACATTCTTACATGACTGCGTCTGCGACGGCGGCGTGGTGAAATATTTTCACCTTCACTGTTGAGTTGGCGTACGATTATTACGGCCGATAATCGACCTACTTCAGGCAAACAAACGGAAATGACAACATAAAGAGACTCAAACGTATTGCTTTCAGCTTGCAGTATTCACGAAATGTGACGCAAACGGCCCTATTTACTAGTTTAGGGCTCTTTCACATAGAATGGATCCTTTAAATAATTTCTAAATTAATTATTTCTTGGATTTTCGCGAAAATGTGATATTTTCAATAGGTAAAACTATATTTTCGAGGTTTTATTTTAATTTTTGGTTCTCAAAGTTTGAGATACTTTATAACATGATCGCAAAGGTTAGAAATCGGAAAGGTCTATTGCTAAATTTTGGCCCGCCCTTCCGCTATCTTTGTTTAATTGAATGAACTCTTACTATGTTCTCTTTGTCTATATCAGTTTTAACCGAGTTCCAAAAATGAAGAGGTTCTATTTTCGTTTGTATGTATATTCTTTTTTATTTATACATATAATAAAACATATCGCAGCAGAAAATCTTACTGAAAAAAATGGTATAACATAATAAATGCCAACTTAACTTTTTAGAGTTTTTCTACGTGCTATGTGCGACTACGTGCGTTAAAATAGTGATCAAACATAGCTAAATTTTATTTTGTCGTTAAATAGTGAATTCAAACCTACAGCTAGAGTACATAATATTCTAAATAGAAATACACTAACAAATAACTCCTAAACTACCAAAAGCCTCCCCTATACAACGTAAATAATCCCGTTTTTGGGCATCCACCTCATACCTACCACCTTTACCAAATAGTAGATCCACACTTACTAGTTAGCAAATGTATGTATGTATGTATTCAGCCCTTTTTAACGTCCCACTGCTGGGCAAGGGCCTCCCTTCAGTACGAGGGGAATCAGGCCACGCTGGCCAAGTGCGGGTTGGCGGACTTCACATGTCTTTTGAAAACTTGCTAGGTTCTCTTAGACATGCAGGTTTCCTTACGATGTTTTACCTTCACCGTTTAGACAAGTGGTAATCATGTTGGAAATGATTCGCACATGAAAATATCAGAGGTGCGAGACCCGGGATTTGAACTCACTTCACTCAATTTTTCAAGCGAGAGCGTTACCACTGGGCTACCACTGCCTTGCTAGCTAGCAAATAATAATATGAAATTTAAAAATATTGCCATTTTGCTTATCTATGTACCTATTTCTTTTATAACATGTTTGTATTGTTAATAAACGGTAATTGTGAAACTTCATTAGCAGTTTAACAACAGTGATTGTGAATACTACTTATAATAAATAGTAAAATCGTACTATAAAGACCTATGCATGAATAAACTCAGTTCCTGTTTTATTATATTTTTACATGATATACGAACAAGGCTTTAAATATAACATCTAATGGTGCGTGATTTTGGTGAAATTTTAGTTTGAGATATAGGATTTGTAAAGGTGATTATTGTGAACGTTTGTGGCTGTGGTGGGTATAAAGTGTTTTTTTTTAATTTAAATATTTTAAATTTAATATTATTATTATGTAAAATTATACTCAGTAAATAAAAGAAAGAAAAACAGATTTCTGTATATTTCAATAACTCACTCACTACGCTACTTTGACTCTAGAAAAACAAAAACAAATGTAAAAATGTAAATTTGTTAATTTAAAAGTGCTTGTGAAAGTCTATCTGGATAAAGTATATTTTGATTTGATTTGAAATCTACCTCACGGGGACCGTACATTTTTCCGGGATATAAAGTAAATAGAATATTTGTGCCAAACATCCAGATCCATTCAGCCGTTCTGGCGTGATTAAGTAACAAACATCAAATCATCTAAACTTTCACATTTATATTATCAGTAAGATGAAATTTTATAATGAAGCATATTGCGTTATTTAAAATAACATAAAAAAAACATTTAAAAATCCTAAAAAATCTAGAGCTAGACTAATAAATCTACACTGAGGGTATTTTTTTATATTCAATTTATTTTTTTACATGACAAACTTGATAAAGATCATGTTGATGATAATACTGATCTGTGTGGCATTCGGCCTTTGGGTGTGGTATCGAAGGAATGCTAACAAGAATGAACCCCCCGCCATTCCTGGAGGTCTACCTTTAATAGGTCATGCACATTTACTAATCGGCGACAGTGAACGTAAGTAATGATTTTAAAAAATTGTAAATAATTTATGCAAACATTAAATAGTTCTTACATTCTAAAAGTGAATTTTATTATACAACTAGCGACTCACTCTTTTAGTTTTTTTGAGCGGAACCCTAATTCTTTTTTCTAAAATAAAAGTAGCCTATGTTACTCCCTATAACATCTGCTATGTTCCTGTAAAAGTCCCCTCAATATCAGCCCAGCCATTTCAGAGATTATCCGGAACAACAGACGGACAGACAGACAGACAATTTTTTTAAAAATCGTGTTTTTCTTATAAGTACTGTATAGGGTAAAACCCGGATAGTCGCCTCAGTACATGCCCCGGTTTTCAATACGCTATATTAGAGATGTCCCTGATGTTAGCGCTCTTCTGTAATTTGAAGGGCTTCTTCCACAGACCTTAGGACGATGCCAGTAGTGGAACTAGGTAAACGTGTTTTGTCCGTGTGAGCGAAAATCTTCCGCGGCAGGACGTTAATGAGCGTTGAAATTATATTCGTGTGTATTTTCTATTGAATAGTTTTTTTACAGTTGTCGATTCAGTCAACTTTTTGCTTCTACGCGTGTACTGAAGCTTAAGTTACACTACCTATTTATTACCTTAAACTGTCGAATAACATTGATTTATTTTTCAAAATATAAAGGCAAGTATCCGTACCGAAAAGGATAGTCGCCCCACATAATTGTGCGGATAGTCGCCCTAAGGACAATTATTCTTGTAGGTACGCGAAATGCCTCGCAAATATGGGTAAGAGCTTAGCATGTCTAAAAGGGCTAAAGAATCTGCAGAAGTTTTAAATTTCAACGAAAAAATTGTCCAAAAACAGGATAAAAGAGAAGAAATAAACATTACAAACAGAACTAGAATGGAGACAACGAAATAAAAAGATTTTAAGACAGTAAAAAATAAATCTGATGATAGCGAGATGATAATTATGAAGAAAATAGGTCGAAACGAAAGTAAAAAATCAAAAAAAATGACGATTTCTCTCGCATTGAAACAGAATTTGAAAACATAGATTTTATTAAACTGAGCGGAGAAAGAACTTTAAGGATGACAAATAACAAACTTATAGTTCCGGGAGTGAAAATGAAAAAAACATTATAAATACAAAAATAGCCCAAGAAAAAGCTACTAAAGGAGTACAAAAAACGAAGTAAAAAATTAAAGAAAAAAGATAAGAGACTAAAAGTTATTAACATTAATACAAAAATAGGAAAAGCGAATGATAAAGTTTCAGTTGATGATTATTGTAAATGTTTTGAAAATTACAATACTAAATCCAAATTATAATGGATTGTATTTCTAGAAAACTTGTTCATCATTCAAAGAATATTGTGTGAGATGTGGAAAATTAAAAGTTATGACTTCGAAATTGATGATAATTTTTAAACTATTTTTGGAGATATACCTATAATAACCTACCCAATAATTTTAATATTTGTGTCAAAGTTGATTGCCATATTGTATTTATCTTTAAAGTTTATTATTATTTATAACATACATTTTGGAGATTTTATTTGTATTTTAAAAGTTGTATTGATTTCGATTAGTAAATACCTACTACTTAATTGATGTTAATAATTAATAATGTTTGATTAAATTTACATAAATTTGTTTTAATCCAAAAAAATTGCAACAATTTCATGATGTGTCTTTTATCCCCGCATGAGGCAAGTACCCCTCAAAGCATTTTTAACATAAGGCAACTATCCGCCACAGAGGGCAACTATCCCCTTTTGTAGAGGTCAAATAAAACGGGATTTATTGAAAAACAATATTGATTGTGTTTAAAAAAATATGTCACAATGAAAGATTAAAGACCAATGTTTTATTATATACATGGGCATATTGTAAGTAGATACCTATTTTTTATGTAATTGGAGATTTTCAAAAAGTGGGGCAACTATCCGGCTTTTACTCTATAATTTCATATTCATGTAGTAAAACGCTGTTATTTCGACATTACAAACAGACACTTCAGTTTTATTTATCTGTAAAATTTTACGAATAATTTATGGAAACATAAATATTTTTTACATTCTAAATGTGAATTATATTATACAACTAACGAGTCGCTCTGGTTTTTCGTTTGTTTTTTAGTATTTTCGCACACTTTATAATTATTCAAATTAATATTTCGTTTTGTGCAAAATGAGTGGCTTTGGTATCAATAAATAGGAATATTCAAAAAAATATTTTTCTATACATTCATTATGAATATGTATGTATTCATTCCTTTTTCAACGTCCCACTTCCGGGAACAGACTCTTTTCAATACGATGAGGTCAGGGCATAGTCCATCACGCTGGCCAAGTGCGAGTTGGTGGATTTTACATGTCATTCGAAAACTTATAGAAAAGCTCAAAATATGAGTATGTAAGTATATAAAAAACCTTGCTACCATTACAGAATCAAATAGAAATTTTTTAACTATTATTTATATTAATATTTTCATGTGAGATAAAGGAACCAGTATTATCAATTAATGTCAACATCCCAGTTATAGCCATAGCAAATACATTATAAAAGTTTTAAGTCTAATCATAAGATTTTATGATTGGTTCTGTACTTATTGTGCGATACTGGAGAAAACAGGCAGTGGTAGCTCAGTAGTAACGCGCTCGCTTGGGAAACCGAGTGAAGCGGGTTCAAATCCCGGGTCTCGCATCTCTGATATTTTCATGTGCGAATCATTTCTAACATGATTACCACTTGTCTTACTGTGAAGAAAAATATCGTGAGGAAACCTGCATATCTGAGAGAACCTAGCAAGTTTTCGAAAGACATGTGAAGTCCACCAACCCGCACTTGGCCAGCGTGGTGGACTATGGCCTGATCCCCCTCGTATTGAAAAAAGGCCCGTGCCCAGCAGTGGGACGTTAAAAAGGGCTGAATACAATTGAAGAAACAGGACAGGTGAAAAACTCGCATCCCAACATTGGCTAAAATATCCAGTTTTAAATCTATAATACGGTTTTTTTCAGAACTGTGGAACTCTGTTAAAGAGTTGTCGTATGAGAGTTTAAGAGTAGGTGGAGTGATTTCTGCGTCCATCGGTCCAAGGACTATTTATGGTATAATTTACGTTTTATTACTATTCATATCCTTGCTTTACCTCTATAAATATTTCTATAAACAAATTTTGATTTTCATTGTCTATTTTGTTTAACTATATATTAGATTTTTTTGATATTAAAATCTATAGGAGAATTTTTATATTATTATTTTAACATTATATATACACTATACGCTTAGTAATATTTCTTGAAAATTAATTTTCTTTGACACATTTAAATACTGATATTGCTTTTTCGTAGTGATAACTGATCCGGACGATTTCTTGACTGTAGCCAACACTTGTTTAGAAAAAGATGGTTTTTATGAATTTGCAAAACCATGGCTGGGAGAGGGCCTAGTTACAGGAACTGGTAAGTATAAATAAATTATATTATAATGATTGTTAGGTATTATTAAATACTTGAAAGGGAGAGGCTATCGCCATCCATTCAAATTTTTGACTTCTTTTTATATTATAGTGATGAAATTTTGAAATGGAAAGAGTATGAAACTCATTTTAAAGTGTCTTTAACACGTACCTACTAGGATATGTAAATGCCGCAATTTGATAGCTCCTAGTGGCCTCAGTTTTTCTTTGAATTTTGATATGATTATTAAAATATTTTTTATGACAGATATGTGCACTCACAACTGCTTCGCAAGTTAGTTTTGTAATACTCTTATTAGTTTTCCATTTGATTACTTCGTGAAGTTGATGTTGATTATTAAAGTTGTATGAAATATAAGTCATTAAATCATTTTTTCAGTTTCCATATGGAAAGTGCACCGTAAACTGCTAAATCCTGCGTTCAGTCAAGTGGTACTCGATGGTTTTTTGGATGTTTTCAATAAACAAGCTCGACGTTTAGTTAAAGATTTGGCAGAAGAAGTTGGAAAGGGTCCTTTCGATCACTGGGTGTACACACGACATAATGCTTTGGAAACTATATGCTGTAAGTAAATTCATTGTTTCATAATAAATGTACTGTAGGTCATCTGTGTGCAGTGTTTTATCTCATTATATTATCTCATTATATTGATTTATGTGTGTATTATCTCATTATATTGATGATATACATGTATTTTAATAATTAAAGAAAGATTTCTTCTTAAAATTCAATTACCCGCATAACACTTTTTATTAAAAACTAGCATTGCCCGCGGCTCCGTCCGCGTTCATATGACCAAAACCAAATTCTTAGGTTTTATATATTAGTATACTTGTATTAGTATATTAGTTGACTCGGATAACCAGCTATTATCAAACCAAATTTCTTCAAAATCCCTCCAGTGATTTTTCTGTGATGCGGTCACAGACAGACAAAAATTCTTAAAACTATAGGTTCGGCTTCTATTAGCGATAATAATGTGTATTTCAATAAAATTTTCCAAAAAATATTTAAAACACAGATACTGCTTCATTAAATCGTAATGTATCTACGAGTATAGATGTAACTAATTTATCAAGCCAAAAAGATTGTTCTTTGATAATTTAAACAGGGGCGGGGCCGCGGGTAATTTTGTAGTAATTCCAATAAAATCATAGAAAGGTCGAATTTGTACATTCAAGTTTTTGGAATTAATAATAATTAATTGACAAATATCTAAATAATACAAAAATAAATATTCATTAAAATATTTTTTTTAATGAATAAAATAGTGCTATTGATATACTTTTTCAAGATTAGCTATTTGTAATAGTTTTTGACATATTTAGTAAGTTAACTTGCTAAAATCTATATAGTATCATCGTTTTTTTATTCTAACCAGTTTTTGTATTTTTTCTCAGAAATGAGATATTTTTCTGCGGTAAAAAGTATCCTATATGTTAACCCAGATAACCAGCTATCATCATACCAAATTACATCAAAATCTGTCCAGTGGTTTTCTCGTGATGCGGTAACAGACAGACAGACAAAAATTATAAAAACTATAGATTCGGACTCTGTATCGATAATAATGTCTATTTCAATTAGATTTTCCAAAAAATATTTAATGTACAGATTCGACTTAGTTACGATTTTATTATATGTATAGATTATTCGTTTTATATTGCATACACCTATGCATACTGATGCGCAAAATTATGCCTCTATATTGGGTAGGGTTTGGGAAGTCTCAACATTCACTAAAGTCTTGGGACACGAGACCACCCATGACCAAGAACCCGGGACGTTCCATGATTTCAAGACTACTCAAAATAAAATAAGATTAAGTTTTGGCGAGATGTACCAATAAATAAAGCCATTTTAGTAAAAATCAACATTTATTGAACATATTTTATGGTTCAAATTCCAACATCATTCATTCTTATAATCACAAATTCTTACTTCCGCAAACGCAAAAAGTGCAGTTTTATCAGTGCCGGATTAAACCTTACCGCCGCCCTTAGGCATAGTAAAAAATGCCGCCCAATTATTGAAATTTTTCATAAAATGGGTAAAGTTTCGATAAAGTTATAATTTTTTTAATTTGAATCATTTTTTTTTGAAATGCAAAAAATTAATTTATAAATGATTTCAATTTTCCTAAATATGTACTAGTTAATTTTTTTTATTATTCATGTTTTGGAAAATAAAAAAGCATTTTCGATAACGCGAAGAGAATGTTTTTCCTACCCTCCGAATTTTGCCACCCCTAAAAAATTGCCGCTCTGTACACTTGCCCCAAGTGCCCTTAGTGTAAATCCAACGTTGAATTATACGAAAATTCGTTGTAAAAAGGTGTCTCGAAATTCGACCCGAAAGTCTCGGGACCCGAGACAAAATTTATAAAAAGTCCCGGGACTTCGAGACACGAGACGTCCCTGGATCCAAGCACTAATATTGGGTAAGCGGGCCATTTTGGGGGGCAGACGTGTTTTGACCTTGTCGTGACGGGGAGAATTTAATTTAATTAATGGTCGTGTCGAGCAGTCGTCCCACCGGAGTATTAGAGTTACAGGAATAGAGAGTGCAATTGTGTCTGCGCGTACACTTGAGCAATTTAATTAATTAATTAATTAATTTAATTAATTTAATTTAATTTTATCTCATTAACGTCAGGCAACCCACCTGGGTGCGAAGCCTAGAGATACACAGGGAGGTGGCCTAATGCGTTGTTTCTGGTACTTCTCTAACAACAGAGTGGACCGTGGGAGTAACCACTTGGTTGTATGGTCTGCTTTGGAAAACCTACGGAAGGACTTTAGAATAAGAGTAGCAGCAAGTGTATAGATTTGGGGGTGAGGAATAGGGTATAGGATGTAGATCACCCCCCCCCCTCCTGCAAAGGAAAAGTGCAGGAAATGATTTTTAAATATTTTTTTTTAATATTTTGAGGTTATGTTTTGTTGAGTGTTTACTTCGATTTTGCGTATGTTTACAAGTGGTATTCGTAAATACGTTTCCCAACATTAAAAAAAGTCATCTCTTAAGCTAAGGATGAGAAGAACAGAGTCTGATTTGTGTTTAAAATAAAGAGTTCCTTTGAGCAGGTTTCAGATAGGGGTGGACGAATGTCCTGTTGTTTTCTTTGAGTGGTACAATATGGGACTCTTCAAATGTCGTTTATTCAGGTCCCTTAAAGGCTGGCAACGCATTAGCAACTCCTTTTATTTTGCAGATGTCTTTGAGCAACGATGGCCACTTACCATCAGGTGGATCGTTTACTCGTTTGCCCCTTTTACTATTAAAAAATCTAATAATGTACACAGTTTGATTCATTCACTTCGAAATTTTTGTTTTTATGATATTTCAATTCTTAAGTGCGCGCACATTTGACTCTCATAACTATAATTAGCATTTCATAAAAAAAACAACAAATAATGCATGTATGCTAGTTTTCAAGATACATCCAAATCGAAAATAAATATAAGTAGGTATTACTTACCTACTTCCTATTTTGGACAAGATGTAAAATCAAAAAATTTAATATTTCAAATTTCAGTGACAGCTTTAGGTGTTGATTTCACTGATAAGACAATACTAAACAGCCAATATGTGAATGCTGCAGAGCAAATGTTCAACGTACTTGTGGACAGATTCCAGAAGTTCTGGCTACACAATCATTTCATCTACAGCTGGTCTTCATTAAGAAAGAAACAGGATGGATATTTGAAAATTCTTCACAACTTGTCCGATACGGTAAATATATTTTGTTTCTACCGATACACATAAAACTAAATTTACCTTTAGAATGTTTTATATCAGTATAACCGCTAGTAAAGTTTTTTAACCTCTAAAATAAATAAAAATGTAGTACGTTTAGAAGTTTTTAAAATATCCCATTTATTATATTATCGGTTCAATGCTTCGGCCGTATACTTCACTCTCTTTATAATGATGATGTTCTCCTAGCCGATTCCGGCCACGGCGGCCAATCTCATTGAGAATAGCCAACTGCGCAGGAGATATTATAGTGCTCAAGTGTACGCGCAGACACAATTGCACTCTCTATTCCTGTAACTCTAATACTCCGGTGGGACGACTGCTCGACACGACCAGTGAGAGTGTCGGCGCAGGACCGACGGCTTTACGTGCTCTCCGAGGCACGGGGGTGAAACACCGCCAACTCCGGGCTGTTTCTGAGACTTACTATACAGAAAGACTCAATAACTAAATTTGGCCCGACCCGGGACTCGAACCCAGGACCTTCGAATGTGCAGCCGTACATGCTAGCCACTACACCACAGAGGCAGTTTCTTTATAATACAAATACTATGAAATACAAACTTGTTTACGCCTTTAATAAAATTCAATGTTTCGTGATACGGAACCCGCACTTTACGAGTTATACTCGTACATACCTAATTTTTTTGATGTTGCTTAAACTATTATGGGGCAGGGAACTGCGAAACTCATACTCAGTACAACCCACAGCAGAATCCTAATGTCGTGCTTGGACGCTTGGGGTCATTAGCGCATTTTCCCCACACTACGCACCTTTCCCCAGCCTAGATTGACATTGATTTGGTTAATGTTCGTACTATATATACACACATATGATTCTACGACTTCCAATGGAGTTTATTAGTCTAGTCAGTCAATAAAAACTTCTATAATATCTCACTTTTTTTAATTTTCAGCTGTTTCGTATAACATTAATCTAAATCAATTTCTACTTTAATACATCTATTATATTCATCAAAAGCATATTTAAGCATTTTTATGTTACAGGTTTTAAAAAAGAGAAAAGCAGAATATTTAAATAATAATAATCCAAAGATGGTAGAAAAGGTGCAAGGTATGTCGTAAAATATAAGAAACAAATATATGCGTAATTAATCGGTATTACTAGCGGAAAAAACAAATCTATCTCTCGGGAACCGTATATTTTGCCGGGATAAAAAGTAGCCTATGTCTTATTCCAAACTATAATCTATTTCTGTACCAAATTTCATCCAGAGCCGTTCAGCCGTTCTGGCGTGAAAGAGTAACAAACATCCATATATACTCTCAATCTTTCACATTTATAATATTACTAGCAGAACCCGCGGCTTCGCTCGCGCTAAAACTACAAAACAAAAACTCTAAAAAGGTAGGTTTCATACAAACTTTTATCCCATGTTTTACCCCCTTATGGGATGAATTTCGAAAAATGCTCAAACACGTATTTCTTTAATTGTATTGAAGAGCATTAATACCAAGTTTCAAGTAATTCTGATAATAATTTTTTTTTGGTTGCATTATAACGTGTTTTCCCGTGAGAGTGAGATAATCTCCGGCGATAAAAGCAGCCTATGCCACTCTCCAGCCCTCCAACTATCTCCACACAAAAAATCACGCCAAACTGTCACTCGGTTTCCACGTGAAAGAAAGACAAAAAAACAAACAAACACACTTTCACATTTATAATATTAGTATGGATTAATGATATGGATTTATTCTGATTTGATTACTTCCAATTGGATATTCAAAACAGAGTTTGTGAATTTAAAAAAAAAAAGATAGAAACAAAAAAAAATTTGCCATTTTTACTTACATATATTAAACTGACTACAGAAATCAAGACGGTTTTCTTGTGTATGTTACGCGATATTCCAAGGCGTTTATTGTTATTAATGACTATTCTTCTGTAGTGTAAAGTTATTTTTAGGTAATAGCATTATTTATTAAAACAAATGAAATTGATCAAAATATTTCAGGTCTAAAATTTAAGCCATTCATGGATCTTCTGTTAGAACTAGCAATAGAGAAAGAAGCGTTCAATGATCGTGAGATTAGAGAACACGTTGACACCATGATTGTAGGCGGTCATGATACGTCAGCGAGTGTTCTCATGTACAGTATGTTGTTGGTCGGTTCCTATCCACACGTGCAAGAGAGAATATTTGAAGAGTAAGTAGAGCACCTAATAGTTAAGTAAATACTTATGAATATTTTATTAAACAATGAGTGTCTATACTCGTATTGTATTGTCTTTGTATTCTGGGTCTATGACTTACCATGCGCTCCCAGAAAAAGTTGGATAGAAATAATACGAAAAATTTACGTGTTGATGGATTTATTTTGCAATAAGATAATTCTTCAATCTTAATATAATAATATCTTAAGTACTAAAAAATAAACAGTTTTAGAAATATTAAATGGCACTTTGTTTGAAAAAATCCTTACTGTGTCGATACAAATTCAAATATTTTTATTTAGCATATTTTCAGATACAAATTCAAATATTTTTATTCAGCATTAAGGTATGATTTTTTTTTTGCCGAACGGAAAACGTGAACTTGAGTCGGAAAAGAACTCCAGGCTTTCAAGTCAACAAAATGGATAAAAATAACAAAAATGGATATAATAATAAGAAATGAATTTGACTATGACTAAAGTAATATTCTAAGTTCTTGTATATTTACAGATTAAATGATGTTTTCGGTGATGACGATAGAGACTTAACGAAGTATGATTTGTCACGGTTATTTTATTTGGAAGCTGTTTTAAAAGAGACAATGCGTTTTTACCCAATCGTTCCAGTCACAGCTAGATATCTAGACAAGAATGTAAAGTTGCGTAAGTGTCATTATTGGTTTAGCTTATATAATTATATATCCTTTTATGCGGTAAGGATGGTTAACAAATATAAAGCCTTCTTAGCAAGAAATTATGCTATATAACATAGCGTGTACATTGAAAAGAGGAAAGAAGAAGGAGAGGATGAAGAGGATAGTGAGGACTTGGTTGATCCGAATTGGAAAATTGTATACATTTATACTCTTTTTAGAGATCGAACTCACTATCTCTAGATTGGTCTTATGGTTAAAATGGTTCTCTTAACTTACAAAAACCAAGTGTTGTACAATCGTGCAACCGGTTACACTTTACATAAGATAGCGGTGTGTGCGTTTTCTTTTGAGCGTGACGCATTCGGCCTGAGATTGTCAAAGTAAAAGACCGGTTTTGTTAACGGCCAATGCGTACGCGAACTTGTTGGCCTGTCACACACATACCGCCGTCTTATATGCGTCATACTATTGCGCTACAGCTTTGCTGCGTAGGCATATCTACTCATATTCTTATAACCCCAATAATAATTTTTGAGGCAGCATAAAATATTTATAAATATCATTTTTACAATTTCGCCTACAATTTCTTAGGTAACTGCACGCTGACTAAAGGCCGCACTTGCTTTATGTTTGTGTATGGGGTCCATCGCCACCCCATGTGGGGTCCCGATGCTGAAGAATTTAAACCTGAGCGATGGCTCGACCCCGCTACTTTACCTGAATGTCCGACGGCATTTGCTGGTTTCAGCATGGGGAGAAGAATTTGTATAGGTACGAGTATGTATGTTATGATTTTTTAAATGCTGAAATATAAAAATGTCCCGAAATAAATTTTAGTACTGGACAGCTATATTAAAAATGTATACTTATTGTTATACTATATTGTTATTTATGTAAACTTATGTGTAATTTATACATAGTATGTACTTTAAAAAAAACACATATATAGACTAAAGAATAACATAGACAGAACAATGTCATAAAACTAAACATGAAACCAAAAAAATTCCGGACAAGTGCGAGTCGGACTCGTTCACCGAGGGTTCCGTACAAATTTGTAGGAAATCTGTTTACTTTAATTTTTTATTTTTTTATTTTTGAGAATTTCTTAATTATTTGCTTGCTATTCGCCAAATTTCGTGATTCTAGGTCAAGGGGAACTAACATATAGGTTTTCGACCTAAAACTTCACTTCCGGTTGACCTAGAATTGTCAAATTTGGTTAAAAACAAGGTTTTACAGCACAAGTAAAGGGAACATTCTGAAAAATAAAAAAATTACAAGTTTTCGCGAAAATCTAAATTTTGCCCGTATCTTCTTATGGTGTTGACTCAGGACCTTCATTTTTATACGCCTAATAGGGACTATATAGACCGTAGTATCTGGTATAAATTTCAACTTGCTAGGTCCACCCGTTCCTGAGAAAATAGGTGGTGACACACGGACAGACGGACAAGAGAGTCATCTTATAAGGGTTCCTTTTTTTACCTTTTGAAGTACGGAACCCTAATTATTGTTTCAAAATAATATATGAATAATGTTTTAATACAGCATTCAAATAACAATTTGTGTACTGAGTGATAAATAAATGTTAATAAATAAAATTTGCTAACGGATTTTTTGTAATAACGAATTAAAATTGGTAATTTTAGAGATTTTCACGTGCTTTTTACGAATTTTTATTATTTTGTCATCTCGTTCCTTTCTGACTCATTTTACGATAAAAATAGTTATGTAATAATCCTCCTAATATCATAAACGCGAAAGTTTGTAAGAATTATTATATATTGTATTGATGTATGTTTGTTACTCTTTCACGCCAGAATGGTTGAACGGATTTGCATTAAATTTGGCACAGAGATAGATTATAGTCTCGAATAACACATAGGCAACTTTTTATTCCGAAAAAAATTCGGAATAAAAAGTTCGGTTCTCGATGGATAGATTTATTTTTGCTTTTCTAGACGCGAACACGAGCGAAGCGAGGATGAGCCGCTAGTAATTATATAAATTGCGATTTTAACTAAACTATATAGGTAGCGTAGAAGAGATCATGTATGTATGAAAGAACAGTAGAGTATGTATGAGTATGAAAGACAAATTAATAATCTAATCTAATATATTTAAACGAGCAATTCTTGTATATTTATTTATACCGGCGATCTCGGAAACGGCTCTAAGAATTTCGTTGAAATTTGGTACGTGGGGGTTTTTGGGGGCGAAAATTGAATCTAGTTTAGTCTAGTTAGTTTAGTTGTCTGGGAAAACGCGTGTTTTCTGGTTTTTTATGCGGTTTTCTTTCGCATTATTCCACGCAAAATATAGTCGCTAATTTCGCACGCTCACTTATGCCCATAAGCATCGTAGTCAAGCGGCCAAGGCGCATGATAGACTATCACAGGTGTCCGGGTTTGAATCCCGGTCGGATACAAAATTTTAACTTTTATTTCTTTTGTATATATTTAAGTTTTAAATTTTTTTAAAAGAAAATTGTACTCCCGGCCAAAAACTCCGAGCGAAGCTCGGGCGCCCTGATGCTTATTATTTAAATACATTAATGCTTAACAAGGGTCGTATGTTTAGATTGTGTCTGTAGTTGCTAGCATGTAGTGCTGCAGATTCGGAGGTCTTGGGTTCAAGTCCCAGGTCAGGCATATTAGAAATGGGTCTTTAAAGTAACATTTAGTAACAGTCTGGAGTAAGAAAGTTGGCGGTGTTACATCTCGTGTTTCGGAGTGAACATTATCCCGTTGGTCCTGTGCCTGATCTCTCACTGGTCGTGTCGGATTGTCGTCCCACCAGTGTATGAGAGTACACTTGTGCACTGTAATATCTCCTGCGCACCTGCCTCCTGTAAAAAAAAAACAAAATTAGTCAGGAGGGCATTATTATTAGAAACCTTTAGAATTATAAATATAAAATTATATTATGCAAGTACATATTTGGTATTAATTTTCGAAATACTTTTATAATGTATAATTATTTATTAATATAAACAATGTTCTGTTCCAGGCAAATCATACGCTTACATGTCCATGAAAACTACGTTAGCACATCTGTACAGACATTACAGGGTTAAGGGCGATCACACAAAATTACAAGCTAAATTAGATGTTATGCTGAAACCAGTGTCTGGATATTACATAACGATTGAGAGAAGGAAGAAATAACTGACAGAATAATGTGAGACACAATGAAAGCAATAAAAGTCGTATTTTTGAATTAAATATAAAAAAAAGATATAAGATAGACGCGAAAACCTCAGCTTATTAAATTATTGCTAAGTCTTATAAAAATAAGTTAAATAGATCTAGAACTACGGTTGAAATAAATTCAAGTGAAGCTACAGGCAGAAGCCAGTTTTCAAATAAACATAGTATATAATTATATAGGTAATAAATATATGTATTATATTTTAAATCATATGTAAATAAATAGTTTTATTTAAAAAAAATAAGTTAATATAATATATTTTTTTGTTTTATTATTATATATGTCGCAACCAACTAGCTTAATTAGCCGTTCGATTAACAGCTTAGTCTCTTAATTAAACGGCGTCATATGAGAAATACGTGTGCGAAATTTCAATTTTCTAGCCTTAAGGGTTTGGCCTGTGCGTAGATACATCAGTCAATCACTTTTGCTTTTTATATACTCGTATATATATATATATATATATATATATATATATATATATATATATATAAATTAATTGCCGTTCGTTAGTCTCGCTAAAATTCGAGAACAGCTGGACTGATTTGGCTAAATTTTGGTTTTGAATTATTTGTGTAAGCCCAGGGGAGGTTTAAAAGGTGAGTAAATATGAAAAAAATGGTTGGAATATAGTAAAAACAACAATATATTGGAATATAGTAAAAACAATTTCGCTTTCCCTTAGAAACTATTCCTTTGGTGTGTCAAACATTTGATGTTTGTTCCGTCGTTTATATATCAATAAAATTTAAAAGCCGTTTAGAAATTTTAGAAATATATACAAAAATCAATTGCTATTTATATATAGTCTATTCTATTCTAACCGTCAAAACGTACGTAGGGATGAACCCGAGCGAAGCGAGGGTAAGTCGCTAGTCTATACTAATATTATAAAGAGGTAAAGTTTGTGAGTTTGTGACGTTGTAGACGGTAATCTCTGGATCTACTGAACCGATTTAGACGCAATTTGATAAGAAGATAGTTTGAGACCTTGGGAAGGACATATAATACTTTTTATCCTGGAAATCATCCCTTAAGGAGGTGAAAATGGGGATGAATGTTTGTGTATGGAATCAAGCTAGGGACGAACCCGAGCGAAGCGAAGGTGATTCGCTAGTTGTATATAAAAGTGAAATATATAATCATATAAATTTTATCAAAATCGGTCAAGCGGTTTCTTTTAAATTCAACAAATAAATTATTTTTTTAAATAAATTGCTTAATCGAACATGTTATGAAAAAACTTTCTTCTAACAAATTACCTGCTTATTACGTCTACACTAAAAATGTACCGGATATTTTAGCAAAAAATATCAAGGGCAACAATATAAAACGAGTTAGACCTGCTTGAAATATTTTTAAGTTCCTCTATAATTATAAGATTTGAGTGATTAGAATGAAATATACAAATTTGTTAGACTACAAATAACGATGTTAGAATTTGAAACATAAAATACTTATATGTTCAATAAATGTTGATTTTAATAATATTGCATTATTTATTGGTACATCTCGCCAAAAATTAACTTATTTTATTCTGAGAAATCTTGAAGCCCCGGGATATCCTGGGAATTTTGTCGTGGGTGGTCTCGTATCCGAGACTTCCCAAGCCCTAGACCTAATGGTGAGATATTCTAGTTACCTATAAATCTACTAGCGGGTGTAACTGCGCGCAATGCTAGTACTACTGTTGTAATAATTATAATAATAACAGCTAAAATAAATAATATTCCATATTCAATTATAAAACTAATTACAATTATAAAAATGTTTAAAATTAAAAAGGAATTGTAACGTACTTTTTTTTTAATTCATTTTGTTTTTTGTTGGTAGGCTGTCTGTAACAACTATATAATACCTTTGAGACATCAAACACCTTAGTCTCTCCCGTGACCATGATTACTGTAAAGCATTCGAGTCGTCGGGAACCAAGAATCAAAATAAATTCACGAAAAAATCCGAAAAGATAGTTTTATTTAAAATTACATATTTAATTTGTATTGTTTATATACACAGGTAAAAAGTACTTTTTTGATCGATGACTTTGACGTATCCGGGAAATATAATTGAAAGAAGCAGCTTTTACTGCATAATTTATTTTAAGTTGAATTAATACGAATACTTCAGACCATTCACGTGTAATAGAGTAGTGAGATCAAACATGGCTGCATTTTAGTTTGTCACAGAGGCTCCAAATGCCTCAGTCAAATACATAGAGATAGAGTTAATTTTCTAGCTCATTGGAAACACACAAACATGCGGAGCCACATCTAAAAACCAAAAAAATACCATTCTGTTCATTAATGTTAATTTTTTTGTATGAATAATAACCGGTCATTGAGAAACTTCATACAGTGAATGTGAAAACTAATTATAATAAATAGTAAAATCGTACTATGTCCACTCAGTTCCTGTTTTATTGTATTTTTACACTTCTATATAGAAGGATCTAAAATCTAAATAAATAAAATATTTAATAGTGCGTGAATTATTGTGTAACAAAAAACAATTAAAATTTGAGTTATAAGACTTTTTAAAGGTGATTATTGTAAACCTTTGTAGCGGTGGTGGGTTAAAACACATAAGTATAAATATTGTTTTTTAATTTAATATTTTTCGTATATAAGTATTTTTAGTAAAGAAAAATTATGTTGGATGAAATAGTCTAAAAATCTGAACTCCACTTTTAAGAATGAAAACATTATTATTTAATTTCAACCGACTTCCTCAAAAAGGAGGAGGTTCTCAATTCGGCTGTATGTTTTTTTTAAGTTTGTTACCTCAGAACTCCGTCATTTATTAACCGATTTGGACAATTTTTGTTTCGTTTGAATGAGTATATTTCCAGATTGTTCTCATTTAAATTTCAAAAAAAAAAATACCACCCCTAAAGGTGGAAAAATAGCTAATGACAAATTTAACCTATTTCTAATTGTCATATTGACTTGAAACTTTGCATGTGTTTCTATTTCCGTTGATAGTGCAGTGGTTCGGTATCGTTGACCTGATCTGATGGTAAGGCCAGAAATTGGATAGGTGGAACTCTTCAACGGCTCATAGTGGATACTTTATGTTTGGGCTTATTTTGTTTGATTTGACAAGCCTAACACGTTAGAATCGGATTTTAGAGCCAGAATTTTTAGTGTTACTAATAAAAGCGAATTTTAGTTTGTAATAATAATTTTTTTATTTGTGTGGAATACTGTAGCCACATATGGGCTGGTGCTGCGAAATGCCATCTGTCAGCCTTGGACTCGATTGAGAGGCGTGCTCAAAGGCTTATAGGTGACCCTGCGCTGGTAAAAGCTAACTTACAAAGCCTCGATCACCGACGTAGGGTTGCCAGCCTTTGTGTATTCTATAGGCTACATTTCGGAGAGTGTGCGCAGGAACTACATGAATTAATTCCCCCATCCCCTTTCCATCATCGGACAACTCGACGAACGGCTGGTCTCCATCCTTATGTCGTGGACATTCCACCCGTCCGCACGAAGCGTTTCGCTACGTCATTTATTATACGTACGGCTAAGGATTGGAACAACCTGCCTGCGTCGGTGTTTCCGTCCGATTATAATATGGGTGTCTTCAAGGCAAGAGTGAATAGGTGGCTACTGAATTAGTGCGACTTACCATCTACGACTGCGTTACCACTTACCATCAGGTGGAACGTAGTCAAGCACTAATTTGGAATAGTATAAAAAAAAAAAAAAAGTCTTCGTGCCAGCCGATACAAAGCAAAGCACACCGACTTCGAAAATAATTGATTAGGTATGTATAGTAAATGAAAACTACCAATCAGTTATTTTTTACTTTTTAGTGCTTTTTTCTAAGTCGGTTTTTATTTTCGTATAAAAATTGGCGTCAATGTAACTTAAAACGGTTTAAGCGAATATTTTATTAAAATACATTCTTCTTACTTTGCTACTATTATGCCTACACTAAAAATGGAAAAATAAGAATACGGTTTTATTTTTATTTTTCCACTTTTAATTTTTTTACTTTTTAGTGATTTTTTTCGTAACAACTTGCTCAACATGATGTTAATGATAATACTGATCTGTACGGCATTCGGTCTTTGGGCGTGGTGTCGAAGGAATGGTAACAAAGATGAACCCCCAGTCTGTCCCGGAAGTCTACCTTTAATAGGTCATGCACATTTATTTTACGGCAACAGTGTGCGTAAGTAATGATTTTAATTTTTTTTCAATATTTTTAAGATATCACCACGAAATTTGCTCCATGCTATTTTAAATTGTTTTTTTTTTAAGTACAAGAACTCTTTCTGTGACAAATTAGTATCAATCGAAAGTAAAAGACTTGTAGAAAATGCTATCATACTTTTGTCGGCCTTTTTCGAACACATTAACTGACACCCAGGTATAAACAGGTAAATTGAAATAATTAATTTCTCTCATCGTTTTCCGGAACGAACTAAGTATCAAAATGAAGATTTTGAATTTAATGATATAGGGTTATCATACCAAAACATCTCCAGACTAGAGTTTTTTTTTAGTAAAAAGTAACCTGGAGCATATTTTTGGCGACAACCCCCCTGAGTCGTTTTTGTTATTATATTTTATGTTTTAAAAATATATTTCGTGTGGAAAAGAATGAGGAGTTCACCATAAGGAATAGGGGTCTTAGACTATTATCAAAATAAATACCTATATTTTGTGTAAAAATAATATTCATATACTAAGACTGTATTTTATTATACCTACTACTAATAAGTCAGTCTAGTTTCGCTGTTTATTATTATTTTTTTTTAACTAGTTTGATGTCTTTACAACGTATACAGTAGCTCAAATTCGTATGAGACTTTATGCAAAAAATCTTACTACCATTACAGTATCAAATAGAAAAATTTAAACTATTGTCTATTTATTATTATGATTCTTATAATAAGTACATATTTCAATTATGTCAAAATATTTTATTAAAGTAATATTATATAGGTTAAAGTATGTTTGTGTGTTTCCCCCCCCCCCCCAACGTGCGTTCACCTTGTCGTGGTGGGGGGCTCAGTAGTGCCCGGCAACCCAACCGGGCGCGAAGCCAAGAAACGCACAGGGAGGTGGCCCACTTCGGTGGGCGGTGGGAGGTGGCCCTCTTCGGAGGGCAGTGTACCATGCGGGTTGCTCCTGGTACTTCTCTGATAGCAGAGTGGACTGTGGAGCAACCCCATGGTTGTGGTGGTCTGCTTCGGCAGACCTGCCGTCGGGGCGTCGTAGTTGAATGCGTAAGCGATCCTGCGACGCCCCATTAAGACGGGGGAAGGTTTTGTTGGGTTTTGGTGGGTAGTACTGGCTTTGCCGGTGAGTCCCACACCTCGTGCGTAAATGCATTTCCCAACGTTAAAAAAAAATAAATGTTTGTGTGTTTGTCCTTTTACGTCGAAACAAAGTATAAAAGATAACTCCGCGGTGGCATATTTCTATTTCTTACGGATAATCTAAAGTAACCATTTTTATATGATTGTTTTTTTGTGGGTTAAATTTTCGAATTTATTTCGACCATATTTTAATATTAATCCTTATCTAATTATTATTATTTAATGGTTAAGTTGGACATTTAATGTAGATAAAGTTTGCTCTTTACAACAAATCATTAGCCTAATATAATATTATAAAGGGGTAAAGTTTGCGAGTTTGTGAGGTTGTTGGGGGTAATCTCTGGATCTACTGAACCGATTTAGGTGAAACGTAAGAAGATAGTTTGAGACCCTGGGTAGGCCGACTGAAAAGTCCACGATAACATGAGTGTATTTCCTAAGTAACACTCAATTTGTACGGTATTTTTTGTGTGATATTCGAGAAAACAAACAGAAGGACGAAAAAATCCAATCTTGACATTCCTTTGGTGCGATATGAAATGCAGTTCTAAATCTATAAACATAAGAAACTTTAATTAAAATCTAAAAATGTCACACACAAAAATAGCTGAACCGATTTTGATAAAACATGTCTAAGAACCACTGCTAGAAAACCTTTCAAATCAAAAAGCCGCATCAAAATCGGTTCACCCGTTTTAAGACCTGCGGTGTCATAGCTACACACAACATACACACACGCACGTACGCACGCACACAGGCGCACACGCGCATACACACACACAAAGTAGTCGAACTTATAACACCACTCTTTTCGCGTCGGGGGTTAAAAATATTTTTTTTTTCAGAACTGTGGAATGCTTTTAAAGAGTTCTCTAATGAAAGTTTAAAAGCAGGCGGAGTGGTGTCTTTGTCTATTGGTCCAAGAACTGTTTATGGTATAATTTACGTTTTATTACTCTTCACTACCTTTGTTATTTCCGCACTACCTTTATCATTCTGCACTACCTTTATTCTTTCCGTTATTTATTATGTTATAACTTATGTCCTAAATATTGTGAACATTAAGATTGATAAGAGCTTCGGGTAAGATATTAAGACTGAATAATCTATATAATGACATTGGTTATTTGTTACATTGGCATCAATAAAACATAATTTATACATTACTGCCGCTTAGTAAAATTTCTGTAAAATTGAGAATTTTTACACAATAACTTAGTGAGATATTTTTTCTTTGTAGCTATATCTGATCCAGAGGACTTTTTAACTGTAGCCAGCACTTGTTTAGAAAAAAACAGTATTTACGAAATTATGAAACCATGGTTAGGGGACGGTCTAATTACTGGGACTGGTAAGTATAAAATAATATGATGATCGTCATCAAAAATAAAGCTATATAAAATATAAGTATATTTTTTCAGTGTCCATTTGGAAAGAGCACCGTAAACTGCTAAACCCTGCGTGGTAATCGATGGTTTCCTTGATGTGTTTAACAAACAATCCCGACGTTTAATTAAAGATTTAGAAAAAGAAGTTGAAAAAGGTCCTTTTGATCACTGCGTGTACACATAACATAATGCTTTAGAAACTATATGCTGTAAGTAAATTCATTATATATATATATATATACTAGCAGAACCCAGGCGCTAAAACTACAAAAAAACTCATAAAGGTAGGTTTCATACAAACTTTCATCCGCTATTTTACCCCCTTATGAGATGAATTTCGAAAAATGCTAAAACACGTATTTATTTAATTCTATTGAAGAGCATTAATACCAAGTTTCAAGTAATTCTGATCATAAATATTTTTTTGGATTGTATTATAATGTGTTTTCCCGTGGGAAAGCGATAATCTCCCGCGGTAAAATGTCACTCTCCAGCCCTCCAACAATCCACACAAAAAATCACGTCAATCCGCCAAGCCGCTTCAACGTGAAAGAAAGACAAACAAACACACTTTCACATTTATAGTATTAGTATGGATATATAAATAAATTTATATATGCAATATAATCTAAACATCTATACATATATAATAAAATTGTAACTAAGCCGAATCTGTACATTAAATATTTTTTGGAAAATCTTATTGAAATAACCATTATTATCGATACAGAGGCCGAATCTATAGTTTTTAGAAGTTTTGTCTGTCTGTCTGTGACCGCATCACGGAAAAAACACTGGAGGGATTTTGATGTTTGATATGATGATAGCTGGATGTCCGGGCCAACATATAGGCTACTTTTTATTGCTGGAAAGTATCTCATCTTTGAGAAATTTATACTAAACTTTTAAATGCAAGTAGGGACGCATCCGAACGGAGCGAGGGTGAGTTGCTAGTTAGTTAAATATACTTGTAGTTTCACTATACGTGTAAATGAGTAAAATAAATAATTTTGAACTTCCTGTTTTTAACATGGAAAATCTAAGATTAAAACATTTCAAATTTCAGTGACAGTTATAGGTCTCGATTTCACTGATACGACAATGCTAAACAGCCAATATGTAAATGCTACGCACCAAATGTTCAACATATTTGTGAACAGGTTCCAGAAGTTCTGGCTACAAAATAATTTCATCTTCAGCTGGTCTTCATTAAGAAAGAAACAGGATGAATGTTTGAAAATACTTCAGAACGTGTCCAATACGGTAAATACTTTTAACCGACTTCCAAAAAGAAGGAGGTTCTCAATTCGTCGGAATCTTTTATTATGTATGTTCACCGATTACTCACCTCACCGATTTGGATTTTTTTTGTTTCGAAGGGTATACTTCCCAGGTGGTTCCATTTAAATTTTATCGAAATCGGTCGAGCGGTCTTTTAAAAAATCAACTACAAATTATTTTTTTGAATAAATTGCTTAACCGAATTTGTTATTACAGATCTTTCTTCTTACAAATTACCTGCATATTACGTTTACACTAAAAAAAGAAAAAAAAACCAACTTCCAGGCACTAAAATGTAAAAAATAACTAAACGGGGGCTTTCATTTAGAATATGAATATTTAATAGGTAAATATTATTAGGTATGAACTCTAATATAGTTAAAAAAGTGAAATTTATTAGATTTGCTTTGCATCGGCTATATAATATATTCAGGGTTGTTTTTATTTTACGCGTTCGATCGCGAAAGTCTCAGTTCAATACTATGAAATACAAACTTATTTTGTCGTTAGTAAAATAAATATAGTTACTGGGCAAATATTTTATTTAACTTTTAACTATATGAGAAGAAGAAAAAATGTTTTATGCTACGGAACCCTCGGTGTGCCGTATGTGACTCGGACTCTCTTCCGATTTTTGAACAATAATCTTAATGAATTTTTACTTTAATGCATATCTAATTATGTATATATAATCAAATTAGTCTACTAAGTATTTTTATGTCACAGGTCTTAAAGAAGAGAAAAGCAAACTATATTAATAATAGTAATCAAAAGATTGTAAAAAAGAGACAAGGTATGTTATACATAAAGTATGAAAAACTTGTTTAAAAAATACTGAGTAGATTTAATTTGAATTGTATTTTTAGCAAAAAAATCATTATCTATTAAAACAAAACAAATTATGTAATGTACGAGTATAGTACGCGCCGCGCAAGATGAGACTTGACGAGCGTCAGTAGTGGGGATCCTGCGCAGGTACAGTATTTAGAGATTTTTCGATTTAATTCGGAATAAGATGTATAGGAATGTTATATTAAAATTATTAACAATATTTATTACGACATGATACGCATTGTACGCAATGGTACGCATATGTACCTGCTTCAAATTTTGTACACCTTCCTTTGCTTTTTTTAACATACGAGTATAACTGTACACGTCGTAAACCATCTTCCTACTTTGTCTTCTTAATGTTTTACCTCAAGGCATAATCAAAATTTTTCAAAATTGCACTCATATACAACACAACTCTAAACAAAGTAGAAATTTATAAACACAAGTTGCACTCGTCTGTACCGCGGAGTCAAGTGGGGCGTGCATGGCGTGAGTGTACACGTACCGCGCCTCCCGCTCTCCTTTCGACGCCTCGATGACGCCCGATTCCTTCTCGCCTTCTGAGGCGCCTCGTAACGCTAAAGAGGCCTACATATACTTATACATATATTGTCTTATGCCCAAGTTAAACCACGTGGTATGTCAAGTCTCATCTTTCGTGGCGTGTACTATAAATGAGTGATAAAATATTTCAGGGGAAAAATTCAAGCCATTCTTAGATCTTCTGTTAGAGCTAGCTATAGAGAAAGGAGCGTTCAATGATCGTGAGATTAGAGAACACATTGATACCATTATTACAGCCGGCCATGATACGGTAGCGAGTGTCCTCATGTACAGTATGTTGTTAGTCGGTTCCTATCCACACGTGCAAGAGAGAATATTTGAAGAGTGAGTAGATTAATAGTAAAGTAAATCTATAAAAATAAAAATAAAATCCTTTAGGCGTGACTGAGAGATGTCACTATCAATTCATTGGAAAAATGAGTGTCGCGGAAATGAGATTCAAATTTATTATTAATAATTGTCACGTCATCCTGATATCAAAATCTTTCAATGGCCAGCAAAAAGTCCCGATTTAAATACCATTGAGAATCTTTGGGCACAAAATATGATATTCAATGATATTCAAAGGAGGATAACGGAGATCCAGAAGATTTCACATTATTTATTTTAACCCTCTAGATTTTCTAATTGAGGTAGGGAGCAACAAGAAATTTGTAAATGATGCCCAGCTACCCCCGAGAATTGGGGGGACGCAAAGCGTAAAAAATAGATTTTTTTTTAATTTCCGGCTTACTGTGACGTTCTATCGAAAAATATTTTGTACAAATGTTGTAGTTCTAGTAAAAATCTACAACTTTTATAGATAACACTTTTTACAATAACTTCAAAGTTTCAAGATATTTGCAAAAAACTCTGTTTTTAATTTTTTCTTGGTTTTTTCATTTTTGATTTCTAGAATAATCTTTTGATTTTCATGAAACTAAGGGAATGTAATCTTCGAGATACATTTAATAAATTAAAAAAAAATGAAATTGTAATGCTTAGTTATTTCCGAAAAAAGTATGTTTTAAGATCTCGAGAGGCTGAAAATCATCCCCAACTTCAAGTGGACGTTTACATTTAAAAAAAACTCTTTTAATTTTCAGATTGGGTTCATTATTTTCGTTTTTAGCGCTACTTTTTGAAAAAATAAAAACATTGTATGGTCGCCCTGTATGAACACTCTTAAAAATTGAAAAAATTGGAGGAATCGATAATTTTTACTTTGTAAACTGCATTTTTTTTAATTATCATTGAAAAAATGTACTTTATTGACCAAATTTATATAAACTGATTAAACTAATGTATTTTTCGGGATAAAACGAAAAAACGGTATCCTTAAGTTTTTAATTGGACGCTTATTATTTATACAATGTCGCAGTAACTTTGTAATTTGAATAGTCGTGAAAAAATAATAAAAATTGGAATTCACGTAAAGTATATAATATACCATGTCTTTTGTATTTCTTTCCGTAAAATCTATTTATGTTATTATTTTTTCGAATTTATCGATATTTTATTAATTTTTGATCGATTTGGGAGTTAAGTTTATTGTTTTTTTTCTGAAAAATAACTACAGAAAGAAATGAAATTCATTCATTGTCTAATCTTGTTTATTTATTTATTAAAAGTATAATTTAAAAAAATTAAGTTGACATTTACAAAATTTAGTAATAGTTTTGTTAAAAAATCATAAAAAAGCCTAAAAGGTGAAAAATAAACACAATAAAAAAAACTATGATAGACACTTGTAGAAAATTGATTTAAATTTTTAAATAACAATTTATTCCTACGCTTTGCGTTCTCCCATTACTCGGGGGTAGCTGGGCATCAATTTACGAATTTCTGTTCCTTATATAGGTGCCTGCTAACGTTTTAAAACCACAAAATTTCATTTTTTTTTTTCCTGAAAATAAACTGATTCCGATTCGTCTATTTGTACTGAATAACAATTCATTTTTAATGTGAAAGATACATACAAGAATATGAAGTTGCGTAAGTGTCATGAGAGAATTTAACATAAATAACTTCTTTATGTGGTAGAGATGTTTAACAAATATAAAGCCTGCTTGATGGTAAGTGATTGACATAGCCTATCTATATATATAAAAGAAAGTCGTGTTAGTTACTTCGCTTATAACTCAAGAACGGCTGAACCGATTTAGCTGAAAATTGGCAGGGAGGTAGTTTAGAGCCAGGAGAAGGACATAGGATACTTTTTATCCCGTTCGACCGCGTTCCAATTTTTATGATATTTTAATTTTTGGATTTCTCTTAGTCCGGAATAGGTAAGTATTAAAACATATAATTAAAATGTGAGAAAGAAAGATTTTTTCTTTTTATATCTATTTAAAACGTACCTAGCGACGAACCCGAGCGAAGCGAGGGTGAGCCGCTAGTACATAATATAAAATATTATAGTAGGGGAGCCTATGATGCTGTATGGGGATTTACTTGAGCGACGCGGAGACCGGTTACCAGGGAAGATTTGATGGTAGAAAGAAAATAAAGTTATATGATATATACCCCTTCACCGGTGGGAGGAGCATCAACAGACTTTTAAAGAATGTAAAAAAAAACAGTCCCATGAAAATACTCGAAAGCGTATTCATATGTAGGAGATTGATAGAAAAAGTATAGGCATCCATTTTCAAAACATACATTTTATTATAACAATAATACATTATTCAATTATTAAAAGCAATAATTTATATAATTACTAGTAAAATAACAAATAATTAAAAATATTGAACGTACTTCAAAATAATACTTTATACTTTAAAATATAAAAATAATAAAGCAATAAAGCAACTATGCGCGTCTGATTTTCAGAGGGGATGTTAAGTGAGGCTGAAATTTAGTAGCTCCCATTCAAAAGGACGCAGGATGCGATGCAAGACGTAGTGGTGGTTTTTTGAAAACGCAAAATAAATCCCTATTTTGAAATACTTGAGCGCGCAGATTATTATACAGACAGTTCAGTTTGAAGTCCTAATAGTGCTGAGCCATAATCTGAAGGTTATTTGGATTTTGGAGGGAGTTAATACGACGGTTTAATTTTTTTTACGATGTCTTTGTATTGTCGTCATGGCGACGGAAAGTAGTGTGAGAATGGTGCAAGAAAGTGAAAGATAGAGAAAGTGTGAAAGAAAGAGAAGTAGAGAATACATGCTTCATTGCACCTGCAACTGTTCTCAATTTTTATTAGTTCGGCTTGTGGAAATCGGTAGGTCGTTGAAATGCACACTTTTTCAGCATGTAATTAGCCCACCACACCTTAATTTGACGCTCTTAAGTATTTGTAACTTATCAAAATATTTTTTAAATTTTGTGATTAGTTTGTCCTAAACGCGCGACCTTATACAGAGGACTTATATACGGTGGACGTACTCAACAGAGTGCAAGGTTATACTCCCCTTATGTTATTCTGCCGCGCTTGAGTAAATCCCGAAATCCCCTATTAGGCTCACCTGCTTATTACCTATGCCGCATTGTCAAGAAGTCTTCGACGAGTGTGAATTGCCAGTAATGATATGCTGAACAGAGGCGTGGTCGCTTACGATGGGTCTCATAAGGAAACGCAAAGTCACCCAAAGAGTTATAAAGATGGAATCAAAAATGAAAAAATACCAAGAAGGGCCACCGAATCGAATCTCCAAACTACGGCATAGCACAAAACCGGTTGTTGTGGAAATCTCTTGGGAAGTTGTCATAACATATGTATATGTTGATTTGTTTATAAAGTATACAGTATATTCAAAAGAGGAAAGAAGGATGATGAAAAAGGGGATAGAGAAGACACAATCGGTCCGAAGTGCCAAATTGCCCATTCAGATCAATCATGTATGGCAGTTCCTAATCACTCATTAAATCTTGACCAATATATATATATTGTTTAGAGTTCGAACACACTGTCTGTAGTGTTGCTTGGTCTTATGACCCCAATAAATATAGGGAATTGCAATTTTTTACGCCATAAAAATATACTTACATAAGTATACTTTTACAATTTCGTTTTTAATATCCCAGGTAACTGCACGCTTACTAAAGGCCGCTCTTGCTTTTTATTGGTGTATGGGGTCCATCGTCACTCCATGTGGGGTACTGACGCTGAAGAGTTTAAACCTGAACGATGGCTCGACCCCACTACTTTACCTGAATGTCGGATGGCTTTAGCTGCTTTTAGTATGGGAAGAAGAAATTTTATAGGTACGTATAATGTATATATGATGTTTTTTTTATTTTTAGTATTACAATAGAGTAATATTCTAAACTTTTGACCCTTAGTATGGAATATATACGCTATATAAGTAAGGTGAATTTTATATCCCTTACTTGAGAAATTATTGATTCCTCAAACAAACTTCCACCCACTTTTTCACCCTCTTAATTAATGATTTTTGGGATAAAAACTATTCCATGTCCTTTCCTAGAGTCTCAAACTATCTTATAACACATTAAAACTAAATCGGTTCAGCGGAATAAGCGTGAAAAGGTAACCGACAGACAGACAGAGTTACTTCCGCATTTATAATATTAGTATGGATGTATATTTATTGTTATACTGTATTGTTTATTTATGAACCTTATGGATAATTTATAGAATATACTTTTTGAGTAAGTATTTAGAGATTAGATTAGAGAAAACGTTTGCTTTTTTGTTTCTTCGTTTTTCAACCGACTTCTTCAAAAAGAGGAGGTTCTCAATTCGACTGTATGTTTTTTTATGTTTGTTACCTTAGAACTTCGTCATTTATTAAACCCAAATGGACAATTTTTGTTTTATTTGAAAGTGTATACTATCAAGTTGGTGTCATTTGAATTTGAAAAAAAATACCACCCCTAAAGGTGGAAAAAAAGCTAATGAAAATTTAACCTACTTCTAATTGTCATATTGCCTTTAAACTTTGCAAGTGTATCTATATCCGTTCATAGTGCGGTGGTTCGGTATCGTCAACCTTGTGGCTTACCAGAAGGTAGATAGGTCGAACTCTTCAACGTTAGTTTGAGTTTGGGTTTATATTGTTTGATTTGACAAGCCCAATACGTTAGAATTGGATTTTAGAGCTAAATTTTTTAGTGTTACTAATCAAAGCGAATTTTAGTTTTTCGGTCTTCATATATAAAAATTGGCATCAAATTAATTTAACCGTTTAAGCGAATATTTTATTAAAATACTTTCTTCTTACTTTGTTACTACTATGTCTACACTAAAAAGAGAAAAATAATAACTTCAAAAATAAAATATCAGTTATTTTATACTTTTTAATGTTTTATTTTGAAGTCGGTTTTAATATTTTTTTATGTTTATTACATTTGGTGTATTCGCAAACTATTATCCATGCA